GGGATTGTAGAACCCAGTTTCTAAACCATCAGTACTGCATACACAGTACAAGTATATAGAGTTCTATCCTCAAACATGTGATGGGATGCTGAGTTTAATGGAAAAGGGAGTGTGATCTTTAGTGGACAGAGAACAATCATAGATAGAAATCTGATCCTTAGTTCTACTGCTTTCCGTGGGATCCCAGGGAAAATTAATGAAGCTTTCTTAGATGTATTAATAGTAATGCATCAGCAAATCAGAGACAGCCACTCTTACTCCCTAAGATAATCACCAGACTTCAGAGAGATAATAAATCTCTTGGTCCATCACATGATGTCAAGCACAAAGACACGATTACAGGTGGCTACTTAAAGACCAAGAATGTAGCTGTGGACTGAACTGCTCTAAAGCTCAGTGCTGGCCCCTCTGAATGAGTTGATAGTGTAAGGCCCTTCGGACTCTCTAAGCACTAACTAACCCAAGATCCCTATTAACAAAAACCCTTTGTCATTAAGTTTTCCAAGACAGAAAATTTGGGGAGAGTATACATATTACAACAGGGTTAATATCACATAAAATATACTTTTAGGTCTTTTAAGTAGTGGGTTTTCTTGTTGGAGTTTCATGGTGCAGCTGGATTTATTCCTCCTCTGAAACAGACATTAAAATAGATTATTCCTGGGATCCTCAACTCAAACACTAGAGGGCACCAAATTCTCACTTTAATTGGCTTCTCTGGGTTCCTAGAGCCGCAGGTCCACTGGTGTGGGGCTACTCCCCAGGTGAAAGTTCAAGGGCTTGAGCTGCTTTAGGTGTGTTACCTGTGCATCCAGACATCTTCTAAAAAGTAAATTTCAGGTGAGATTATACAAGAGGTCAGCACCCCTGGCAGTTATTTCTGCCTGGTACCAGTAAGTGAGGAAACATGTATCTGGTACCCAGGGTGTTGTGAACACACCTGTGGGAGCTAGAAATGCAGCAAGTCATCTCCCTGCCTCCCCAGGGATTTGCCCACCCTCTACTCCTTTTTGTCTCTGGTCTCCCGCTGCCTACAGAAAACTGCCCTAAAAATCCTATATAACAAAGTCAAGGAAATTTGGAGCTGGAAGATAATTGGGAGGTTATTTTATATCACCACCCCCCACTTTATAGAAGGATAGTTGAAAGCCCAGAGAGAAAGACAGTGACTTATCATGCAGGTGGACAGACCAGAACTGAGACCAGCTTCCTGATCTGAGGTCCTTTTCCATCTGCCTGCGGCTGTCCTTACCATTCCGCTTGCACTCCCACCTCAGCCTCCCACCCCAAGCAAAGCAAACCAGGACCTTATAAGCACACAAAAAAAGAAAGTCTACAGAACTGGGTTTCTAAGAGTGACTGTGGGGCACTAAGCACCCCAACAGGGGACAGTTACACCCCATTGGTAACATGCATTTCAACAGAACATTACCAGTTCTTTAAACACGAAGCTGTGCTTTCCCCATAGTCCATTGCCCAACAGATATTGCTGCCAGGGCTCCTGACCAGCACGTGGGGTGCCACTCCCTTCCTCTGGGCGCCCCACACCCCCTGCAGGAATGCCTGCCCTCATCCTTTGCTTGCTTCTGGACGTTTTGGATCTTTGCTGAGGTCTGGTGTACAGCCAAAATATTGGGAGAAGGGAAGGAAATAGGCCTAAAAGTCTTCTAAATTGTGAACTTTGGAGAACAATTTCCTCTCTACGAGACCCCGTTTCTCCATCTGTAAAATAAGGGAGTAGATTGGAACCCCTTTTCACCCTTAGTTTTCTAAGGCCTGTCACGTGGCCATTAGCTCTCACTATGAAAACTGACTAAATGTAGCACTTCCTAAAGTGCATGAAAGCCATTCATTTTCTGATCTGTACTATTTTAAACAGTGGGTTTTTCCCTGTTTCATTACCCTTTTAAAAATAATTTTATACACTTCTGACATTCAAGAAGTTGGTAAGTTCCATATATATATATGTGTGTGTGTGTGACAATCAAAGAGAGCAGTGTTTATTGTAGTAGCAAAGCAATCGATGAGAATTCACTGGATAAATCAACTTTTCTATTTGAATTTTTTAAATAAAACTTTGAGAACAAAGTATTAATAGGGAAAAAATACCCAGTTAGCCCTCACTCAAAGAAATCAAAACACCTGAACTTGGTATTTAGTCTCCTAGTCGTTCTTGCTACCTTTTCTATACAACATATTTTCCATAGTTTAATTTACATGCAAGTTTGCATACTATTTTTTTCTGCAAATTTTTTTCCACTCAGCATTTTAGTTGAGAAGATTCATCTACAATGATACATAGGATTCTGCTTTTATTCATTTTTGTTACTGAGGCCCATTGTATGAATAACTTTTTAGCTGTTTCCAATTGTTTTAGTCAGCCGTGTGGCTATGCCCATTCTTTACATGGTTTCACCTCACTTTATGGGTATATGAAAGCTGGTGCAGTGACTTCAGATTGCGTGTGACCATCATGGCCTGGAAGCTTCAGGCACAGCTGGATCCAGGTGCTCGAACTATGTCGTGCTTTCTGCTTTCTTCTTCATTCTCATTGGACTCCCACGTGGTGGCCCATGGCAGCTCTTAGCAGCAGCCTCAGTGAACAGCAAACACCCATTTCTGGAATACTCTATCAACAGTGAATGAATCTGATGGCAACATGTGTTTGAGAAATGGGAAATTGGATATGTCATTGACCCAACCTGAGTCATGTGTTCATCCCTGTTAGACTCACCAAAGTCGAATGGACAGAGAGTGGGGAAGGGGTGGTGATCTAAAGAAAATTAGGAGACTTGTTGCCAAAGACTTCATTTGAGGCAGGCCACAAGAAGTTCAGGGCCTCGTCAGTCCCTGCTATCTACCTGCATCCCTTTGCACTTGCCACTCTGCACGGGACTCCAGCACCATGCACATAACCGTGTCTGCAGAGCTCTCGCAAGGAAAGCAGACCTCATCTTGCATGTCGTCTCCCAGAGTGAATGCAGCTCCATGCCCGGTTCTGAATAAATAGCTACTGTGGATGCCATCCCGACCACATCCAGGCTGAGGGGGCAGGGCCACGGAACCCTCTGCCCCTGTGGTTTTCCCTCCTCCCCCTGTGCACCCAGCCAGCCACAGAAGCAAGGGAAAGAACACCGCCACCACACCGCACCTTCCTTTTTCTTTCTGAGTCATTGACTAATAAAATGGAGACTAATAAAATGCATTGCCCTGTTCAGAAGCACACCCAAGCAGCTGCTGCTTATTGAACACCTACTGTGTGCCATGTTTTTTTATGCCAACAGCGGCAAGATTGGCCAAGATAGGTATGTGTCCAACCTCCTGAGTGTATTAAGGATAACTGTATTTCAACAGGGTAATTACATGGCATGTGAATTATACTCTTTGAAGTTTTTTGTTGTTGTTCTAAGAATGAAAGGTCTCACATGGCTTGATTGCCTCTATATGAAATTCAAAAATTTCCTCCAGACTTCCTACAGGCCTTTGCAAACCTGTTCTAACCATCCCTGGCCAACCCTGGCAGAACTGACCATCCCTGTTCTGTGCCCCATTGCACCTGACATTCCTCATGCCAACTACCAGCTCCCGAGCCTGTCAACCTCCCTGGGATACAGGCCCTTTGGAGATAAAGATCCCGTTTTGTGCATCTTGCATCCTTTGATGCTTAGCAAAACGTATGGCTACAGGTTCCCCTGCTGTTCATGGAGTGAATAAGCAGACACATGAACAAAACTGAATTGCTATTTCGGATAAGCATTCCCTCTCCTGGTCCTACCCACGGTGCTTTACTTTTCCATTTGAATTTACATTTGAGTCTTTCTCTGACCCTTGCAGGTATTTTCTACCATATTAAATGAGAATCTATTAAGCCACACCATAACCTGAGATTAAAAACTGCAGAAATCATTCCAAGAGGAAGAGCAAAAGATGCCCCACACAGCTAACCAGAGAAAGAACATTTCATTTTCCCCAAACATGGGAGTTTATGCTGCTCAGCACCCTCCCCCAGAGGGTAAAACTAGTCAAAAGCACACATCTTCAGCTTTAAAATAAAAATGCAAATGATTTTCCAGCACCTAAAAGGCCCAGTTCTGATGTGCAAACTGCTTTGGGAAAAACATCCTGTTCAGAACTACATATTCTTGGGAATGCTGCCTCGGGGACCTGGATTGACTGGGTGGGTAGTTCAGAGATGAGGGGTCCTCCAGCCAGAAAGAAGGGCAGGAAGCTACATATGCAGCCACGCGTGGCTTCCCTTTACTCCCCGGCAGGACTGGGCAGGACTGGGAAGTGCAACTGCTGCCTCGGGCTGGGCAACAGGGGACAGATCAGCAGCCTGCATCTCACTGGCAGCAGGTGGATGGTGTGTCATGGTTAAGAGTGGGGTTAAGACTCTCAGCCCCGCCACTTCCTAACTAATGTACTTGCCAGATGCTTCTCAGCCTGCAACCCCTGCTAACCGGGGAACAATACTGCCTAACTCAGGGAATATTAGGAGAAATATAGGGGTCTAGGAAATGCTTAGCACAAAGGCTGGCACACTGGTGCTCAATAAACAGAGGTTGTTAACATCAAGTGGGAGGTGAAGGGCACCCCAGGGAGTAAAGGAATCACGCCCAGGTTTGCACTGGGGCAAAAGGTGGCTAAGATGGTCTAAGATTATGGTGTGCAAAGCAGGATGCATGTTAGAGTCTGCAGAGTCTCTAAATGCGCGTGCCAGCCCTCCTCATACCCACGTAATTTGAATCCATGGGGCTGGCCAGGCATTTTTAAAGCTCCCAGGAGCTTTAAGGAGTCAGGGTTGCGACCCTCTGCTGTGCTAAGAGCTGAAGTCAAACAACCAACAGACAAACCTGTTCACCGTCAAGAGTGTTTCTAGACCCGAGAGTGAGGCCATCCTGGTTTCAGAATGGAAGAAAAATTAGCCTTAAAAGTGGAAAACTTACCTTTCCTAATCTGAAAACTGCACATTAATAAAACACATCGTGATCACCAAGTTCTCAGAAAGCAACCACTCTGGGAAAAGCCGTAACAAAGCTCAAGTGTTTATTAAGAATTAAAAATACTGTAAATAAGCCATACAGTTCATTTCACAGTAAACTAAAATTTTTTTTCCCTTTTCTTTTTTTTTTTTTCTTTTTTTCCTTTTGCTTTTTTGAAGGGCAAGACAGCCATTAAAGAACAGTACAGCTCAAAGGGGAAGACAGAGGAACAAGGACAGAAAACGCACACGTTCCTCCCGGATGGGGGGGGGGCTGCTCGCACAGCAAACCCCTTCATGGACATCACGGTGACAGACTGGCCTCCACTCCCTGGGGAGACGCCCGTGCCCTAATGGACAGCGCCCAGAACATACCTCCTGGGAGAATCCGAGGACTCCCCCTGTAGGAGTCTAAACCCAGGCATTACTTGGGGACACTGTCAGAGATGACACAGGTCAGCTGAGGGGCTCTGTGGGGTGTCGCGCCTGCATATTCAGGATCTCTGGATTCTTTGCATAGTCACGTTTGCGGTCAGATGATTCAGGAATGGGAAAGACACCCACGCCAGGGCGGCGACAGTCAAGCAGCTGATTCTTAAACCCGAGGGGTGCATCTCTCCCCCGACTCAGAGCTCACACCTATGAGTTTCGACCAGTTAAAAGTGGAAGACAAGGAGCGAGTGACATCTCACGGAAACTCGGCCCGAAGTATTAAAAAAAAAAAAGGTAAAATTAATTTCCCTTAAAGACAATTAGAAAGCAAAGTGCCTCCTCCCCCACTTGTTTTACTTGATGTCTGCCGCCTGGAAGGGGTTTTGAGGTCAGTCTGCTTCTGTGAGTCCTTGGTGGAAGCCACTGTCACGCCTTCCTCACTGGTGCTGGAGCCGTCCCTTCTGAAAAGCACCTCTGAGCCACGGGGGCTGGGACTTCAGGAAACTGACCGCAAGCAGAAGCAGAAAACGTGAGAAACCAATGTGTGTGGTAATCACCGTAAATAAATTAACTGGGCACAAAAATACAAAATGCCTTGATGTTTTTTGTTCCAAGACGTGGAAGGGGTGAGAACGTGGTGGGAGGGGAACATGGGAGAAAACAAACCTTTTTTTGGTCATGAGAAACTGGATTTAAAACCCATGCCCTAAAAGCCATTTAGACTTTTTCATGAATCTTTTCCACTTTCAAGAACAACCTATCCAGATCACTTCTCAGGTCATCTAGTAAACCCTTGGCCGATTCCAAGTTGTTCTCGTTGGTTTCTATTTTCACTGAGTACGCAACCAAACTGTCCACGGCAGTCCTGAGCATTTTCAAGTCCGATTCCACTTGGCTGACTGAGGATTTCAGGTTGTCCAGAGAAGAGAGTCTGTCCAGGAAGTCCTGGGGCGGCAAGTGGGCCGCGGGGGCCCGGTCCTGACCCAGCAGCGTGTGGACTTGCTCTTGCACCTTCTGGAGCGCGTCCACGGTGCTGGGGAGCTCACCCACGCTTCTCTTCAGCTCCTCCACGTCGCTGTACAGCGAGAGCTGGGCCTCGCCCAGGCTCCTCACCGTGCCGGCCAGGCCGCCCTTGTCGGCCTCCGAGGCGGCGCCCAGGCCTTCCAGGCGCTCCTGCAGGGCCGCCAGGCGCCGCTCCTGCTCCTCGCTCTTGGCCAGGAGGGACTCCAGGCTCTCGGTCTGCCGGGCAGCGGCCGACTCCACGGCCCGGACTCCACCCTCCACACGTTGAAGCCTGGAGTCCAACCCCTGGCTCTCTTTCTGGAGTGCTTCGAAGGCATCAGAGCTTTGGAAAACTCCGTCCTCTTCCGACCGCTGGGCCTGGGCTCTTAGCTGGTGCAGCTCCTCCTCCAGCCTCCGCACCTCTGCAGGCAGGCGGCCGCTGGACTCCTCACACTGCAGCACCTTCTCTGTGAGGGCCTGCAGGGTGAGATGCTCCGAATCGGCCGCCTCCTTGAACTTCTGCTGCTCCTGCTTCAGGCTCACCAGCTCCTTGACCTCGGTGTAGACGTCAGACTCCATGGAGCGGAGGGTGCTTCTCAGGGCCGCGATGTCCTCTTCCTTGGACTTCACAGAGGTCTCTATTTCCTTCACAACTTCCTTCAAGGCTTTCACATCCTGCTTGTATCCCTCGGATTCTTCCAGAGCGGCAACCTTCGCCTTCACCTCATTTATTTCCTTCTGGCTCCTCTTTTGGACCTCGGTGAAGATGGCGATGTTGTCGTTGATGGACTTGGTAAGCTCCGTCAGCCTCTCCTCCACCGTGTTCTCCAGGGACGTGAAGTCCCGCTCCCGGGCATCCTTCACCACATGGATCCCATCCGAGAGGTCTTTAAGGATCTCGTTTTGGAGTTTTTGCAGAACTTCACTGATCCGGTTAATCTCACTCTCCCCTTGCTTCACGGCTTTCTCTGTGAGATCTTGTTTGTGTTGGGAGCTCCTCAGGATGGACTCAAAGGCCCCAAAGGTGGCTTGCAGAGACTGCACCTGTAACCAAAGTCCAGATGTTAACGGCAGAGAAGAGCTGACGAGTTTCATGTCTATAGCTATCTTTCTTGTTGTCCGCCCGCCTTCCAGGCCCCTCCTCTTCTAGAGGCACCATGTTGCTGCAGAAACCATCCTTCCACACACAGTCTATGTGGTTGGGGGCCTAAGCTGGGCCCAGCACCAGTGCTCCAGGGATGGTTTGTAACCCAGGCGCAGCCAGTCAGCACTTGGCATCCACCCTACTCCCATCCCTGAGCCACGGTGACTGGCCCACAAATAGGCACATGGCCTACAGCAGGCCAACTCCTCAATCCCAGGACTTCTGTTAAAATGAGAAAAGGAAACCCTTGCAGCTGGGATTGCAAGCTCTGAGGTGGAGGGAAGCCTGGAAGAACCTCGGCCTGAGAAGCCAACGCAGCGGGAAGACCTGAGAGATGGCAAGGTCAAGTTCCAAAGACATAATTTGAATCCCTGGATATAGCCATATCTGAAGGACTCTTCTTCAACTTTTTTAGTTTAAGACAATAAATTCTCACCTTTCCTCCCCCTACCCCCTTCTAAGCCTGTCTAAACTGTGTTTCTAGCTCTTGAAACTGAAAGAGTTTCACAAGTTCTCACAGGAAAACAGCTGAGCAACATGAGAGACACGGGGCTGAGAGGCAAGAGACAAGGGCCCAGGTGTCTGCTTGACACTTCAAGCTGTGTGGCCCAAAACAGGTCACTGTCCTCACCTGGAGAATGTGCTCAGAGGGCCAGATGATCCTTAGTAGCCTCTGGCTGTGTGAACACATTAGGATTCTGATTGCCACTACACATTCATTCTTAATAAATTCTACCCTAAACAAGGTCTGACCTGGGAACTACCCCAGCGAGCTGGTTTAATGTATGTAGACACTGATGACAATATGAGTAATGTCCTGGGCTTTATCCTGCTTTCCTTAAAAAAAAAAAAAAAAAAAAGAAAGAAAAAAAACTAATTCTGTTGAGTCTCTAATCACTAACTCATAGAAAACAGGCAAAAGACAAACATGCCATAAGGATGCAATCAGCCACAATGTAGAAAATTCTGCAGGACTAAAAACTGAATCTTCAACAATTAAATGGCATTTTTTAAAGGGGAAAGACAGGAAGCTATTATAGATGAAAAGAAATTTAAGAGATTGATCCATCTAATGTAGCATATGGGTTTATAAGTATCCTGATTCAAACAATCCAAGTGTAAAAACACTTTTCAGATTCAGGAAATCCTGAATATGGACTGAGAACCAGAAGATAATCAAGAATTAATGTTATCACTGCTAGGTGTGCTCTACTACGTTTTAAAAGAAATGAGATGTGCGGGAAGGAAAGGGACTCTTAAACACACCCCCTTCTAAGCCTGGATGAACTTGCGAGTCAGTCAGGGAATAATTTTAAAACTAATTCCTAGTCCACTATCAACTGGATAGGCCAGGCCAGCAAGGGCCTGTCAGAGGGTCTAAAACTGAACAGCCCACATTTTCTGAAGCCCTGTGCCCACCTGTGTTCCCTGAATCTGAGGCCAGGCCAGGCTCTACCTGGGCCTTCAGAGGGCCTGGGCCAATTCCCAATGGCAAGAAAAGGAGAGGCCAGGGGCAGCAACAGGCAGTGGAGCAGAGTACTTCAGGTCAGACTGTCCAACTCCATTCAAAAAACCCAAGCAGAATGGGTAAGGAAGGGGGATGTGATGAGATGAAATAAAAATAGCAAAAAATGGAATTTACTGAAACCAAGGTTTATTTTGATCTCCTTTTGTTTCTGCTTCAACATTTCCATGATAAGAAGTTAAAAAATAAAATAGCATGAGCTCAGGAATTAGACTGCCTATGTTCAAATCTACTTGGACACTTCCCAGCAGTGACATGGGGCAGGTCCTCCAGCATAGCTGGGCCTTGACTTTCTCTGCTGCAGGATGGGGACAGTACCTGATAGGATCATACCTCTGAGGACAGAGTTAATATATATAAAGTGTGTGAACTGTGCCCTAGCCGATGGTGAGCACTTAGTAGACAGAACCGGCATCTTCATTACTGTTCACTCTTTCTTCTGAGGTAGCCAAGAATTCTGGGATACCCTGACCATTCTCACCCCAAGGCCAATCAGGATAGGATTGTCTGACAGGACGGCTACATTCCAGTTCCAATCCCACCTGTCACCAGTTCCTCTTCTATTAGCCAAAAGGTTTTTAAAGTCCCTTCTGACTTGCGCTAATCGACTTTAAGACAGATTAGGTAGGGTAAGAGCATCAGGGACTCCAGAATACCAGACAATACTAGGCAGTGTCCCTGCCCAACCAACTCTAGCCTGAGCCACAGAGAACACTGAGGAGGCCCTGGCAAGAGCTCACCTCGGAAAGCAAGTTACCCAATCCCAGCACCTGCCTGTTCGAAGCACCCAGAATGGAGGCGTGAGCAGGTGGGCACAGTACTTGCAACATGGCAGAAAGTCACCTGTATTTTCTGAATGAATCAAATAAATGAGTTAACAGCAATGCTGAAGAAGACAGAGCCAGTCCACTTCCCCTCTCATCTGTTACCCCTAACCTGGGGCGGTTCATTACAAGTGGGCCCTTATCTGTTAGAAATAAATCTAAAATACTTTGGAAGTAACTTTCAAATTACTTCCTAGTTCACTCCCCACTGGATCTGCCAGGGCAACAGGGGCCTCCTAGCCCATCAAAGGGCCACATGTGACCCTCGATGAGTAACTCCGAATTCTAGGCTCAGGTGGCCCACAAGTGAAATGGTGCTAAGAATGGCACCAGCCTCAGGTGGGTGACGGGGAAGTACTCGATAGACAGAGCCCTTCTTCCCACCCCCCCGAGCTCCACACAGGGTTCTAAGGGGCTTCAAACTTAAGATTGTCAGAGGACAAATCACTCCTCCAAGCAAAATAACTTAATGACCACACCAGAGGTGCACACAAGAAGCAGCCACACTGAGGGCAATACTGTTTTGGGCATATTGAGAGTTCCAAGTCAATGGAATAAGCATTACTTGGGCACCTATGACATACTCAGACCTGAGAAAGGTAACAAAAGAGAATTCTAGTTCACTAGGGTTTGCAGCCTAGCCCTGTGCTTACCAGCTTGCAAAATTACCTTTGCACACCTTTACAGCTCTCTTTCCTCAGCTGTGAGAAGGGACAGGACTTGCCTTTGAAGTGTAGTCAGAGTCAAGTGAAGACTGCATGATAAAGATGAGGCATTAAATAACAGCTTGAGTACATGCTCAATTAAAAGGTCGCTGTTTCAGTAGTTTATCAGGAGGACTCTTAAAACTGGAGGGAGCACCCCCTTCCCTGCCTAGGGAAAACTGAGCCCCAAAGAGGAAAGCAATCTGTACACACTGCTGATGGAGAAGGGGTGGGCAGAAGAAAGGAGGGAGGAGCCAGGGCAAGAAGCAGAGAGAATATAGCCCAATTTCTTCAGCCTCCAAGACCACCCCACGTGGGCCTCGACTTCTACCCCCACCCCCCACCTAAATCTTTCTCAATACCGGCAGGGTGGTCACCCACTGTCCTTCAAACATGTTCAAAATTCAGGAGTGTCCCCTTCCCTCAACAGCCACGCATCACCACCTCACTGGATCACCACGGCCGCGCCCTGGCCAGCAGCCCTGGGCCTAGCTAACTCCACACCCTGTCTTCTGACTGGCCACGGCAGCAACCCTCGACCACAAGCTACTCATCAGTTGCTTCATCAATGCGGTCCGAGTCTCCTTCTCCTCCACTCCCTCCACAAGGGTGGATGTGGAGACAATCAGACTCCCACAGATATTACGACTGATTGGTATGTGGGTGGATGAAAGAGAGGAAACCAGAGGCTAGTGATTACACTCCAGCAGCACGTCTATTTTCTCAGACTGATGTGACATTCAGGAGAGGCAAAGCAACACTGCCTACTTAGTTCTCTCAGAAAAGTCACCTCCCTTGGCCTGCAGCATGGAGGGGGCTGACTCATCCCAGTGGCTCTGCCAGTCTGAAGAGGAAATTCCTAGTCCTGCACACTCAACAAAAGTAGAAACTTGGCAGGCCAGGCAGCATGCTGGGAAAAGGAGGCAGCAGTTCCGGGCTCAGAACTGGTGGCGGGATTTTTTGTTTCAATCAGGCAACCAACTTTCATTGAGCAATGGCATCAGTGGAAGAGAGACCAGGAGCAATGAGGGAGGGAGCTGTGCTGCGTGTGCAGAAAGCCTTGACAGGTGTGGGTGGTTGTGCAAGTTAGGTCCATCCACGCCTGAAACCAGCCTTGGTGGCCTCAACTGCGCAGCGGCCCAGCCAGTGTCACGCAGCCTTTATCAATTCATTGCTGGGGCCTTTATCAATTCATCCCTCTCCCTCAACCTCAATTTTCTGGCTGAAAAATGGAGTCACGGCTGCCAGTGGGATGTCCTTCTCGGGGTTCCCATGGGGACTAGATAACGAGCAAGCCTCCACACCTGCAAATGTGCTCGTGGAGCTATTTACCGGCAGGAGCTCGCACTGGTATCCCGTCCTTCCCTCCAAAGCTGAAGGGAGCTGTTCCACAGCCCACATGGATGCGCCGGTCCAGTAAAGGGCCAGGGGCCCAGAGGTAGGTGCTGGTTCCGCTGAACTTCAGGGATGAATACGGGACTAGCTGTTCCTTCCCGGGCCCCGGGTCTGCTAAAAACCGGCTCAGAGGTCTCCCCCCCTGGGGGAGCTGAGGTGAGGCCCTGCAGAGGCTTCCAGGGATGCGCTGGCGGCCGGGCCAACCTCCTCTCCAGCCGCCCCTGCCCATTCAGCGCTCCCGAATCCAAACCCGCTTTCCCGGGGGGCCGCGGGCTGCCCCGCAGGTCCCCGCTGTCCGGGGGCAGCCCCGGGCCCTCCCGGCCGGCCTGTCCTCGCCGCGGTCCACCCCGTGCACCCCGGGCCGGCTCCTCCGCGGCCCCTAACAAAGGGCGCCTGGGCCGGCCTGGGCCGCGGGGGACACGGCGGGCGCGGGGCCAGCCGAGGAGGTCGGGCCGCCGCCGGGGCCTGAGGGGGGACACGACCGCGGGCGGGGGCGAGGGGGACCCACCTTCTGCTCGACGCCCTGCAAGCCCTGGCCCAGCTCGTCCCGCTGCCGGGAGAAGTCCAGGTGGCCGCGCCGGACCTGCCGCACCTCCTCCAGGACGTGGTGGGCGCCCCAGCCCGAGAAGGCGGCGGCCGCCACCAGGGCGAGGTAGAAGAGAAAGTTGAGCGCGCGGCCGAGGCGGCGCGGGCCGGGCCCCGAGGACGCGGCGGCGGCGGCCCGGGCGCCGCGGTGGCCGCCCCGGGCGTGCGGCGGGCCCGGCGGGTGCGGCGCGGGCGGCTGCGGCGGGTGCGGCGCGGGCGGCGGCTGCGGCGCGGGCGGCCTCCGGGCCACGTCATCCGCGCCGCCCGACGGGTGGGCGCCCTTGTCCGGGGCGCTCGCGGCGCCGTGGCCGCCCTTGGCGCCCCTTTGTTTGGCCGCGGGCATGGCGGGCGCGGGAGGCCGCGGCGGGCGGCGGGCGGCGGGCGGCGGGGCGCGCGGCCGGGAACTTCCTCAGGCTCCGAGGCCGGCGCGGCGCGCGGGGCTGCGGCGTCGGAGCGGCCGGGGCGGCGGGCGGGCGGCGGGCGGGCGCGCGGGCGGGCGGCCGGCAGGAAGGAGGAGGGGGCCTCGCCGCCGCGCCGACCCCGCCTCCCGGGAAGGGCGGCCGGGAGAGCCGGGCCGGGAGAGCCTGCCACGCACGCGGGGGCCGGCGGCGGCCCCTCCTCCCGCCGCCACGACCCCGGGGGGGGGGGCCGGGCGGGGCGGGGCGGGGCGGCCGGGGAGGGCCCGACGGGCCGAGGGCTGGCGGAGGGGCCCGGGGTGGGGGTGGGGCGGCTGTGGCCGAGCGGGGTCCGCGGAGCTGCGGGGGAGGGGCCCCCCGAGCGGGGTCCACGGAGCTGCCGGGGAGCCCCCCCACTCGCCCCAGCAGGGTCTACGGAGGCCGGGGCAGGCGGCTGAGGTGGCCGAGGTAGGGCAGCTTGACCCGGTCGAGAAGAGCGATCCTGCCGGGACCCCTGGACCCCGGGGATGGGGGCCGTGTTGGGGGGGGGCAGGCAGGACTGGAGGGGGGCGACGGGTGAATGACCCCCGATGCTGCGGGCCAAGTGCGAGTCCCCCCTCCCGTCTTGACCAGTGCGGAACCAGGAAATGGTGGGGGGCTCACGAGGAGCCCTGCCACGGGAACGGGATTGGGGAGTCCCCACCCCATCTCTCCTATGTTCGCCGCGGGCTTGGGTCTGTCTCTGCTGGGGTTTGATGGCAGTGACCTAAAGGGGCGGCTCCACGCAGCTGTAGGCTCCGGAGACATGTTCGGGAGGAGGCAGCGAAGATTCCTGGACTGTGTGAAGTCTTTTCAAGGGTTCATTGAGCGCCCCACTTAGCCCAGCCAGTCCACTGTGGATAGTTTTTCCGAAGCTTTTTCAACTTCTTTTCTCTTTAGGGGTCACATCATCTATTTGCAGGCCCTGCTAGGAAAGACTCCCTGCAGTGTGCTGGGAAAACAGGGAGGCCGAGCATGGCTGTCACCCCTCCTTTGGAGGAAGGAGATACCATAATGTCAGGCGCTGTGCTTAGCAACTTACCTATGTCCTTACAGCTGCACAGAAACCTTGCAAGGTAGGAATTATTTTACCCGAGTTATAGGAAGGAAACTGATGCTGAGCAGCTACCCCAGCTGACTGGCTCAAGGTCACAGGCAGCCAAGGTCTCAACCTGGATCTGTTCCTTCTAAGACCTGTGCCTGTTAATCACCAAATTAGGAAGGAAGCAGCCCCCAGGGGAATAAAGCAACTTGCCCACCCTTATGCAGGCTGAGGCAGAGAGGGAACTCCACGCTCCATCTTACCCCCTGAACTAGTGTCTGGCAGTGTACTCAAGGGATATTTTTTTCTTCTGCCTGGAACTCTCTCCCAATTCTGTTTTGATTTTTTTTTTTTTTTTGCCTTACCTTAAGGCCTTGTTGTAATGCCACCTCTTTCATGCTGTCTTCACTATAAAACCACCTGAAACGTCTCATGATACTTAGAGACAGCACACTTGCAAAGGGAGGCATTCTATATGTCAGTTCAATATAGCAAACCTTTGTTGAGGTCCCACTACTTGCCAGACAGGTGTCTTCAAACTACTAGAATCTCCCCCTTTAAAGCCAAACTTTGCTTATATTTCTTATTGTATCTCACCTTACAAGGTATTTTTAGAAATTTCTAATGAATGAATGAACACATGTGCCTGCTCTCAAGGAGCCTCATTACATTTGGAGAAATATCCAGAAACATTTTGAGAGCAAAATCATGTAGTTGAGACTATCAATGCAAAGGGAACTTGGAAAGCAAACCTGTGGGGCAGTATACGGGGAAGTTGGAAAGGTCTTGAGCAAAGTTTTGAAGAATGGATTTGCGTAACAGGCCAGCAAGGAGGATATTTGCATGGCGAAAATGGGGTGAGCCCACAACACCTGTCTGACATGAAGGGTGTGTGCTGCTCTACAGGGGAGAAAAAGATGAGCTGGGTGGAGTGGGTCCAGATTGCAGAGGTCGGCAGAAGCCAGGCAGGCAGGGAGAAGAGTCGCTGTTAGTGTGGGATGCCAGAGTAAATTATAGCAGGTTCTAAACTAGAAATACCTGCCTGAGGCAGAGAGATCATCTCCATTCCAGACAAATATCAGGAAATAGTAGGACTCCCCTAATTTAGCAGGGAACAGGACTCTGACCTAGTTGGGGGAAAAGGAAATAACAGAGGAAAGCAGTCGACTAACTCATCAGAAGGTGCTGGAAAAATCTTGTTTAAAAAATGTTCAGCTAAATTTACATTGCCTTTAAAATCTCTGCTGCACAAAATAGCAGTCGTCTCCCTTCAGGGAGTCATCCTGTTCAGGCAGCGACATCGTGCAAGGCAGCTTTGGGGGTCCAGGCAAACTCTGGCCTGGGAGGCAGAAGTTGCTTTTGAACCTTGGTTCTGCCACCAAACTACTGCTGTGGCTTTGAGAAGTGGACTTTAACCTTGTGTCTGGATTTCAAGATCATCTTTTCTGTCTCTCTAGTGACCGTATATTAAACCATTTCTTAGAGGAAATAGCCATCTGATGTTTATCAGAAATCATTAAATGATATTTACATTGTTTAGTCAACTTAGACCATACGTAGGCAACATAGAACAGGATTCTCAACTGTCTGCCTCTACTGAGCACTGGGAGATTAGAAGGCGGGGAGGGGGACTGATACTATTTTCAGTGTTTCCTTCTCCATGGTTTCCTGGCCAGAGTGGTATAGAAAATTTAAGACACAGGCTCTGGAATAGACCAACTAGGGTTCAAGTTCAGCTCCACCATTGGCTGGGGCATGTGACCTCTCTGAACCTCCTGGTGTCCATCGCTGATAAGAACCACTTCACTGGGTTGTTAGGAGGATTAAGAGAGATTCCAGATACCACTGGGGACCTGGCAGGGTGCAGTGGGGAAGGGTGGCCAGTGAGATGCACAGTTATTGAATGAAAAGGCTGGCTGCACAGGGCTGTGCCCACATTTCAGCCATTTTCCTTCATCGTTTCTTGGAGCTCCCACACTGCGTGTGGCTTAGAGACCACAAGTTCCAATGAAAAGGCGGCCAGTGTTTTCCTCTGCAGCCTGGCTCCACAGCAGTGTTTGGTTACACCCAAAGGAGGAGGTGGTGAGGAGTCAGCTCTGCATCTCTCCGGCAGGAGGTCCCCGTGCCTCTAGGAGATTTCCATTCCCCGACCACATGCACACAGGTTCTGAGTTGGCACAGATGCATGAAGAGGAAGCTTCTCTTCTTCCTGATTTGTTCCTCTCTATCCCTTTTCCTTTTTCCTCCCTGTAATACACTGGATGGTCAGGAATGTGGGTAGAGAAGCAGAGAAGCCAAAGACATCTCTTCCTTTCCCTCAGCTTGCACTGCCTAGACGGCGAGTTATAAGGTGGAGATTGTCCGGCTACAGCCCTAGTGGTTTTTCCACCTCTCAGTCAGACTGTCTAAACAGAAAGCCCTTATTAAAGTTGATTGCCTCGGGCCTCCCCGGTGGTGCAGCGGTAGAGCCCTGGGTTGCGAAGCTGCCCGCGGCCTCTGCGGCACTGGTTCAATCCCCGGCTGCTCCCCGACCACCGGAGGAGGGTCCCACATGGCGCGCAGACCTCTCCTGCCGCCCGCTGCTCCCCTCAGCAGTGTACTTCGGTCCTTCTGCCTGCTCTACTCCCTGCTCTGGCTCTGGTGAATTCTCTCACCCTCCTGCGCTTCTGACTGTACCCAGTGCATGTATAAACAAAACAAACAAATAAATAAATAAAACATGCCTCTATTTAAAAAAAATAAAATAAACAAGCCTCAAAAAAAAAAAAAAAGTTGATTGCCTCTTCTCTGTTGAACAGACCCACAAAAGCCAAGGCATGAGCCTAAATGTCCTGCAAACAGGGTGTGTTTTAGAGGTTGGACCTCATTTACAGTTTCACCCTAGAGAGAGCTAGGACCAGCCCTCCAAACCTCAACACTCCCAGGAACACGCCAGCTCCAAATGCCGGGGCTCCATGTGAGGGCTCTCAGCCCTGGGCGTGGCTTACGGAACACAGGCTTTGCTCCACAGAGTCCCTATAGAGGCAATATGGATATTAAAATGATTTTTTCCTCCATATCTGCTCTACTCTTAGTCTTCCTCCACCTAGTGCTTGCCAATAACATCAGTCAAGGTGTTAAGGGGGCCTCCCCTGGTGGTGCAGGGGCCCACTGGCTGGCGAGGGGCCCACATGGCGCAGCAGACCTCTCCTATCTCGCCTGCTGCTCCCCTCAGCAGTGTATTTCGCCAGTCTGCCTGTTCTGTTCCCCACTCTGTCTCTGGTAAATCCTCTCACCCTCCTGCGCATCTGGCCTGTACCCCGGTTCTTGTATGAATAAATAAATCTTAAAAAGTGCTAAGGAATCATCCCTGGCTCCCCTCTTTATCCTACCCATCCCCCTATACCCAATACAGTACATTAGCACTTCCATTGGCTTAATCTTCAAAGCAGATCCAGCATCTCCCACTTCTCGTGGTTTGCACTGTGAGCTCCTCGTAGCCACCCATCCACACTCGGTTGCTAACTTCATACTCACCTCCCCGCTTCCGCACTTGCTGCCCTGTGCTCTGTTTTCAACACAAAAGCCAGGATAGTCCCTGAAAACACCAGTGAGATCATGTAGCACCTCTTTCCAAAAGCCTCTGTAGACTTTCTAAGGCAGGCTGAGTAAAAGGCGGAGTTTCTATAGAGCCTCCCAGTCCCATCATTCTGCCCCCCCTTACCTCTGATCTCACCCCCTCTTTCCTCGCCCCCTTGATCACTGCCATCCAGTCTCAGGACCTCCTTCTTGCTGCTTTTTGGCTTGTATGTTCTGATCCTGGCACCTGTGTAAGGCTGTTCCTTGTGCCTGATAAATTTCATGTTCTGGGGCTTCATCCTCCACTCAGATGTCTCCCTTGGCCACTGACTCTATGGAGACACAGGTTGTCCTTTCTCTGCTTTGTCTTTCTCTGTTTTCTCTGATTAACTACATTATTTGTTCATTATTGCCCAACTTTTCTCATCAAATTAAGTTCCATGGTTGGAAACTTTCTTTAGCTCACCCTTGCATACCCAGTATCTCGGACAATGTCTGGCACATAGAGGGATTCAATGAATATTGTGAATTTCACATTATTAAAATCCATGTCCAGAGGCCCTTCCCTTTCCTAGACAACTGTGAGGAAGGACGGGTGGGGGGCAGGGAACCCCAGGAGGAATGATCTAAAATATCGTTATGAGGATGAGGGGGTGCTGTTGCTGGTGATGCTAACCATGGCAAGGATGAAGGTGATGGCAGGGAGTTGCTGGCTGACCTGCTAGGCTGCAGAGGAACTGCAGTAGTACAGCAGGTTGGCACTGACTGATCGCGTACTGCGTGCCCGGCACTGTGCCAGGAGCTTATCGTGCATTACTCCTTCCTTCCTCAGTGAATCTTTGACCTAGGCCCCCAGTTACACTGATCCAGTTTAGCCAGGAGGGTGGACAGCTCACCCAAGGTGACCCAGCTGGAGAGTGGTGGAGGCCCGGCTAGAACCCAGGCAGTTGATCCTACAGCTCACACCCCGACTAGCATGAATGTGGAGGCAGGTGAGAAGACAAAGCCCAGAATGAGGAAGCATCTCTTGCAAGGCAAGTAGGTTTCCTGATAAGACTCCTGATAAGCATCACATCACGAGTCTCAAACTGGAAAAGTGTGGTGGTGAAGGGAAAAGGAAGGTTAGGTCTCTATCGCAACCTGGCATTAGTAATTGACCTCCACAACCACTTCCTCTCAGCATGCTGCTGATGAGTATGTTTCACTCCTTAGATGTGTTGTAAACAAAAAATACATAACTCACACACAAACAGTCCCTGTTTCTCTCTCTAGCTTCATTTCTCCCTCAAATCCCTACCTACTCTATGTTTAGCCAGACTGAACTTTCCTACAGTTCCCCTGATTTGCCATAATGTCTCAGGAACTCAGTTCCCTGGGCCCTTTTCCTGCCCCCCACCTGGATAAGATGTCCCCACCAGGGTCCCTCCCAAGGAGACCCAAGTTCAGGGTCACAGCATTTTCCAGGAGGTATCACAGTCACCTGTTCACTTACCAGATCTCTCAGGACAAAGACTGCAGTCTGCTCCCCTTCTGGCCCCCAGTGCCAGGCAGTTTGCTGGATTGTAGGGAGTACTCAACTCAATGCAGTACTCAATGAAGGGGTATGACATTATGAAACTTACAATGCCAGGCTTCTGATTCTCAGCATACCCCATTGTCAGGATACCACTCTTTAGGGGGTAGGGTGTTGGGAAAGTCTCCAAGCTTTGAAAGTTTAGTAGAAGTATTATGTGAAAATGCCATGTCTTATGATACAGATATGTTATCTGTATATAAATGCACGTTGCTAGTTTAACAAACAAACAAAAACCCAGAAGAGGTACGTGGACGTAATGGATTCCTACATGAATGGGCTAGAGTAGTACCCCTAAAACCCGACTTTTCAGACACCCTTTTCATCCTTTCCCTACCTTGTTCAAAGGCCTCCCTATAATCTTGTTAGAAGCAAACCACAGTGACACAATGTCGAAAGGGAGGTGTGTGGGTACCACCTTCCGCCCTCCTACTCAGCCATTCTCTCCCTGCCCTACAATCACCTGCAAGTCTTTGTTCCAGCTCCTCTTTGTCCCAGCCTTCTTCCTGGACGTCCCAACTGCCTCTTTCTCCAGGAAAATCTAGTCCCTCAATTAGTCCCGCCATCACTTGGGATCTTTAGCACAAGGAGAGTAGGGAGGATACAGCAATTGGGTTTGATCGTCTCTGCAAGTTTTACTAGATTGTTTGGCTCTGGCCGGTTGATCCTACTTCTTTGGTCCTCAGTTTCCTCCTTTATAGAGAAGAATGAATAATTCACAGGCCTTATGGGAAGTAATGAATATGATGTCGTAATTGAGTTACGATACACGGCTGTCAGTGATGTGTGCCTGCTCAATAAGTCCAGCCCCTCTATAATTTAGAGCCTGGCTAGGGATTCTCAGCTGAAAAAAACAAAACAAAACAAAAAACTAAAATAGCATCTGGAAACCTTGGCTTGTACTCCCAATGGCCTCGAGCTATGATGAAGTTGCGGCACCAGACCCTCAGTGAAGTGCCCAGAATGCTCTGTTTTGGCAGAATGGAGTGTCCTGTATAATTAGTGCAGTATCTTATCCTTACCGGGTCATGGACCCTTAGAAGGCAAAATTCCATATCTGCCTTGCTCACTGGACTGCCTTAGGTGCTTACTGCTGGATGGATAATTGACACTCAGAACATATTTCCTTCAATTCAGGCATTGAACAAATTTGAACATCGGCCTTAAGCAAGGGATCTACAGCAGTGAACAAAGTGGTCCAGAGGCCTGCCCTCACAGAGTCCTCATGACAGCAGGGAGGCCAGACAACAGTCTGTAAGTAGAATGCAGCCTTTTAGATAGTGTTAAGGGGAGTAGTAAAGCTGGGAAGGGAACAGGAAGGCTGTAGGGTTGGCGGGGGGCAGTTTGCAATTTTGGGATAGGTGGTCAGAGAGAACTCACTGAGAAGCTGACATCTCTAGAAAGAACTGAAGGAAGTAAGGGGAGTCGACCATGCCAATATCTGGAAGAGAAAGAAACTTCCAGGTACAGAAAGAGCAAATGCAAAGGCCCTGAGGTGCCTCAAAGTGGTTCAGGAGATTTCTCCAGAGTGGGAAAGAGGTTGAGTCACTAGTGAACTCCCCCCAGCCACTGCCAGCCAGATTTCTTGGAGAAAGCTCTTAAAGAGGCAGCTCCTTGATGACACAGGATAATCTTGTCCGTTTCTCACAGTGAGGAAATGAGTATTACTATCTAACTGAAGAACCTCTCCATTCAATAACTCTCATTCGCCCTGTTCTTTCTTCAAGTGGAAAAAAAAAAAAATACCTCCTTGATCTACTTCTCAATGAAGGCAAAGCAAACAAGAATTCTATCATAGGAAGCTTTCAATTTCATTGCAATATAACTCAATGTATTCATTTCTCCTGCAGCTCACTACTCCATCATCCAGGGACTTCCAAGACCCCTGTCCTAAAGCTTGGGTTTGGGGGTGTGACCGGGGATCTACACGACTCTTCTTTTACTGCCCCGATATTCTCTCTCATTGTGCCCAGCACACCCACCCCCTCAGCAGGATGGCCTCTCGCTCTCTCCTCTCTGGCCCCAAGCAAGTTCTTGTCTTCTAGAATGAATGAGCTCTTTCCACCTCTCCACCCAACCAAATGCTGCTCTTCCAAGAAAAGCACTGTGGTTTTTTTTTTTTAAAGATTATTTATTTGTTTATGCAAGCACTGGGTACAGTGAGAAGCGCGGGAAGGCTAGAGAATTCACCAGAACCAGGCAGGGAACAGAACAGACTGACAAAATACACTGCTGAGGGGAGCAGTGGGTGCGGCAGGAGAGGTCTGTCGCGCCATGTGAGACCGTCGCCAGCGGTCGGGGATTGAACCGGCGCTGCAGAGGCTGCGGGCAGCTTTGCAGCCCAGTGCTCAACTGCCGCGCCACCAGGGGAGGCCCAAAAAGCACTGGTTTTAGAGTAAGAAAAACATTCTTCTTTCAGAGAAAATGAAGGTTGGGCCCAGCATGTCTTAGCAATTGGCTTAAAGTCACACAGCTTATCCCTGTCAAGTGTCAGGTTTGATATCACATGTGTCTGACTCCAAGCCCTTTCTCCCTTTTCAGGACTCCTCTCTGCTACTTGAATGAGTGACCTCCAAGAAATACTGATTAGCGCCCAATCTCAGAGTAAATATTTTATGTCAACTTGTAATACAGGGCAGCATAGATTAAGTTTTAATGATTACTGTTCAGAGACCAGTTGCAATGTCATTGTCAAACAGAAGTGCTATCAATAAATATTTGTCAAATCACTGAATGAATATCAATGAAATGAGTTAAGGCAGGTGGATCTTCTGAGAAGTAATGGCAATTACCTCCTCAAGAAAGGAGATTCTTGCCCTGTCAACACATTTGCATAAGAATTTTCTAACAGCTGGCCTTGGTTGGCAGGCTAAACTGCCCCAGGGCTGGGATTATCTCTGCACTGAAATGAGGTGCCCTGTAGGGAGCCAGATTTTTGCCTCTGCCAAGCTTATGTAGGCAAGGCCTTTGTCAAGTCCAAAGAAGGGCTCCTTTCCAAATAGATATGGTCTCTTTGAAGGTTCCTGAAACCCATGGAAGTAAAGGGCAATGTGGGCCTCTCTCTGATGCTCATCCTGACCTGTATCTGTATATCGTCTCTAGAAATATCTTGCATCTTCATGCTGAAGGCAACCATGAAAGCAGGACAGGCATGAGCCAAAGGCTCATTCAAAAGGAAAAAGGGGGAAATAATGAACGTGCCAGGTGCTGAGACAGGCTTTAATACATGATTTACCATCAAATCATCACAACCCTACTGGGTAAATATTATTAGGTCTGTTAAGGACAGAAAAATGAGACCCAGAGCGTACCCTCAGCCTGCCCCATTATGTAGCCTGGAATTAGGGATGACGGGGTTGAAACCTCTGTCTGAGTCTAAAGCTCACGCCCCTTCGACTCTCCTGTCAGAGGCCTCCTGGACCTGTAGTTGAGTTCAGCTTGGCTCCCTCAATCTGCTCCCTACTTATCTGACTAGCTTTATCCTCCACATTTGCCTTCCTACAGGAGTTCCAGGGAAGCTGGTCCCATAACAAACCTACTAATAGTAGAGTTCAGGCACGGGTACTTCTTTAAAGCTCCCCATCTGTAGGCAAGTCCATCCTGGGTAAGCACCACTACATATACACGGACTCTTTTTGTGCCAACAAACTCTACATCCCATTTATGCCGTAGGCCCCACCCTCCTTGCCATTTCTCACATCAGTTCCATAAACTGGAATTCCTATTGCCCTTCTATAGCCTTCTGCCTTACCTTGCCACTGATCAAAATTCTTTCTGTCATCTTTGCAAATCAACAGAGAGAGGAAGACTTCATTAAGTGTTAATTTTTTGGAAAAAATGACTAATTCATATGCTCAGCTTGCCCCACACATAATGACAAATGATAAATGAATTAAATCCTTGAATACAAAATTTTTCATGCCTTGAAAAACAGAGAATAAATAAAATGAGTCATACCTTCAAATTTTGTTGGGGAAACAGAATTCCAAGTGTGGAAGAAAACATTTATATTAGAAGGGAAAAAAGAGATCAGATTTCACTCCATGAAAATGTGAAACTACTGTAGTGAAGAATAAGAAAAACATGTAGGAAAAATATGTGCTGTAATACGAAAAGCAAAAGTTAGATGTTATTATCTAAAAAGACCATATAAATAGGGCAAGTGCTCTGTCCATCCTGTTAGCCATTGCAATTCCTGTGTATATAGAAATGGCCACAGTAGTAAACATTTGTTGAATTAAAAAAAGATTTTTTTTTTTATTGAGGTAACATTGGCTTACAATACTCTGGTGTGTGATTCAAAGACATAAAGTCAAAGATTTTTTTTGAACTTTAAAACCCAAGATAAAGTGAGCAAAAGACATGAAAATAATTCACAAAAGGGGAATTATGATTTTTCAACATAATATGAGAAGTCTTGCTTGTAATATTGTAACAGGGTGGTCCCCAGGAAAGGGGGAGGTTCCCTGCCCCATCCAAGGGAGGGTGGAGCTGAGCAGGAAGAGGAGAAGCTGCAGAAGAGACTGAGGAAGGAGCAGGATGGAGCCAGAAGGAGACCTGGAGGAGGCGCATGGAGCCTAGAGACACGTAAAGAAACTGTGCTTGTCTTTTGGTCGTGGACTGGGTGACACAGATGTGGGTGAGACCCGTGGGGAGGTGACCATGGCAGCTTTTATCTGGATGTTGATTTTGCTCTTTTCCTTCCGGGCTTGTCTGGTTGTTTGTGACCCTTTTCTGTGGGTCCCCACTGGAAGATGCTTTGGACCTGTAGCAAGCTTTGGGGCCTTGCTCTGGGCCGACCCCATATGGATGGAGTTTTACCCACGAGGGGATGGGTAACTTTGGGTGCTTCATCTAGAAACTAGACTCTTTGCCTCACCTGTATTGTTTCCTAGTTTTTATTAAAGATCCTTCCCATTAAAGTGTCATATGTTTTGTGTTGATGCGGCGGATGGCAGAACCCATTTAGTATAGGCAGGTTTGCGGGGCTTGGGCTGCCCCTCTCCCTGTCCTATAACAATATGAGAAAAAGGAGTATTTATAATACCAGTGGGAGATTTATGAGCCCGTGTTCCTAGCAGCCCTATTCATAGTAACTAAGACATGCAAACAATCTAACTACCCACTGATGGATAACTGGATAAAAAAGTAGATATACTCAATGGAATACTACTCAGGCTTAAAAAAGATGAAATCTTGCCTTTTGCAACAACATGGAAGGAACTTGAAGAGATTATTATGAGCAAAATATGTCAGAGTAAGACAATTATCAGGTGGTTTCTCTCATATGTGGAATATAAATAATCAAAGCAAATGAACTAACAAATCCCCCCAAAAAAACAACTCTTAGACTCTAAAAAGTATGGTGGTTGGGGTGGTGAGCAAGGAGGGCAGGAGGGAAGGGTAGAGGGCATTGAGCTGATCGAGGGAAGGTGCTAGAATGTTGGCAGTGGGTAAGGTGAGGTTAACACACACATAGAGGCAAAAATGCACTCCTGAAATTTTATAGTTTTGTAAATCAATTAAAAATAGGTTATTTTGCTTATGATATTAGCTGAGGGTTTATTTGTTGTTCGTGTTAAACTATGGACTATAATTGCTAAGGCATTATATGGAATATAATGCTAAGGTAAAACAGCTCCTTCATGCTGCCATTGATTTAGCCATGATGGAGATGACTAGAAATGGAACTCTATTCTGATGGAAACTATTGGTTTTGTCTCACCAGCAACTGCCCTTCCACCTTCTAGCAGACCCCATGATCCTCAAGAGGTGCACCTTCCCTTCCTATGGATAGAGAAAAGAACACCATTAAAGGCTGGTCAGCCCTTTTCTGGGATTTTTTTTAAATCAGCCCTAGTTGGAAAAGAAACCCTCCTTTTTCTTTGGCTGTGAATCAATAAGGATGTGATTGGAAGCTGCATGCAGTCATGTCTCCCGAATCATGGGGAGAATATATCTGTAGCAGGAATAAACAAAAATAAGTTGGTTTGCAGAGAGAATCCTATTGACATTAGATTCCCCAACTCCCTCATTCCTGTGGTCATTTCCATGTTCCACATATGATGGTGCTGCCTTAGTATACACTGGATGGGCTCCTTCTGGCTTCCCAGAGCCTGTTGTTACATTTTCAGACTTTGCCAACTGGCTGACAAAAGGCTAGAGCTTGCAATCAGCTCTGGTATTTACTCTTTGTATTTACTCTACAACCACAAGGGAGTTTCTAGCCCGTGGAAATCTGCAAACAATACAAATGCAGAGTTTTTTAAATTTTATTTTCAATCTTGAGAGCCAGTTGTTAAACATTTACCAGCACACCACTTTCCTTAAGATGTCTGGACTGAATTTCTGTCAATAGCGATTCAGAGAACGTTGGGCAATGCAGTCAGAAATGCTGCAAGCACCCAAATCCCACCTAAGACAAGTTAAAAAACACCCAGTTTGCAAGTGAGGAAATCTTCCCAGCCAGTTCCTAAGAGAAGCAAAACCCCAAGGTGGGCCTTATTTTTAGCTGGGCTTTAGGCACTGTGGCTCAAAGCAGAACTCTGGTGTAAGAAACTTTTCTATGCCGGTCACCACTAGACACTGAAGGGGACAACGGTCTTCTGCAACGCGAGTATTAGATCAGTGTTTTTGTAAAGAAAGGGATACCGTACATACCCATCAGCGCTGGGTGAGTTGGGGCCACAGACAAAGAGGGTTCAAAAGCACGTACATTAGCCTGGCAAGGAACCTTGAGGGGCAGGGGTGTGGGAGCCAGGAGGTCCCAGGCCTCTAGCCACCAGGAACTTTGAGAACAGATGCCCTCCAAGAAGGAGTTCAGACTCTAGGTTATGATGTTCTGCTCAGACTACACTCAGCAGATTGGCAGAGAAAAAGAGAAACTACACCCCTCTCCAGATGTCCCTCTGGCTGGCAAGTCTGCCTGGGTCTCTGGTTTATCATATTCTTCCTCTTGAAAAGAAGGGACGTGTCTGGAGGTGAAAGCCTCTCTTCCAGAGACTGCCAGAATTATTCTGAAAGCAGTAGGAACATGAAAACCTTTGGTAACTTCCACATCAGTGATTTCAATCTAAGAACCGTTTCTAAAGAAAGGATTAAAAATACAGGTTTATGCACAGACTTGTTTATTACTGAGTTGTCTAGAACAAGTTAAAAACACCCTAGAATCCACACAAATATCTAACAATAGAAGAATGATTAAGTACATTGTAAGACATCAATTTGATTTAATGTGTCACAGTCATGAAAAATGTTTTGAAGAGGGCCTCCCCTGGTGGCACAGGCGGTTGAACGCAGCACTGTAAAGCTGTCCGCAGCCTCTGCAGCGCCAGTTCAATCCCGGCCTGCCGGCAAGGGTCCCACATAGCATGACAGACCTCTCCTGTCGCCCCACTGCTCCCCTCAGTAATGTATTTTGTCAGTCTGCCTGTTCTGTTCCCCGCTCTGTCTCTGGTGAATCCTCTCACCCTCCCGCGCATCTGGCCTCTTCTCCCGTTCTTGTATAAATAAATCTTTAAAAAAAAATGTTTTGAAGAGATGATAAGAAGATGGAAAAAATTCTTATGCTAGCTAAATACAAATCAGGATTTAAATTTTGTATGCAGAATGACTGGCAATACAAAAAGAAAAAAAGGTAAAGTAAACTATGCATTGATGGAAAACTGGAAAGGGATACTCCAAATGTCAGCTATGATTTTCTCTTTTGGGTGGCGGGAACTATTGATGGTTTTTCATTCGGCTTTTTTCTATGTTTCAAATTGTGTTCAATATATATACACATAAAAATGGATACTACTTATTGAATATGACTGAATATTTATCTTGTGCCAGACCCTATACGGAACTTTTCCTAAATTATATTATTTCAATCTCCCAACAACCCTAAAAGGTGGGTACTTTATTATCTCAGTTTACACATGAGAAACCGAGGCACAGAGACCTTAAGTAACTTGCCCAAAGTCACACAGCTGATTGCTGGGACTGAGAGCCTGGCCTGCTTGATTTCAGGATCAAAGCCCACTATCCACTATCTCCCCTCCCCAACAAGAGAAGTAAATGGTTAACGAATTTCCAGAGGCATCTCCATTACAAGGAAGGTACCATGTTCCCACCCCTTTACATGTGCCTGCCTTAGACTAGCTACTGGGAACTGTGGGCGGGGCTGAGCAGCCAGGTGATAGAACACAGAAGGCAGGTGGGCTCCAGGAGAGACACGTGGAGAAAAGGGGTTGCTTGCGTTTCAGCTTTGGACTTGCATCATGGACTTGAAGGTCTTGGGGAAAACATGTGGAGGCGAGACACACAGAGACGTTCGCAAGAGACACACGGGTGCGAGGCAAGTGTGGAGGCTGACAATGGCAGCTGTTATCGTGATTTATCCCAGACCTGCCTGGCCCCTTCTACCCTTTTCCTGGGGTTCCTCACCAGAAGGTGCCTTAAATTTGTGGCAAACTTTCAGACTTCAGTGGTCCGCTTTGAACCTACCCTGTTTGGCTGGGCTTTTACCCACAGGGGATGGGTAACTTTGGGTGGGTTTTTTTTTTTTTTTTTTTTGTACAATGTTTGCTTTTTTTTTTTTAAGATTTATTTTTATTTATTTATACAAGCACTGGGTACAGTCAGAAGCACGGGAGGGTGAGAGAATTCACCAGAGCCAGAGCGGGGAGCAGAGCAGGCAGAAGGACCGAAGTACACTGCTGAGGGGAGCAGCGGGCAGCAGGAGAGGTCTGCGCGCCATGTGGGACCCTCCTCCGGTGGCCGGGGAGCAGCCGGGGATCGAACTGGCGCTGCAGAGGCTGCGGGCAGCTTCGCAACCCAGCACTCAACCGCTGCGCCACCGGGGAGGCCCAAATTTGGGTGTTTTTTTTTTTTTTTTTTTTTCTAAATATTTCTTTTTTTTCTTTTTTAAAGATTTATTTATTTATTTATACAAGTACTGGGTACAGTCAGAAGTGCGGGAGGGTGAGAGAATTCACCAGAGCCAGAGCAGGGAGCAGAGCAGGCAGAAGGACCGAAGTACACTGCTGAGGGGAGCAGCGGGCGTCAGGAGAGGTCTGCGCGCCATGTGGGACCCTCCTCCGGTGGCCGGGGAGCAGCTGGGGATCGAACCGGCGCTGCAGAGGCTGCGGGCAGCTTCACAACCCAGCGCTCAACCGCTGTGCCACCGGGGAGGCCAAATTTGGGTGTTTTATTGGTAAACTCTTATTTATCCTTTCCTCTCTCTCTCTCTCTCTCTCTCTCTCTCTCTCTCTCTCTCTCTCTCATTCTCTCTCTCCACACTAACCCTATTAAGTTCTTTCACACTAAGTCTCTGCTTTGCTTTTGTGTACAGGGATGGCTGGACCCCTTTAGGGAATACAGGTTTGGGGGTCCCCTTTGTCACATGCTAGCAGATTATATACATATATAATAAGCTTCTTTAAGCAGCAGATCCATCCTTCAAGTCTAGCTCAAGGCTAACCTCTTTGTGAGAACTTTGATTTGCTCCATCCATCCACACACTGCCCCACGCTGCCAGCTGCGTTCCTTTGCCTCGCTTTCAGCCTTGCCTCCTTTCCGTCCTCTCCTTATTTTGTACCCTAGATGTCATCTGCCGTCTCTCTGTACAGCCATAAGAGAAAATGAGCTAGAAACTCCCAGATACATGTCCTGAGGGAATTTAAAAGCCTGACCCAAATTTCTACTTACATTCTGAAGTTAACTGTCTCATGGCCGCTTCTGCCTCCAACGCCTGCCTCCACCCACTAATTCACTGTCTTACCCTATGGAGACTTAGCTCCTTCCTGGGTTTCTACAGGGAAGCCACACTACCCGATCACCTGCATGTGTAGACTTCATCCAAAAAGATGTTGGAGGGAGAACTGCTGAAATCGCAACAGCCTATGTGTGAATGTCCAATGTCCCTCGCAAGAGAAAACAAAGCCATTTGGCTACCAGGCCTGGGGATCTGTGTGTATCAGCTGTTTTGCCCTATGAGTATCCCAGGGGATCCTCTCTCTCCCTTCCTCCCTCCCTGCTTCTTTCCTAACCTACCCTTACGCCACATGCAACCCCGAATTCTCATTCACAGCTTTCCCCTGTCTCCACACTCAGCTCCTGACCTGGGTATCTGACTGAACAGAAGGCATTTCACTGACAATGAACATAACCTTCTTACCAGGCACTGGTGCTGGTGGGAGCAAACGCTGTATCCGCCCCTGTTACACTTAAATACATACATATAATTGACAATCTGCTTTGTACCTATGGGATTTGTCTCCCCAAAAGGGGACAGACAGATAGGCTTTTTCAAAGAAGTCCAGGGTAAGCCTGTTTTCAAAGCATGTGACCCTGGAGTGGGGGTTAGGTAGAACTAAGGTCAGTTGAGGCACTGGAGGCTAAAGAATAGCTCTATCTTCTTCCCTAGTCCCTTTGCCCTACCCCTCATTGAAGAGGTGTCCATGCTCCCCTCTAATGACCTAGAAGAGTCTAGCTTGGGGGATGGGCTGTCATCAGTGTAGCTGCACCAGTGAGCATGTTCTCTCCATCTGAGAAACTCCTCTTGTCACCCTTTAGAGAGGAAATCATCCTCTCCTCATCATCTGTAAACCCCTTTCTCTTTCTTGAACACCCCAGGTCTCTTAGCATAGGATATAAACCCCTGGTTTTCCTTCATCTACTTCAGAATTTATAGCCATGTAAATTCTCCCTATGTGAGTTATTAAATTTTGCCTTTTTCTTCCACTAATCTGTCTGATGTTAATGTGTTTGTTCATCCAGCCTCAGAAGAACCCAACATGCCCAATGCTAGAGATACACAAAATTGGAACAATTTGCTATAATCCTAAGAACTTAATCACTATGTTGCTTAAAAACTCATACCTTAGGACATGTACTCTATATACCAGGTCACTGGCTCTATGACAGAGGCAGAGGTAAAGGGTCATGGGGCCCAAGCGGACAGGGCAGCCTGCACATTGGGCCCCTTGGCAACCCAAAACCAGCCATGCAGGAGTTTTTTGAGTTCTGAGTTTCTTTCTCCAGCCATGGGTTTCAGCGGATGTGGTGTACATTTCCCTTCCTAAAATTAATTTTAGGTGTGGGTGCCAAGTTTCTGTCTTTTCCATTACACAGTGAACAGCATTTAAGACTAACACTAACCCCAATAACCCTAACTTGTGCATGACCCCAAGTTGAAAGGTACAGAACATTCGCTCTGGGCCACCCTGAAGGTGCCATGAACGTGAGCAAGACCCTTGGGTGGAATGAGCAACAGAAGATAATGAAGATAATGAAGGTTCTCCAGACAAAGTCCATTTTCAACCCAAGCTTCCTATTTCCTACTGGGGATTTGATTGTTTTCCTTTCAAAACCAAATGCAAACCAGAGCTCTTCTTTCAGATTCTTTAAAAATAAATGGGGGTAGGAGAGGTGTGGCAATCTCCTGATCACAGAGGATGTTGCCTGTTTTGACACTGGTTTCAACAGTTCCTTTACAAAATACTGTGATGTGCTTTATTTAGCCTTAATTTGAATTCTGAGCATGGAAAAACTGGTTGTCAAGACAATCAAACTGCTTGTCATAGAAAGTTCTATTATTTGGGGAACACATTACATGCTAGTTATTATATTAAATATAATATCAAATTTAATCCTCAAGATGAACCTATGAGATAAATGTCAATGTTTCCTTTTTAAATAGCGCTGTATTTAACTCAACATTTACATGACTTCCAGTTTATGCTGCAGAATACTCTTAATCACTACAGTTCTTTCCAGAGTTACAAGCACCTGACTTGGGAGTTTCTTGTCCCTGGACAACCCTGGCCAGCAACCAAGCTGTTCTGGCCTACTTGCTCCACCTGGTGGGTGGCTGAGAAAACCGCCTTGCTTTATTATTTTCCTCAAGCCAGTCTCCTTGATTCTGGTGTCCTCTTCCCTCAAGACCTGGGCTTTGGAAACTGAAGGTGCCCAGATTAGACCACCCCAAGATTCTCAGAGTTGGTCTCCTCGAATGCCCCATTCTGGCACAGGGATTATTTTGAGCTAATCATTGAAGGCCCTGGAGGCAAAGGAGAAGCTCTTGCTGCTTCCCTAATCATTGCTCCCTCCAATGACACAGGAGAATGTAGTTTGGCGGGTGTTGTGCAGGTATAGGTTTATCAGAGAACATATCCTCTCTATCTGAGAAACACTTCTTTTCTTTTCAGAATAAAGATGAAGCCATCCCCTCCTTTGCATGTAAACTTCACTTCCACCCCAGCTGAAAACCTGGGCCTACATGACCTCTACTGCGCACACATTCTTAAGTTGATTGTTCCTTTGCTAACCAATCTGATGCTGTTTTGATTACTTGCCAGCCTGAGAAGAACCCATAGGGATGGGGGATTTCCCATTTCACCCTAACAAAACCCATATGGGAGAAATCCAGCTACTCTGAAGTCACCAGCCTAGCAAAGTACTTGTAGAGACCCCATGGGGAGATGAAGCAATGTCCCAGGAGACCCAGCTATTCAAGTCTTCCTGAAATCAACCACCAGACACACAATTGGGTGAACTCTCCTCTGTATTGAAATCCAGCTGAAGGCCCCAGACATCATGGAGATACCATTCCTGGTGAGTCCTGTTCAAAACCCCCCACATCCTAGGATCCATGAGCATAATGAAAGGTTGTTTTACACCACTAAATTTGGGGGTTAATTTGTTTTTGTTTTGTTATGCTGCAACTACAGAACGTTTACTGAGAGGTAAAGCAGAAAGAACCAGTTCTTGCCAATCAGTAAGTGCTTGAAATCCATGTTAAGAAGTTTGGATTTTATGTAGGGGTCATAGGGAGCCATTGATAGTTTTTGAGAGATGTTATGCATGTCATCATGTCACATGTGCCCCAGTATTTTTGTTAGGACAATCTGTATTTCTCTGAAGCCTTTTTGTCAGTGGAGAAAAGCAGAGGAAGAGAACATGATAGGAAGTCCTTGAAGAAACACGATCTCTGTGGTGCTCTAGTTTACCTGGGGAAATACCAGAAAACAAGGAAACAGTGGAAAGAAATATGGCGGGCAGGAATGCTGGGATCTACCACTAGATACAAAGCTGCTGTTTCAGGACCTGAATATAAGTCCCAAGCTTGGCTTGTTTCCCTTGGTTCCTTTGGTGGGAGGGATAGCAAGCTGCCCTCCACTGATTCTATGATCTGGGTTGTTTTGCCATCCCATGATATGACTTTTAGTTTTCCTACCTGCATACAATTTCTTCTCCATATTGAATTCTCTCTAATAAACTGTGTAGAAAGGATTCTTGTTTTCCTGAATGGGCCCTGACGTACTGGTTTAATGAGTCAATAACAGCAATATTCTATAAATACATAAATACTGGGTGGCTCTATTAGGCTCACTCATTAGCTAAGTAATTGACTCCTGAACCATCAACTCGTTGAACTCTGATTTGTTCCTTGGCAGAATTTGAAATGATCACATATCACAGGCCTTTATTTGTTCAGGACCAGATGAACTCTTATAACTTATATACTCTTCTAACAAGAGTATGAGTTATAGTTTATTGATCTATACATGTACCTGGCACCCTGCTCACTTCCTTAGACGCATTATCTCTTTTCATTCTGCAATAAACTGTGGGGCATTTGCAAGGTTCATAGTGACAAATAGATACCTGCTTTGAATAGACATACCAGATTTGGGGTAGTTTATGGAATTAAGAGGGAAGCTGAAGAACCAAGTAGGGTTGGGGTAGGGGAAGAGTTGGGGGAGACGGTGGGAACTAAAGAAAGTCAGACACAGCTAAGACCAAACCATAGGATGATCGCTACAAACACCTTGCACAGAACACCAGCACTGTCAGCTCTATGAACCACCCCTGCGTACTCCTGGTGGGGAAAAAAGAATGTCTTTCCCCTTTTCAGTTTTAGTAGTAAGATGTCAATGGCATGACCATATCACACACTCCCCTCCCCCACCGATAGTGAATGGTAATAATGGGATAGCCATTCTGGAAGCTGGACCACCTCCATGACAAATGGCTCCCAAAACACCACTGTATGCATTTTATACCTGTACATATATGGGCACATGTATCATGAGCTTGGCCATGATACATGGCCTCAGGTCTGTCTGAATCCAAAGCACCCCCTCTTTCCACCACACTACATGTGCTCATCATGTACAGTTAGTCTGTACCTTAACTGATTCACTTTTTGAAACCTTTAATTTACGTGTATAAAATTTAAAAAATCATTCCTAAGCTTACAGGCATAATCACATTAGCCTTCCTTTAAACAACCATTCAGCTTGAGCATCAAAACTCATTTGTACGCAATTATGTTAAACCCAGAGCTCAGGACTTGTTGATTTACATGTACACAGGTGTGCTTGTAACAGGAACAATGGCGTGGCTGGGAATCCTGCTCAGGGAATGGGTCAGAAATGCCTTCTGATTGTTCTTCAGGTTTTCTTATAGCAGATTTACCTCTTTTCCTTCTTTTCACTGCTTCCTATAAATATGAGAGGAAACAAACAGCTTCATATTTTAGAAGGGCAGCATTCCATTCTCCTTGCTCGAAGGAAGGCATACTCACCCTAGTACCTGGTGAGGCACTTTTCTAGAGTAATGGAATGTGATTGTAAATACTTTGGGCATTTGGTTGAAATAGTACTAGCATACTTGTTGACATGTTGTTATAGAAATTAGATAATTATGCCAATAGATAATAGTTCACATGTGACTGCCTCTGTGTGTGTGTGTGTGTGTGTGTGTGTGTGTGTGTAGAAGCTATGAAATGAGTTCTAGCTTCTGTTTTTGACCTGCCAATTCAGTGAGTCACTGAATGCCCCTTTGGTTGGCCATAAACCCTCAGTGCCTGATACCTTCCACTAGAACCCCCAGGAACTCAGGTAAAAGTGACTGTGCAGACATCTGAATGGTCAGGCTCAATTTTTCATCTTCAAAAGGTAGTGTAGTTTTTCATGTTCCATACTTCTTCGGAAAAGAATGCCTGCCCAGTGTATTACGGAAGGCCTATAGGTCAGGGGTTGGGAAAACATGTTTATAAAATAATAGTAACTTCCATGTACTTTTACTAAGAACTGAACTTGAAGGGAACAACTCAAAAATAAATTTAAATATTCCCTTACCCAGTATAATTTTGACTTGCCATTGTAAGGAAACTTTTGCAAATATATTCCTTTCTAGCCTTTACAACCAAAAGCTCTATCGATTCTCATGACTTCTTAAGCATCTGAGAAAAAGGAAAATGGAAAAAAATGTTATTTATTGTGAAGTGTGAGAGTCCATTTAGGAGGATATTTAGGAGGATATGAGTGAAAAGGGCACCATCACTGTACTGCTGTATGAATTGACAGGGTAACATATGAATAAACACATTCTCATCGAAAAAGAAAGAAGCCACTTCAATATAAAATAAATCAGTGACAACTTCCAGCTTGCCTCGTAACCAGTTGGGAGGGGACCATCCTTTTCTATGCAATTCATAGGTAGAGAATTCATGATATCTCTCCTAATCATTGTTCTAGACTCATGTTTTGACTCATGTTTTGATGTATTCCAATTGATTTTTTAAAGTGAGAGCCTAAATGTTGATCCATGGTTGAAGGGAACTCTGGGAGGCATCTAGAAAACAATCACCTACTGGCTCAGAGGTGGAGTAAGGACAGTGACTGGCCTGGCTGGGCTCTGAGCCACCACTTTGTTGGCCTCTCATGGGTGCTCTTTCGAGCTTCAACTCCCCTTGGCCCCTCCCACTTCCTGCCCAGAATTGTCTTTCCTGCTGGTCCTCACTCTCTTCTTTGCTTTCCAGGAGGTAACAGTGGTTTCCAGGTATGTAGAGGGTATGCATTATATATGTTCAAATATGTTTTTGAAGCAGGGGAGATGCTAAGACTGCTTTTCATTTTAGTCTGTGAGGGGTCAGGGCCTGGACCTGTGTCTACGTGTTAGGGTACAGGCAATTTTTTGCTTCCAGTTTTTTACTAATTCAATTCAGTGTGGAATTGGGAAAATCTGTTTTTGGTGCTTTGGCAGCTTCGTCAAGCATCAATATTTTGATAACGGGTTTAACATATCTCAGTGATATAAATCTTATCTTCAAGACAAAAAGAAAAAGAATGACAAAATCTGACAAGATATGGTTAAACTTTTAACATTCAGTGGCTGATTATACACTTTTTATATTCGCTAAATTATTTTTCTTCCTTCTACTTTCTGTGGCCTTCCTGTTCCCACCCACCCCCTTACTGCTACTTAACCCTTCTTAGACCTTAAGAGGGACAGGGAACAGTAAAAGAGATGAGATTCTATGAGTCCATTTTTCTACTTAGAGTGGAGTCACTTTATGTGAGGAGCCAGGTACTACAGGGAGAAATGATCAAAACCATGTACAGACAGCATTATCCTTGACAGTCCCTTCAAAGGCCAGCAGGAATGTCTCCCAAGCTTTCCTAGACAGCAAATGAATGAGCAGTAGCTTTACTTTGTACATAATTACAGTTGGAGCACCATGTACATATGTATGGATGTATATATGTAAAAACATAATCTGGGCTCCAGAGTCTGACAGAAATAAGTAAATAGGTTTTCTAATATAATAAGATAATTCAACTTGAATGATAATACATTTGGGGGGATCATTTTACTAACAAATTGTGACTGCAAACATTGCACTGTAAATGTTACGCAGTTTTTTTCCCAAACCATTTTTGGGAAAGCAGGTTCCAAAAGAAGGTTCCGTCAGTGGGCCATGAATCTGGGATACACCCAGGCTTTTTTTTTTTTTTTTACCTGCAGCATTTAAACAGACACATGTGTCTTCAACTGAATACTAGATAAAATTCATTTGTATTTAGGAATAGAATAAGGGAAAACAACCTCATGTTTTCTATGCTGAGGTCAGAACCAGTTACATAGTTTGCAAGGTCTAGTACCAGGTGAAAATTCAGGCTCCTTGTTCAAAAACTCTTAATAGTTTCAAGATAGTGGCAGCAGAGCTTTAAAACAAATGTAGGGGGCTTCCAAGCATAGGGTCTTGTGCCACTGCACAGGCTTCATGTCCATGAACACATCCTTGGGTAAGAAGCTTGGAATATAATAAGAAGGTTGGAAGCTGGAATTAATTCAGGAAGAGAAACTCACAAGTTCCACTGAGAACCTGGAGGCAAAATCAATGGCAGTGTCAAAGTTATTGTCTTGTGTTGCCCACACCCATCTGAATATGCACAGTTGAACTTGATCTGCTAGAACAGCCCAAGATGCAGCTCCACTGTAAAAGCAAATACTGAGCAGCTGCAAATCCATGCTAACATTACATTTTTGGATTTCCTGTTTTGTTTTTCCCCAAGGAATCATTGTCACTTAACACTCAGATTTAAGACGTAGAAAGAAAATGAGTCTATTTCTTCACTGAGCAAAATTTTTTATTCGTCTTTAGTCATTTGCCAAAAGTCCTGACTAGATCAAATGTAGTCTATTGTATAATTTATAGGGAAAAAACCAATTGCAAACATGAATTCTCTCAGTGGTTCAAAAAAGATGAGTTAGATAAATTAGGTGTGATACTATGTCTTCATCAAATAATAAAGCTTATTATTTGACTTATAAAAGGGGTTCATTTTCAGACCTTTTTTTGGTCTCAGAAAGTAAAAGAACATAATCTGAGCAAGGAGGATTTTACTCTAAGGCAGCACTATCTTTTTCCAAGGTGCTTTTATAAACAGGTTAGACAGAGGGCAGTCATTCAGATAAGTTATTTAATGGCAAAGTAACAGAAGATTGTATCTCCAGGATACTTTCTCTCCCTGGCTCGGGTCTCCAGTGTTACCCCATGTCTTCCACCTCCAGGTTCTCACCCCAGCACATGCTGAAACTTGACTCATCTACCTTAGCAAAAATTGCTTCCTTGTGGCTTTGCGAGTTACACATTTGAAATTTAAAAATAAGTGCCATGCCCAGGGTCAGGTAGCTGGTGACCCAAGTAGACTGGATAACTCTCCTGACTCATGCTCACCTGCTCCAACTTATGTCATGGAACAAAACAATACTTAGTAAGCTCCTACAAAGCTAACAAAGGAAACAGAGTGGGAATGTGTCATTGTCACAGTGTCCAGATGTTTGGGGGATATTTTTGGCTAATCGTTCTATTGTGGAGTTTTTGGGGCGGTGTTGGCAGTTGTGTACCCTGGTTGTTATTTGGCAAGAAATTGGAGGCTTCTGTCATCCTGACTGCTAATTCCAACAAAATCCACCAACAAGGGAAGGATCATAAGGAAGAACCTGGGTGACAACAGCATTTGTTCCTTAATCTCTTAATCTGCATCACATTGTATATTTCAGAAGGGAGGGGACGTAAATACAAGTTTATACAGATCACCAGCTAAGTTTGTTCAGAAGGTTTGCCAAACGGTTTCAACAACTGCTAACACTGATTGAGGGCTGACTGCAGACAACTACCAGCGCCTCACATGCTTAACTCTCCTTTCATCCTCAAAATAACCCAAAGAGTTACCATCATTGACCTCACTGACCAAGATTTCAGAGGAAGTAAATATCAGAGCCGGGACACTGAATTATTCCACCTGCATTCACCCAGCTTCTACTCTCCTTTAAAGTTTCCTATTTTTTCTCCCTAAAACCAAATTGGCCTCCACAATCCAAACAGGATTTCAGCACTAAAAACTTGAAAAGAACTCACTTATATTTCTGCAAGAAACTAGCTCCTGAAAAAAAAAAAAACATTTACACGGGGTCTAAGAAACCGCGCTTTTCCTGCCTGCGGGTGGGGGGTGGGTGTTGGCAGACACCCCCAAGCAGGCCCACGCAGGAGCTGAGCAGAGGCCCCACTGCAGTTCTAGGCCTGGTTATTTACATTAACCAATGTCGAAACTTCTCCCAGAGATGGGTGCAGCCCAGAACCCAGGAGGAAGTGAGCAGCCTTATCGTTTGCATGCACACGTCGACGTTTACCTCTTGGGGAGCCCGGGTGGGTGTGACTCCCAGGAGCTAATCGTGCATCCAGCCAGATGCAAATCTGGACGTGTGTATTTGTGGAGGCGCAGACTCAGCTGCTGGAGGCTCGACGGCTTGCGGGGGTGCTCGGGAGCACACTGGCCACGCTGTCATGGGGTCCCCTCAATGTGGGCCGTGTGAGGTGGCGCCCGATCTGCACCGCCCCGTCGGGGTGCGGGGTGTGGGGGGACTGGTGGTCCCACCCGGGCTGGGGGCCTGGAGGCTGGTCCACGCTGGTGCTCCGCGCCAGCCCCGGGGAGTCCAGCCGCGCCCCAGCCGCGGCCCCGCGGGCTGCACCGCCCAGAGCCCGGCGCCCCCAAACCAACGCCTCGGCCCCGCCCCCAGCGCCCCCACAGACCCCGCCTCCAACGGCGGCGCTCGGGCCGCCCGGCAGCCCCAGTTCCGTAAACACTCCTGTCCCCGCCCCTCGCGGTCTCGGGGCGCGGCACTCGCAGCTCCCGGGGGGGCTTTTCCTTGGAGCACCCCCAAACTCCCTCTGCCCGGCCATTCCTCGGCTGTTTCACCCGCACATGGAGCTCGACGCCCAGGGGCAGGTCGGCGCCGTCCGCTCTCTGCCCGCGGGGCCGCGAGGACCCGGGGAGCCCCGCGCCGCGCGCCGCCCGCCCCCCGCTCGCCCCGGCGCGATGGCCGCGCCCTGGCCGGCGCCCGGGAGGCCTCCGGGCCCTTTAAATACCGCGTGGGGCGGGGGGGCGCGGAGAGACGGGGGGTTGCGGGGCTGCGGGGTGCTCGTGGAGCTCGTGCCGCGCGCGGTGAGGGGACACGCAGGACCCCCGGCCCGGCCCGGCCCGTCGCCGTCCTCCTGCGCGCCGGGCTCGGTGCGTATCCGTCCCGCGGAGGGGGCGCCCCCTCGGAGGTGAGGGGTGGGCCCCGAGAGGGGACACCTCCCCCCAGGCTGCCGAGGGCCCCCCCCGCCCCGCTCCACCTCGGAACTCCGATCTGCGACGCGGGGGCCGGGCCCCTCCAGCCCCGCCGCTCGCCGCCTCCCTCCGGCGCCCCCAATTCCCAGGTGGGGCTTCGAACCGCCGTCCCGCGTGGGAGCGGGCGCGGGGCGGCGGCGGGTGGGGGGCCGCGGGGTCGGGGCGGCCGGGGGCCCGTCTCCCTCCCGCGGGGTTCCCCACCCCCCGGGCCGTGGGAGGGGGTTCTCCCTTCGACCCCCGGCCGCTGGGGTGCGCGCGCGGATGGGCCGGGGCCCGGGCGCGGTTGTTTGGGGTTTGTTGCCCGGGTTTCCCCGGCGCTCGGCCCGGCCTCCGCCGTCCCCTCCCCCAAGGGTTTGTTTTGACAGGAAACGTGCGGCCGGAGGGGAGGGGCGCCCGGAGCCGCGCGCCGGGGGTGCAGACGCCCGCGTCCGCCCGTGACCCTCGGTTCGGGGGCGGGGTGGGGGGGAAGCGGGACTCCCGGTCGGGCCCCGGGCTCGAACCCCTGGCCCCAAGCTGCCGTCTGGGCGGCCCACGGGGAACGGTGGCACGTGGACGAGCGTGAGGTGTTTTCGTTACTATTAGGAAAAAAACTTGCTTGGAAGTTTTGAAAATGAGTGTGTGTAAATGCAAACGTCAAGGTAAAGCAAAGTGGCTGATAAAACTAGAGGGTGACCTAGGAGGGTGATGGAGCAACGAACAGGCCTGCAGAGGGGTGTTCTCGCAGCTGGAGTTTGGCAGATGGTGTCTTAGATGGTGGTTCTGTTACTTTAACCTTGCAGAGATTAGGGGGCTAGCCCTGAGCAAGCCCCTCAGCACCCAAGATCTCCGTGGTCCCACAGTTTCCAGCCTGCTGATCTTAATGAGGGCATCACAGTTCTCACGAAGGAGGCCTCCTCCTGCCTTTTCCTCGTGCCTGGAGGGATTTCTTGACTTCAAGAGGCCCTGGGCTGAAGAGAGCCTGTAGAGTGTGGTAGCTGCTTCAGTGCTTTTTTTGTGAAGGCTTGAGAGCCTCCAAAGGGGAAGCACAGGTCCTAAAACAGGCCAGCCAGGGGTGGGACCAGTGTATGCGAGTGTGAAAGGTGTCCAGAAATCCTCCCTGAGGCTGTAATGGTATGTGACTGGCTTCTTGGCTTTTGACAGTTCTTTGTTGGCTCTAATTTGATGAGGATCGATGTTCTCTAGTCCAATGGAGCAAGCACCTGTATCTGTGCTCTGTGGTTTTTGCTTTGCTACTTACAACTTTTTGGCCCGGCTGTTTGAGACTGGTGCTAAAGCAGCATTTTGCAGAAGATGGAGATTTTCCACGTCATCTGCTATTTTTCCTGCAGAACCCAGTTTTAGTCCTATAATTCGCTTCACGGAGCTACACCTGTGAATGATTGTCCTTGTGCATGACCTTGATCTGGTCTTGAAGGATGATACCCACTAGTTGTATATTGAATTTTTTTCTTTTTGGGTGACCCAACTTTAATTGGATGGGTTTCATTCCTTGGGGCCCTGCTAGGTAATCTGCACTTCAAAGTGTGTTTGACTCATACCAGCTGCAAGCAGTTAACTCTTGCTATTTGGGTTTTAGCTAGGGATTTTGCAGTATATATAGATTGGTTCCCTGGTAGAGAATTTTCAGTCACTCTAGTGGAGTGGTTGAGAACTATTTTAGACAATGCACTGTCAGTGATGCCCTTCACCCTACTGAGCTTGAACAACTACCCCAGTGTCAGGTCAGCCTGCTATATCACATGTGCAAATGTTCATGTGGTGATGTGGGTAGATTGATTTGCAGAGTGGGAGTAGAAAGACTGAGCAGCACACTAGATCTTTTTTTCCAACCATCCCGGAGAGTGTGGACTTTAGGAATCCACTGCCTGGATTTACACTGTGCTTCTGCCTCTGCTGTGAGCCCTTGGGTAGGTAATTTCACCTCTCTGGATCTTAGGGCATGATAATACTACCTTAGTTAAAATAAGATTAAATGAAGACCTAAGAAGACAAAAAATATTTTAAAGCATTTATCATGGGACTGTGTCAGAGTAAGCTCAGTAACTATTGGCTTTAATTGTTAGTATTTCGTATCAGTGAGCACAGATACAATGTAAAAGTTTCTTTAAACTCAGGAACTGTGAGTCTTTGGCTAGTCAGAATTATTGGTGCCCTGAAAATATGTTGCAGTAGGCACTAGCAATTGTGAGGGACAGTTCCTTCTAGCAAATTTAGTGTGGAAGCAGATATTTAGACAACTGTGCTGCTCTAAGTGACTGCATAATAAGAATATGAACAATGTGAGTCAGCCAGCAGAGATGGAAACCCCATGTTGCCATGAATAGGAAGGTGGCTTAATTTGTTGATCATTGACACTCACTGAGCTCCCGCGCTAGCCCAAGATGCTCTAGATGGATAACTTAGCTAGAGTGGGGATAGCAGTTGAAGTTATAGCATTTAAGACAAGGGGCCAACTACCTGGAGATTGGGGAAGAGAATAGCAGGTGCAGGTGCTTCCCAGAGGTGTCTGAGGAAGCCCCAAAAGGCCAATGTTAGAGCACCGGAGGTTAGAGGGAGCGTGTACAGGAGGGGGCTGCAGAGGCCAGGTCACAGGACGTACAGACCACTGCCAAGAGGCTTCAGAAAGGGGAAACTACCTGGAAGAGATGAACTTTAAAAAGGAGTGATTTATTTTGCCTCTTTTGAAGGGCTCTGACCTATTTCCCATGTTATTCCCTAATGCTGTCAAAGACAGACATTGAGACAAGTTTGACTCTGAGAGTTTTGTCATATAGTGGTATCTAAGCTATGGCAGCGGTGGGAACAAAACAAAATGTGAAAACTGCAAGAGACTGGATTTTTCTGAATTAAAATCTTAAGCTTTCAGGTCAGTGCTGCTTTTTATTTAACTTTTAGTCTGGAAATAAATTCAGATTTACAGAAAAAGTTACAAGAGCTGTAAAAGAACTCCCTCTGGTCTGCTTTTTTTGCAAAGTCACCTATTAACATTTTGCTCCATATGCTTTGTTATTCTCTCTTTTGAATCATTTGAGTGAAATTTGCATACATCATGGTCCTTTATTCCTAGATAAATAATCACAATACACTTAAATTTCTGTAACATTGTAATACAGACAGTAGATTCGAGGACAGTAACAGTCTTCTTTCTCCAGTCCAGGATTATCTGTTGCCCTCAGTTGTTAAGTATCTTTCTTTTTTAGTTTTTATTTTATTTTATTTTCTATTGAAGTAACGTTAGAAGTTTTAGGTATTCATCATCGATAAACAAATCTTTCATCTATTGCATATTTTCAGCCTTTGTGTATATTTTTTATGTACACTTAGTGCTTTATGTACACTTAGTGCACTTTCAGAATTCATCACTTTTAATAAGAATAAAATAATATCTGTTAAGTACTTGCTAGGAACCTAATTGACAGACTGTTTCAGTTAATTTCCACAACAATTCTACAAGGTAGATACTATTATTATCTTCATTTTGCAGATGGTACATTCACTGTCTGCAGTTAAAATTTGAGTCAGGATCAAGAATTCAGTCTGCCTGCCTCCAGAACCGGTGATATTACTGCACAGTGGCAAGTACATTGTCACAGGTGGATCTTTACAATGGTCCTGGATCACAGCAGGACCATTTGTAGATAATTTGCTGCAGAGGGGAAATAATAAAATAAAATTGGTAGTTTGGATAGAGGCTAAGGAATCACTAGCAAATTTAAAAAATGGCCCCTCAGTATGTGGTGGGACATGGCACTAGCCCTTGAGCCCCTACGCCCATTCCCTACTCTCTGAAATGTCAGTGGTCATAATGCCATTCATTCTTCCACTCGTTTGACAATAAACATTTAAGTGCCAGCTGCCTCCCAATGATTGGCCTTGGAAGGAATGGGATAATATTGCATTTATTTATAAAATCAGCAACACTACAGTGAGAAATGTGGCTGTGACAATTTTCTTTGAATAGTGTGTTGGAGCTCTCTTCTTTCTTTTTTGACTTTACCTTTGCCCAGTAAGTCCTCCAAATAGGATGAGATGTGGTTTTCCTGAAAAAGTGTGGTTTCCTTATGCGTTGCAGTGGTGAACAAGGCAAGTAAATCTTAAGTCTGTCAGTGTGAGAAGCATTAAAGAAACAGTCTGGTTTCATTATCATGTTCTAAAGAAGAATCCAAATAGTTTTAAAAGCATTCTAATTACCCTCAGTGCCTCTTGAATCAAATGGCTTTTTTCCCAGATGACTTGTATGAAACCCCAAGACCAAAAAACCCCCAAGAACAGGTATTGTCCTTGTGTGTGACCTTGTGCTTTTTCCCTAGGTAAACTGTCAGTATTTATCAGTAGGGGAACATGCTTTTATCATCAGGGATAAAACCCTTCTTCCCTTCAGAGGTTTGTTTTTTTTTTTTTAAAGATTTATTTATTCATATATACAAGAACTGGGATACAGGTCAGATGCGCAGGAGGATGAGAGAATTCACCAGAGACAGAGCGGGGAACAGAACAGGCAGACTGAGTGAAATACACTGCTGAAGGGAGCAGCGGCCAAGACAGAAGAGATCTGTGCCGTGTGAGATTCTCACCGGCCATCTGGGATCGAACCCGTGCTACAGAGGCTGTGGACAGCTTCACAGCACTGCACTCAACCACCTGTGCCACCAGGGGAGGCCTCCCTTCAGAGTTCTTAATGCCTGAAATGATGATAGTAACAACAATGGCAAAGCAATACTGATAGTAAATATCTGTATCCTGTTTATCAGATGCTGTTCTGGGCACTGTACATAATTTGAACAAATGAAATCTCACACTGGACCTCTGGGTTATATATTGTTGGTATGACTATGTGAAGAAACAGGCTATTCATTAATATAATAATGGCATTTTGACTTCAGAAAACCCTTTCTGCTTTGAATGCACTAAAGCCCAGCTTCGGGGCCTCCCCGGTGGCACAGCAGTTGAGCGCTGGGCTGCGAAGCTGCCCGCAGCCTCTGCAGCACCGGTTCAATCCCCAGCCACCGGGCGAGGGTCTCACATGGCGCGCAGACCTCTTCTGCCGCCTGCTGCTCCCCTCAGCAGTGTTCTTTGTCAGTCTGCCTGCTCTGCTCTCCCCTCTGGCTCTGGTGAATTCTCTCACCCTCCCGCTCTTCTGACTGTACCCAGTGCTTGTATAAATAAATAAATAAATCTTTAAAAAAAAAAAAAAACTAAATAAAGCCCAGCTTCAATGTAAAAGGCTGTACTCACTAAGTGAATTTCGAGGCTTTTGAGTTTTCTTTTTTTTTTTTAAGATTTATTTATTTATACAAGCACTGGGTACAGTCAGAAGCGCGGGAGGGTGAGGGAATTCACCAGAGCCAGAGTGGGGAACAAAACAGGCAGACTGAGAAATACACTGCTGAGGGGAGTAGCGGGCGGCAGGAGAGGTCTGCCAGCCATGTGGGACCCTTGCCGGCAGGTGGGAATCAAACCGGCGCTGCAGAGGCTGCAGGCAGCTTCGCAGCTCAGCACTCAACCACTGCACCACCAGGGGAGGCCCAGCTTTTGAGTTTTCTGTTGCATCCCCTGTGTCAGAAACTCTGCCATTAGTGAATTGTTAGGGAAAAAGCATAGTTGTTCTTTGTCAAGCATGCCTGCCACACACACATTTTATTTCTCAGAACATGCAGGGATGCCTCATAGAACTCTGTTCTGGAGCATTTTAGTTCCTAGGTGAAAGAGACCATACCTGGCTCACCAACTTAGAAGAAAAATGAGGGAAAGAGGGCTTCCCCGTTGGCGCAGCTGTTGAGCGCTGGGTTGCGAAGCTGCCCGCGGTCTCTGCCGCGCCGGTTCGATCCCCGGCTGCTCCCCGGCCACCAGAGGAGGGTCCCACATGGCGCGCAGACCTCTCCTGCCGCCCGCTGCTCCCCTGAGCAGTGTGCTTCGGTCCTTCTGCCTGCTCTGCTCCCCGCTCTGGCTCTGGTGAATTCTCTCACCCTCCTGCGCTTCTGATTGTACCCAGTGCATGTATAAACAAACAAACAAACAAATAAATAAATAAATAAAACATGCCTCTATTTAAAAAAAAAAAAATGAGGGAAAGAAAACAAAGGTGATGTGCATAAAGTCTTGCAAAGAATTAGTGACAGACCAAGGCCTCAAACCCTGGACTTCTAACTTAGATCTTTTTATATTTTACTTTACTTCATTTTTTTCAAGGATTTATTTATTTATTTACTTATGCATAGAAGAACTGGGGTGTGGACCAGTGGTGAGAGGGGTGAGAAGTTTTACCAGAGACAGAGTGGAGAACAGAACAGGCAGATCGACTGAAATACACTGCTGAGGGGAGCAGCGGGCCAGAGAGGAGAGTTCTGCTGCTCCATGTGGATTAGCTCCCTGGCCAGGGATCAAACCCAGGCCACAACAGTGACAGCGTGATAGTGCTGAAACTTAACCCCTATGCCACCAGGGATATACTTTTTATATTCAAAATCTTTGTGCTTTGCTGCCTGTTAAACACAATTAAGAAACCTATGAAGTATGCACTTCAGTTGGAGTAGAAAAATGAAATAGACAATTGTAACTATTAATCTAGTTCATAAATTCCAATGGATGAAAGCTTTCATTCACCTTTACTTGAAAAACCAGCCAAAGTGAAAAGAAATGAAGAGCAAAGCATGTGTAATACAGTTGCTACACTGGAGGCACTAGAAAAAAAAAATGAAGTGACAGCAAAGTTTAAGATACTCTAATAAAAGTGTGACAAGGACTAGAGAATATTGAGTCTCATCCCTAATAAGGTAGGTTGAGGTGGCAGGTTCTCTGCTCCAGGGCTTGGGCCTTAGCAGTACCAGGCCCGTAAATGTGCAGTGATATCAGTTTGCAAATGTTCTGGTTGAAGCTGTACTAAAGGGGATTCAGTGATTCCAATTCAGCTGACTCCAAGTGAATACTTGTCACATACTTGACACTGGCAACAGGCAAGACACAGTCCCTGCCTTATTAGGAGAGTCAGAAGTAGCCATGGAGGAAAGTAGCTGTCCAAGGCACTACATGCTGTCCCGAGATGTGCTGTAGAACACACAGTGCCTTCAGCTCTGACCCCAGGGCAGAGGAAGGGCTTCCTGGAGAAGGTAGCATTTTTAAGAAGTGCCACCGATTGCAAAACATTAGGAAAGAGACAAAGCGAGAGGGGAGGGCAGGCATTCCATTTAGTCGTTGGGTTTGGTGGAAGAGAAAGGGTTAGAGTTAAAACTCAAATTGAATGCAGTTCATGGAATAGAGGAGGTTATTTTAACACCAAAGGTGCATGAATTCAGGCACTTTGATGGGCCATGTTCATGGTAGTTGACCTTGGGACACGAAGATCAAGTGAATGTCTCTGTGGTCTGTCCTGGCAGCTGCTCTTCACTTCTTACCCTTTAGGTCTGACAAAGCCTCTGAGTGAGTGGTTGTTAGAGCAGTGGGCCAGATAAGGGTACTTACCATTTCTTTTTTTTTTTTTAAACATTTTTTTTTAAAGATTTATTTGTTTATTTATTTATACAAGCACTGGGTACAGTCAGAAGCGCGGGAGGGTGAGAGAACTCACCAGAGCCAGAGTGGGGAGCAGAGCAGGCAGAAGGACCGAAGTACACTGCTGAGGGGAGCAGCGGGCGGCAGGAGAGGTCTGCGTGCCATGTGGGACCCTCCTCCTGTGGCCAGGGAGCATGCGGGGATCGAACCGGCGCTGCAGAAGCTGCAGGCAGCTTCGCAACCCAGCGCTCAATTGCTGCACCACCGGGGAGGCCCAGGGTACTTATCATTTCTACAGGACTGAAGAAAGTTGTTTAGGGGAGACGAGGTACAAATGCCCTTGCCCTTAACCGTTAATACATTCTTCCCAGGCTCCTCCTTGTTTCTGTTACCACAATGAAAATTGACACTATTTCTCTCAACAAAGGCCAGGTCTCTCCCTGTCCCTCCCTTCATTCTGGCCCTGCCTATTCTTTCTTGTGCTTCTTGTTTTCCCTTCTGGCATCTGGCACACACAGTTTGAGGTAACTGGCCTTAAGAACCATGAGAGCAGGACCCTGTCTATTTTGTTTGCTATTCTATTTCCCAGTGCCCGGTGCACAGCACGCCCTCAATTAATAATGTAACCGTGTAGGCATTTCCAGGCATGCTATGGGTAGTTGTAGTTTGACATTCTGGCAGCTTTAAAAGCTGTGCACGCTTCATTGTATGGACTGGCTCAGGTTACTATCATGACTGTCCAAAGTGGATTCTGGGTGCCTTTCTTCTCAGGCCCAGCTTTTGAGTCAGTGTAAGCCACATCGTGTGTCTGTCCAGTGCGCTCATGGCCATGGCTCGAGCTCCTGGACCCTGGCCTGGGCATCCTGTGTGGCCCGGATCTCCTTGCAGGTTGTGCCCAGGCTCACTGGCCTGTCCTTCCCCAGGAGGCAATCCAGTGTCCTTTAGACAGCACTGGAAGTGGAGTCAGGGAGCTGGTTTTATGCATCATAAGTCCCCATATCCCTGGGAATCCACTCCACACCCCCAGCATCTGTGAATGGGGATTTTTTGGGGGTACCTCTTTGTTCCTTGGGTGGCAGTGGGTACTTTCAAAATTGTCAGTAAAAACTAAGTATCGCTTTACACTTCATATCACGTCAGCTCATGGGAATATAGAGAAGAAACTAAAGACTTACCAGTTTTCCCTTTTCCTCAGGTGGCTCACAGAGAACCACAGAGGTTCATTTCAAAAATATATATTTTTAAAGATTTATTGATTTATGCATACAAGAGCTGGGGTACAGGCCCAAGATTCGGGGAGTGAGAGGACTCACCAGAGACAGAGTGGGGAACAGAACAGGTGGATCTACTGAAATACACTGCTGAGGGGAGCAGCGGGCGAGACAGGAGAGGTCTGCTGCATCATGTGGGTTGCTCCCTGGCTGGGGATAGAACTCGTGCTGCAGAGGCTGCGGATTGCTTCATAGTACGGTGCTTAACCCCTTGTGCCATCAGGGAGGCCCCTCAAAAATATATTTTATTTCAAACAAAGACATAGGAGCAGTAACAATTAGCTAATTTTGATAGCACCTTAATAAGATTAATCCTCTTTCATCTTCAGTAACCAACCCTATGAAGTTAGTCTTTCAATTCAGTTTTGCTAAGGAGGGGAGGTGACTTAGTGACTTCCCCGAGGTCACATGACAATAACAGAAGGCACTTTTAGCCAATGCAGTCCTGGTGCTAAGTCCTACCCTGCACGCTTACCTTGCCATGTTTTGGCACTGCAGGAGGAGTGTGTGTGCATCCTGCTTGTATTTCTCAGAGATGTGTTATTGCTGAGAGTTGCCCCATGTTTACAGAGTATATTCTAAGTAAGCTCAATCTATGCCCATGGAACCCCTTTTCTGGAAGGCAGTTTTGAAGGCTTAGTAATAGCTTGGCCAGGGTGCTATGGGAAGGCTGAGGCAATCTTCTGGGGTGCTTTCCAACCCCATGACGCTTGTAGGCACTGCTGCCTATGTAGGCAGAAGCATCAGCACATCAGAGGACATACCACAGCACATTGATGCAGGGTCTGTTTGTCTGCACAGGTGCTCTCTCTGGACCCACACGCAAGTGACCCAAGATGCCTTTCAATGGAGAAAAGCAGTGTATGGGCGAGGATCAGCCGAGCGATTCCGACTCATCCCAGTTTTCTGAAAACATGGCTTCACTAAGTGACTGTGAGTGCTCCAGGCAGAGTTTTACAAGCGACTCCTCCAGCAAATCCAGCTCTCCTACATGTAAGATGACAGGGGAGTAGGGGCTCAGGGTGGTGGGGATGGCTTCACATATAATGTGTCAGATTTTAAAATTCAGAAATGAATGAATTCAAAGTACACCCTTCCTCCCCTTTCTCAATGTACCAGAATAGCACTGCGAAGGCCCCGCTGCTATCTGGTACATGCACTCAGGAATAAATAGCCTCTAAAGTTGACAACCTGCCCATTTTTATTTCCCTCCCTGTCTCCGATCTGCTTTGCTTTGACGATAAAGCAGGTCTCTCAACCCCATTTGTCTTGTCACTGTATTGGAAAGCCATTCAAGATCATTTTGGGAGCCTCATTCTAGGACCAATTCAAATCAGTCTTTTCTGGTCATTTCCGACATATATTGAAGGAAACCTGCCCTAATTCAGGGATCAGGCAGGAAGTGAAATAATATAAAGGGTTTCCTGCCTATTTCAAAATCTGTTGTACAAAGCACCCCAGAAGGGTGCACATGAGGAAAATTACTACATATACTGAGGATGTGAGGAAAGGGTTGAAGGAGTGGCTACAGTGGGGGAAAAAAAAAGTCCTTTTATATATGTGGAAGCTAGAGATGTGTAAAAGCGTGTATTTGTCTTTTTTCTTGGCTTTTTAGTTGGCATTTTGATAGGAAATATAACACCTTAAACTGACAAAATCAGAGGCAGAAAGAATCAGCTAGTGTTTAATATGATCAAATGCCAACTTAAAAAAAGTTGTACATTTGTATTTATTTTAAATTTATACAGTCTCATTTTAAAAATTTGGAAAGTGCATGTGCATATGCATAGTACAGAGAGAATAAGATATTCCCTATCACACCTTCTGGAGATGACAGCTGGCAGGGCTTGGTCACGTCTTCCATTTTCACTTAGGCATCTGTGTGGACTCTTCACTCAGTCTTATAACTAAAACATTCACTCAGGATAATATATATTTTTAAATAGTTTTTATAGCTGCCTACTACATCACATGAATGTATTGTAAATGTATTTGACATTGTTGTATCATTTGCCATTTAGTTCATTTCCTTTGTTGTTTTGTTTTTTCTGTACCAAATAGTGCTTTATGAACATCTTGGTGCATAAAGCTTTTCCAGGAATTCCTTTGGATATAATTAGATTGTTGGACTAAAGGGTATTGACATTTTTAAAGAGACTCTTAATGGGGAAGAGAGTTGATAAAACATACTAACAACCACCTAGGTTTCTATGCCTTTTCTCATTCTTTATACTATATTTGGAGTTGATGTTGCTAATATCATATCTAGGCATCCTAATTCTGTGTATCACCATTCTTTCTCCCTCACCCCAACTATTTCCCCCTTCTTCCTCCTCATCCTGTACCTTATAATATCATCATTGTTACCATTATTTTTATTATTTTAAATTGCCTGTCAGTAAGGTGGCTTGTGATCATGACCTTTAGTTAAAGAAGCTAAGAGTTCTAAAAGTGTTACCTCACATATTGTAATATTTTCTTAAAATACTCTTTAGAAATAAGTAGAATAATTCCTTATTTATACCTTCTTCCTGAAAAGTAATGACCTAGTTTATTAAATTTATTTTGCTTTAAATTATCTACCTTTAGTGAGATTTTGTTATGCTCTTAGATAATGTAGTCACCTCAGAACAGCCATGTGAGGAAGGTAAGCTGTACCTCAGTAAAATCAAATGATAACTACCAATTTGGGTTCAATTCTAAGTTTCAAATGATAACTTAGCATTATGCTATACTGCCCATACTTTTAGAAATTATAGCTTTTGAAAACCAGTTATTTTTTAGTAAGTCTGCTTAAGTTGATGAGAGTTTGGAGTTACAGAATAAAATTTTCTGTATAGTACACGTAATGATGCAGATAATAGGGAACTTAAAAACTGAGGAGATTTAAAAAGTAACTTTTGAGGGCCTCCCCTGGTGGCGCAGTGGTTGAGCACTGGGTTGCTAAACTGCCCGCAGCCTCTGCAGCGCGGGTTCTATCACCGGCCACCAGCGAGGGTCCCGCATGGCGCAACAGACTTCTCCTGCCGTACTCACTGCTCCCCTCAGCAGTGTATTTCATCAGTCTGTCTGTTCTGTTCCCCGCTCTGGCTCTGGTGAATTCTCTCACCCTCCCGCACTTCTGACTGACCCAGTGCTTGTATAAATAAATGAATAAATCTTAAAAAAAAAAGTAACTTTTGATTGGCCTATATGGATAAGGTTGTCTCAGAAACATTGAGAGTTTATTACCAGTTACAGTAACCAAAGCTATCAAAGGAGTTCTTGACTTTTTGAAGTCTTTATCAATCAGCTGTTTTGGAATATATTCTTACTTATAAAACCCTGAAAATATATATTGGAGTAACTGACACCCCATTTGCAGTGGGGGCTTCTTTGGATGACAGCTTCTCTGCTGGGGCATTGACTGGTTGGTTTATCTTTCAGCACCAAGCCCTCCCAGGGTTCTCACATACGATGAAGTGATTGCTGCGGCAGGGAACTTGTTAAACTTGACTCTTGCTCATGAAATTGCTGTCAACGAGAAATTTGAAGTGAAACCAACTCCCATTCCTGAGAACAGGTAACCGGGGGACGTTTGTTGTACATAAACTTAATTGAAGATTTTAGAAGCCTCTGAACATAGGAATCACAGCTGTATGGACACGGCTGGTTAGCCTCACCCCTGAGGGAGCTCTAGGAGTGCCCTAGATCCTACATCAGTCTGACTGCAGTAGCTCCAAATCTCCTGGGACAGAGATGAAGAAAAGGCCTCAAGCCATTGCTACAGATGAATCATCTTTAAAGGCAAAGTTGGCTTATAGATAACAGTGCTGAATCTCTAATCTCCTGGTGCCATTATAAATCCAGAGGCATCTGCTCTGTGAATTAAGAAAACATAATAGTTGATTCCAGCTAGAACTTAATTCTTTTAAAGGAACATAGTTAATGTAATCATGTTCTGTCTTTAAAATGTAAATCATAGTGTTTCTGGGGACGTTATTCATGATAATCTTTAGTATTTTTTAAGAGTGTGGAAAGTAGGTGTATCTGTGTGGTAACTGCATTCCACCTTGATCCTTTACCTTTATACCGCTTCTGCTGCTCACCTAGGCAGGGCCACCATCATCTCCAACCTGGACTCTTTAATCCTAACTAGTTGCCCATCTCCAACTTAACTCCCCAAGTTCTTCCTCCACATCCACATTGTAGCCACAGTGACCTTTCTAAAGGGCAAATCAGATGAGATCATCTCTTTGCTTAAGACCCTTCAGTGGTTTTCTTGACACTTAGAGTAATACAGATGTTGGTTAGCATGGCCGCAGGCCCTACTTTTCCAACTCCTCTCTACTGCTTCCCCTCCTATTTGTTGTGCTTTAGACACACAGCTCCCCTCCTGACCTCAGCGCACTCCAGCTTGATCCTGTCCCGGGGACTTTATTCTCCAAAGTTCTTGCACTCATCCTGCACAGGCTGCTTTCTTTCTCCCCACTCAAGTCTCAACTCAAAGATTATATCCTCTCTCAGAGAAGCTTTCTTTAACCACTCAGCAAGATCGGCACCCTCTGCCACGTCCCTACCTGCTACATCGTCTTCTCCGTCTTCCTCATAGCTCTGAAATTATCTTGTTTCTTCTTAATGTGTTTTTTTTTTTTTGTCCCTGCTAACATAATAAGCTTTTGAGTGTACAAACTTTCTTTTCACTGCACTATCCCCTGTGCCAAAACAGGGTCTACCACATGTTGGATGTTGCATAAACATTTATTGACCTGCTAATGGAAATGAATGTTTGAAGTGAAAAATTAGTGTGTTTATGTAGTGCAGCAGGAGACAGTTGGGGGTATTGGTACTGTAAACTCTAGAATTGTTAGTGTAGGCCATAGTGAAGGCACCTCACGATCAGGCAGACCCTGGGATCTGAATTCTGGCTCTGCTGAGACCATCTCTGAGTCTTGCTTCCTCAGGGATATTTTCTTTGGGGGCCGGGGATTGGTGAATAAAGTCCAGTTGTTGATATCCAGTAGGAATGCTTATGATTTGATTGCTCTCATCTCCTTACCCATATTCTCTAGAAAATTTAAAGAGTTTAAGCAGTACCTTGCAGCCTATAGGGAAATTTAAGTTTAAACTCTGATGTCCCTATGGGAATTTATAAAGTTGTTGTCCTGGTTGGTTCATTCAAGCCAGGAGTGGGAGGCTCATCAAGTCAGGAGTACTGCTGGCCTTTCAGATTGCATGGCCGCTCTCCAGCATCTCAAACACTGGACATGGCATTCTGTTTAATACATCTAGTTAGGCAACTGGAACAGGTTTTAACATTTAAAGTTTGTGAGTAGACTATATTATTCACAGTTATTGAAACAACTTTAATTCAATTTAACAATTTTAACTTCTCAGAAACCTAATTTTCATAGCACTATTGTACATTTAGCTATTGGCAATTAAAAAAAAAAAAACCACTTCCAAAATATCAAGTCATTCACTGTTCATTCATTGAACACTCACTAAATGTCAGATGCTGTATTAACTACAATGGCAAGTACCTGAAGAAGTCCTGCCCTCCACCCGGTGAGCAATAGAGCCTGGTAAATAATTACAATGCAGGGAAATAATATGCTTTTCTCAAAACTGCTGCAGAATAGTGTAGGTATTTAGTAGGAATGTGTATTTTGATATGCACCTATTTTAGGGCATTGACATAATGGGTGAAGTGAGGTGGCTACCTATTCATTGTGAACACTTCCACGAAGGTTCCTATTTCAGCAATTTGGTCTGGCTTACTTTAAATGGAACATCTAAGCTGAAGCTGGCAGGCATTCAAAGGCATGTATCCTTGCGGTCAGTCTATTCTATTCCATGTCATGAAACTTCAGCTGTTGAGGAAAGAGCAACTCAGCCATCTCATTCCATTAGAGCAAGTCTAAAGATCCATGCGGGACTCTGGCTCTGGTGAATTCTCTCACCCTCCCGCACTTCTGACTGTACCCAGTGCATGTATAAACAAAAAAACAAACAAACAAATAAATAAAACATGCCTATATTAAAAAAAAAAAAAGATCCATGCGGGAGCTGTAGCAAGGTAAACTGCAGCATCTGCTTAGGGCAGAATTTGATGAATTTATTGAAAACTATAGGAGAGAAGCATTTTTTAAAAAGATTTTATTTTTTTTTTATTTATGCATACAAGAACTGGGGTGTAGGCCAGAGGTGTGGAGGGTGAGAGGATTCACCAGAGACAGAGTAGGGGGCAAAACAGGCAGCTCTACTGAAATCCACTGCTGAGGGGAGCAGCGGGCAATACAGGAGAAGTCTGCTATGCCATGTGGGTCAGCTCCCTGGCTGGGGATTGAACTCATACTGCAGTAGCTGTGGATAGCTTGATAGTGCTGAGACTTAACCCCTTGCACCACCAGGGAGGCCCAGAAGGAAGCATTTTTAAAGCATGAAGGAGACACTTAGGAGAGAATATTGAAGAATCAAGTTTAAGTCTAAATAAATAAGTATATACTGGGAATTCTTAATTATGTTAAATACATTGAACTAGGAAAATATGTCAGATATCAGTGGTATTATGGGCAATTTTTATTCTGTTGTTCTGCATTTTCTAAATTTTCTACCTTGAGCATATTTTTACAATCAGTAAAAATGCTCATTTTGAAAAAAACATCCATTCATTCCTGTAGCTTGTTTGGTCAAGTGAAGCACATTGTCCACCAGGCCTTTTGGGACCTCCTGGAATCGGAACTGAATGCTGAGCCTCCCAAATACGAATATGCCATCAAACTGTTTGAAGAAATCAGAGAGGTGAGTTGATGTTGTCAGTGTTAATTAGAAGTTTTTTTCTCTTGGAAGATCATTTTCATATTCTCCAAAGAGCATTGGATGTGACTGGAAGGATTTTCTTCCTGTACCTTCCAGAGTGGGGTGGAGGCAGGGAAAATGAGGAAGAAAAGGAGCACAGGGCAATGCTTAGTGCACAGAGTGGAGGTTGTAGTGGTGAACAGCTGGTGCTCTGGAGTTAGACCTGGCGCGGGGACAGCCTCTCCTCCTTGGGTCTTGGTTTCCCAAGTACTTCTAGGGTAGTTATAAGAATGAAATGACATGAGAGTTATAGTTGTTTTAGCATTTACATTTACAAAGTGCTTGTTCTATACCAAGCATTAGATTGTTCATTTATCCTTAACACTGTGAGGTAGCTATTTCTGATACTATTTTATATAAAGAAATCAAACTCCTGACTCACCCAGGGTCACACAGCTCAAAGGGGTGGAAAGGATTTGAACTGAAGCTCTCATTCATAGCCGGGTGCCAAACCAGGTGCTTTGTGTCTATAAGTACACTGTTTGCTGTGTGATGAACACTCTGTAGAGGTTGCTTATCAAAGGTAAATATTTTATATGTAAAATATACTGTGTTAATGGAGCCTATGGGGCATTTCCATTTTCTCTTCTTTAAAAGATATTTTTTTTTTTTTTTTTTTTTAGCTTTTTTTTTTTTTTTTTTTTTATAGAGGCATGCTTTATTTATTTGTTTGCTGGTTTGTTTGTTTGTTTTGTTTATACATGCACTGGGTACAGTCAGAAGCGCGGAGGGCGAGAGAATTCACCAGAGCCAGAGCGGGGAGCAGAGCAGGCAGAAGGACCAAAGTACACTGCTGAGGGGAGCAGCGGGCGGCAGGAGAGGTCTGCGCGCCATGTGGGACCCTCCTCTGGTGGCCGGGGAGCAGCCGGGGATCGAACCGGCGCCGCAGAGGCCGCGCGCAGCTTCGCAACCCAGCGCTCAACCGCTGCGCCACCGGGGAGGCCCTAAAAGATATTTTTTTAAGCCATGATCTGCAGCTTGTAAACTGAGTAATTGCTTCCTTGCCAGTTGTTTTCATGCTGATAGTATTAGTGATTTCCCATGGAGGGAGGGGGGCTCTAGTTCAAATGATCAGAGTATTATTTTTAGAGTTGAGACGCTGGAACGATCCCACACCCAGCACAGGAAACTTGTAGGCCATCTGGGACATTGTAGCATGGACAAGACACTGAAGTAAAAGGGACAACCTTTGTTCATATAACGATGCTGTTAATTTTCTCTCCTTTCCCTGCGTAGATTCTTCTCTCTTTTCTGATTAATGGTGGCAACCGCCTTCGTGACCAGATCTGTGAAGTATTGGACACAGACCTCATTAGGCAGCAAGCCGAGCACAGCGCTGTGGACATCGAAGGGCTGGCCAACTACATCATCAGTACGATGGGGAAGCTCTGTGCTCCCATGCGAGATGGCGACATCCGGGAGCTGAAGGTCACTGGCAACATCGTGCAGGTGCTGCGGTGAGCACTTGGGACTTCTGTTCTCTTAGTTCATTCCAGAGGGAATTGCGGGGCTTTAGGAACAGATAGTAGTAACTAGTCTCAAAAAAAAAAACAAAAAAAAAACCTTGACTTTCAAAGAAAGCCAAATAAAGCAAGGAGCAAGGCAGTCACTCACAACAACATTGTTCATGGGCAAGTGCTGGAACTGAGGAATGCGGTGTTGGAAAAAGAGAGATGCAGTCCCCGACCTCAGGGAGTTTTCAGTCAGTGGGGATACAACGAATTACTTACGGTGGTAGCTGCTATAGAAGAGGCAGTGGAGAGGCTTTAATAGAGCCTCCGGCAGGGGGCACCTAACCTAGGCAAGGATCTAGGAAGGCTCCTTTATTAGTAAGGATATATTAGCGGCACCAAGTCCTCAGACACCCTTAACATTCAGCTGATGAATGAGAAAGATCACGAGGAAGCCTACCCAGTATTTAACCGTCGTGGCCCAGAAGTGACACATTCCACTGACTCTAACTCATCCCACGGGGCCACCTAGATTGCAGGAGTTTTGGGAAATGTGGTTGCATATCTGGAAAACACATTTTCTACCTCAAACCTGCTTATTGGAAAAGGAGCATGGCTCTTTGGCCAACAAGTCTTCTTTGCCGCAGCTGCCCTGTGGCGGTAAGGTGAGATTCAAATTGTAGGAATCTGATATGGCTGTGTAGACAGTAACATCTTTGTGACACCACACTTTTGGGCACTGAAGGGAACTTTTTCCCCTTTTTTATGAATATAACCACATTGAGAATTTAATTTTATACTATAGTGTTAGAAAGGTAGGAGAAAAAAATTGCATGTAGCAGGTAACTGTATGACCTTGAGCAAGGTAATAACCTCTCAGAGTCACACTTTTCCCCATCTGTAAAGTGGACTTTATATATCTTTAGATTTCTGCTCAGCTTTGGAAAATTGAGATTCTTCACTTGTGGAATCCTTGCACAAGTGGAAATGATGTTCCTCGTTTCTCATTGATTATCTCACTGGCTTTTCATAATATCTCTCCAAGGCTGATCTTGTCCTCTGTTTACACAGACAAAAAAACTGGGGCTCAGAGAGACTGAGTATCTTGTGCCTGGCCACTGAGCTGGTGGTTTGCAACACTGTCTTTGAACACAGGGCTGCCCTGCTCTAACCTGAAGGATGTTGTCCCCTGGGCCTCACTTCCCATTCCTGTTTCGTCTGGCCTTCTCTTTTCTTTCCTCTTATTCCGTTTGGCCAAAAAAAACCATTATACAATGTTCAGGCTTCCTAACATTTAAGGGGTTTTCAAATGAAAATTCCTGCTTGAATCTTTTTTGTCTCACTGTTGAGACTCGTTGTTTATGCTTCTTTGTTTTTCTATCAGTTTATAACTGGAAGGAATGTTTCAGCAGAGATACTGTAATCACTAAACCAAACACTCTTGAAATCTGTGGAAGAATCCATTTGGAATGCACCTGTAATGCTGTCTGTGAAAAGACCTTGCCAAATGGCAGTTGGAATTTCAAAACTATTTTGTGCGTGTGTTGTCTTTCTAGTGTGTACAGTAGGTAGACGCTATGAATTTCAGCCTAATTTTTAAATTACCTTCCTATTTTAACTGCATACTTTTTAGACAAATATTTCACGTTTTGGACCTCATGAAACTGGATATGGTCAATTTTACAATTTGGAGTATTAGACCCCATCTTCAACGCCAGTTGGTGGATTATGAGAGAACCAAGTTCCAGGAAATTTTAGAAGAAACTCCAGGTAAGTATAATATAATGTGTGTTTATGCATTTCAGCCTTCTGTTGAACATGTTTAATGTCTAAAATTGATGTCACAATTTGTAATAATTTCCTATGTTTCAGGAAGTGTGCTAAGCACTACTCATTTCTTCATGCATCTCTCTCAGACACACACAAACACAAACAAGCATGCACATGCACGCACTTATTAAGCTTCTACTGTGTTCCAGAGACAGCTTAGGTGCTGTGGATACTCCACTAAACAAAACAGAATAGAGTTGTGAACCCCAAACCTGACATTTTACTAAGCATGATAAACAAACACATATTATCAGATGTAGTATTAATTGCTGTGATGGAGAAATAGGATAAAGGGGTGGGTAGTAAAGGGGCATGGGTGAGGGTGGGGGTTGTGGGTTTTTTTATGAGTTGGACTGGGGAGCACTCTCTGATATGTAATATTTGAGCAGAGTTTATAAATAAGTGAGGGTATGAATATTTGAAGGATGAACATTCCAGCCAGAAGGAATTGCAAGTACAAAGACCCTAAAGCAGAAAATGACTTGTGACATTGGACAAACACAAGGCACACGGGCTGGCTAGAACAGAGGAAGCGGAGAGAGAATGATAGGGGATGAGGAAGGCAAAGGCAGGTCACCTCGAGCCATATTAGGACTTGAGAGAAATTTAGATTTCATTCCCAGTGTCATCAGAAGTCTTTGGAGAGTTTTGAGTAGGGGAGCAATGTCTGATTTAGCTTTTTAAAGAGTCATCTGGCTCATAGTAGTCAACACTAGCAAACACTTTATTTGAGTACTCATCATGGGCCAAGTCTTGACAGTGTGTCAAACACTTCAAACACTTTACATTTATTAGCCCATGGAAGCCCAAGAATAACCCTGTGAGGCTGTGACTGTTGCCACCCACTGTTTACAAATGAGAAAAATGAAGTTGAGGTATTTACCGTAGGTGACTGCTACTAATTGGGGTAATCTGGTTAGGCCAGCTATTTCTGTGGCCAGGCCACGTGCATTCAACCAGCAAGCACACTGCTGTCTTCATACAGGATGTGCACATCTGTGGGGGGGTGTTGCAGCGGGAGCTCTGGCAGCTGGTGCCTTATGGGACTAGATGATTCCTAAGGAGCCTTCCTATAACCAACACTCTGTGTTTTAGCTGCAAAGACAGAGGGATTAAGGGAAGTGGAGGCTGAATTTGAAACCTTATCTATAGTAACTTGTTCTTAGCATTTTCCTGAGAATGGCTGGTTTCATTGTGCCTGTGTGTATGTCTATATGTATACATGTGCATACCTATGTGTACATACGTATGTGTCCAATATCACCATGTCTTGAATCAAGATAACTTGGAATCTTGAGCCAATTCTTTAATAGAGGGTTGAATGATAATTTTGTTTATCTCAAGTGATATGTTTCTGACATTAAAAACCGGGTTTACTGACCCATAATTCATCTGGACCTTTCACATGAACCTGTCTATTTCCAGAGATTTAAGAATAGAATAATCCAGCTGTGCATATAGGTCATTATTGCCCAGCTCTAAATATGTTCCCAGAGAAAGAGTCCAGGAAGCAGAGTGTATGTCAGCTGTTAATTATATCCTCGAGTCTCTCTGCCAAAGTCGGCTACTGTGGCCTGCTGTCAAAATAAGAGCCTGAGTGTCGTGTAGAAGGATGAAAGCATTGTTGGAATATTGTGTGTGTATGATTTATAAAATAATTACTGGAAAATGAATACAGAGGAGAACTGTGGATTTCTGAATTGACTTAAAAAATGATTTTATTTTGCCTAAGGGGAGATTTTATATAATTGCAATATTTATTTTTTTTAAAGATTTATTTATTTATATACAAGAACTGGGGTACAGGTCAGAGGCGCAGGAGGGTGAGAAGACTCACCAGAGACAGAGTGGGGAACAGAACAGGCAGACTGATGAAATACACTGCTGAGGGAGCATCAGGTGAGACAGGAGAGGTCTGCGTGCCATGTGGGTAGCTCCCTGGCCAGCCGGGAATCAAACCCGTGCTACAAAGGCTGCGGACAGATTCACAGCACTGCGCTCAACCCCTTGCCCCACCAGGGAGGCCCTATAATTGCATTATTTAGAATACACCAAAGAAAGCCTTAGGCAGTGGTCAGGCTCATGTAGAAAGCACCAACGAGGTAGCCACAGTAGAGCCAACAACAAAACTAACTGGAGAGAATAACCGATTACCCAGGGCAAGGGGTAATTACCACAACTAACTTATTTTTTTTTAAAGGATTTTGCTTTTTTTTTTTTTTTTTTTAAAGATTTATTTACACAAGAACCGGGGTACAGGCCAGATACACAGGCAGGTGAGAGGACTCACCAGAGACAGAGCGGGGAACAGAACAGGCAGACTTATGAAAGACACTGCTGAGGGGAGCAGCAGGCGAGACAGGAGAGGTCTGAACGCCATGTGGGACCCTCGCCGGCCGGCTGGGATCAAATCAGCACTGCAAAGGCTGTGGACAGCTTCACAGCGTGGTGCTCAACCCACTGTGCCACCAGGGAGGCCCACCACAACTAATTTTGAAGAAACTCAGAAAAGAGAGTTGTATTTTTTTTAGATAATACCTTTTCTGATACAATGTTCTCATGAGCTTCATTTCATGTGATTTCAAAAATCCTAGAGAACTTTGTCTTTTCAAAAATTATATCAAACTGCATTATAATTGTCTTTTCCTAGCTCATCTTTGAGATAGTTAAATGGGCTTTTAAACGTATCAGTTGTAAATGATTAAGCTTGCAATATAAATGCTTATTATTGCCACATTGTAATTGTATCTATGATTACATGTATATCCCTCCTTAAATAAAAGACTGCAAATCTTTTATATGTTCATAAATAAAACCAGAAAGACCAAGAACAACATTTGCCAATAGACACAAGGTTGTGAAATTCTAGGGGTGGTTTTATTTTAGTATAGCAAACAGCTACTCATAAATTACCCCTGTTCAAATGCTGGGTTTGAGGAAGAATTGCAGGGTGACTATTCTTTATTTTGTCTGGACACTTAAAAAATCTGCCCCAGTGTTCAGTCTACTTTTTTTTAGCAGTCACTGCTCTATGAATTCTACCAAATACATATTTTTATAGGAAATTCAGTATAAAAAGCAATTTGTTTCTAGTAAGGAACCTTAGAACTGTGTCTAATGTAAAATAAAGTGAATTTTGTCCTAAGGCAGACAGCCTCAATAGAAAAATCTTGCCCTCAAACTTTCCTCCTTCTGAGTGAACTTCAATATGTCAAATTTCATTTGTTCTTGATGTATGAGTTGTTTCACTCATGGTTGGAGGAAATGCTTGCAAATAAAAGTAAATGAATGTTATTATTTAAACTGTTCCTCTCAATTGTGAGTGATTTTGCACTGCAAGGGACATTTGGCCATGTCTGAAGACATTTTTAGTCATTCACTGGGGGAGAAGATTGCTGCCGGCAGCTAGTGAGTGTACGCCAGCGATGCCGGCAGAAACCCTACAAAACAATGGACAGCACCAACAAAAAGAATTACCCAGTCCAGATGTCATGTGCTGAGGGTGAGACACCCTGTTCTAGAAAAGAATTGGAATGAATCCATTTCATGATGGAGGAAAAAATGTGTGGGTTTTTTATTTTTTCCATGCTCCAGGATGATTTGGTCATCACGAATCTAAGAAGTGTGGTGGCAGTCCGGCCTTTGGGGTTACTGTGTGTTTGGAAGCGGTCTCATTTCAGCCAGACTCGCTTGACGGCAGGAGCCGTCCTCTCCTTGCCTCCTTTCCATCAGCTGGGTGGACTGTCTCTTCAGAGCAGTTGCAGAGGCACCTTTGGGAACAATTGGATGAGGGGTGTAGTTGTTTGCTAACAAACTACTAACATAATGGAATTATTATTTCCCTTAATCACAAAAATCCCTTTTATTATAGTATCTCAGTGCCTTATTCTTAGAAAATGAAGTGAATTAAGCTTTAGAACCTCATTTCCAGTGACACATATTTTTAATGCAGAAGAATTGAATTTGATAAACTCGTTTAAAGTGAAAGGACAACCTAATGACATTGTCACACATTGCCTAAAATCAAATTAAGTCTAAGACTCAAGTTCAGGGATTTCACCTCTTCTTCATCTTGTCCCTCATGTGTACAATGCAAATTGGATTCCAAAGTAAAGTTGCTTCCCCATTCTGAGTTTGCTTTCTAAGCTCTTGGAGAAGAGACTGTTGGTAATCAGCCTCTCTACATTGCCAACTTATGTTTACTTGTCAGATGTTTCAAGAATTAATGTAAAGTACCTCTCTGCTTAATACTGGGTTCAGTTTGGCAAGCAATTAATTCTATAGGCACTGCCAGTGGTGTGTTGGAAGTAGTTTGTACTGTTAGTTTCTTGTTATAAATACACTTACTGATTACAACCTAATCATCCCAGTACTAACACCTTGTCCCAAAGAAATGTAAACTCCCATTGACACAAAAACTTATCTGAGAAAGTTAATAGCAACTTTATTTGTATAGCCCTATAGGAGAAACAACCCAAATGTCTTTCAGCAGGTGAATAAACAAAACTATAGTGGACTATTACTCAGCTATGGAAAGGAATGAACTATTGATATACACACTAGCTTCGATGCTGAGTTAAAAAAAAATCTCTGAAGTTTGTTAAATATTGTATGATTCTATTTGTCTGATATTCTAAACATGACATAATTACAGTGATCAGTGGTTGCCAGAGGTTAGAGCTGGGAACAGAATGTGACTTTAAGGGATAGTGTGAGGGAGTTTTTTCTTTTTATGGTAAGGGATAGTTCATTATCCTGATGGTTACACTAATATACATAGTCATTAAATTTCAAAGAACAACATTCACACAAAGAATGCATGTGAAAACTGGTGAAATAAAAGCTTGTAAGTTAGTGGTTGTAAATCAGTTACAGTTTCCTGGTTTTGACAATGGAATGTAGTTTTGTAAGATGTTGTTGAGAGAAGGTGAGAGAGGGATACAGAGGAACTCTGTACTATCTATAGTTTCTTGAGTCTTAAATTCTTCAAAATAATTTTTTTAATTTAATATATTTTTTTTATTTTTTACATCACTGTTCATTTTTAAACAGTATTTGCTTCCTCTCCTCCCCCCAGGTGTAGTCCCCATAGAGTTTCCTTCCCCAATGTACCTGTGCACCATCACCTCAGTAACCTGTGCTCCTCCCTCCTTCCCTCTGATCCCTCTCCCGCCTCCTCCCCTGCAGGATGTCTCTGATTTATAATTGTCCATTTTTGCTTTGTTGTGTTTTGTACTATTAACATTTTTTACACTGATGTCTTATTGGGTTCCCCTATATTCCTGCTATAAGTGAAAGCATCCGATATTTTTCTTTTTCCTTCTGACTTATTTCACTGAGCATAAGTCCTTCTAGTTCCATCCACATTGCTGCGAATGGCATGAGTTTATCATTTTTGATTGCTGAATAATATTCCATTATGTATATATGCCACATCGTCTCGATCCAGTCATCTGTTTTTGGGCATAGCATAGGGGCACAGGTATTCTTTTGAATCAATGTTTTTGTGTACTTTGGGTAGATCCCTAGCAGTGGAATTGCCAGGTCGTATGGTAGCTCCACAAAATAAAATTATTTTAAACAGTGAAAAAGAAATGAACTGTGATACTTAAGATAACATGGATAAATCTCAAAGATACTATGTTTAACAGGCATATGAAAAAATGTTCATTATCACTTATTATCCAAAACCACAATGAGATACCACCTCACACCTGTAAGAATGGCCCTCATTAAAAAAAAAAAAAAAAAAAAAAAAAACTGGAAGCAACAAATGCTAGCAAGCCTGTGGTTAAAAAATGAACCTTTTTACATTGCTGGTAGGAGTGTAAACTGGTCCAGCTACTGTGGAAAGCTGTGTGGAGGTTCCTCAAAACACTAAAAATAGATCTACCATATGATCCAGCAAGCCCACTCTTAGGAATCTACCCAAAGAGCATAAAAAGACTAATTTGAAAGGAAACCCACACTCCTATGTTTATTGCCATAATATTTACAGTAGCAGAGATACGGAAACAACCTAAATGCCCCCAAATAGATGAATGAATCAAAAAGATGTGGTATATATACACAATGGAATACTACTCAGCAATCAAAAAAATTAAACTCATGCCATTTGCAGCAACATGGATGGAGTTGGAAGGGATCATGCTAAGCAAAATAAGTCAGAAGGAAAGAGATAAATGTTGGATGGTTTCACTTATGTGTGGAATATAGAGAAACCAAACAAAAAGTTAGGAAAAAGATAAAACTTGTAAGCTTGCAGTAGATCTGAGGCACTCAGCAATGCGGGAGGGAGGGAAGACAAGGGACAGGGATCATGGGTGCTGTGGCAGTGGGAGAGCTACAGAGACTACACCTACAACTGAGGGGAGAAATCAAATGCTATCCAAAAATTTATGATGTAAGAAAATTAAGTAATAAAAAATTGTATGTTTAACACCGATTCCACTTATATGATGCTTTAGAAGGTGAAATTACTCCATGAAGATAGAAATCAAAGCACAGTAGAAAGGGGTGCAAATTGACTGGGTAGGGAGATGAGATGACTTTCTGGGATGATGGAAATGGTCAAATGAATGCTGTTTGTAACTTGGGTCTGTGAATCTGATAAGATAGAATGACCCTTGTCTGTGGGCCTGTGCACACTAGCATACATGTGCATTTGGGGATAGGCATGGGTCTAGCAAGACACTCAGATGGGGTCTAGAGCCCCAGAGTGTTTAATAATCAATGCCTTTATCCTAAACACCTTATCTACACAAAACTCAAGGTCATTTGTGAATTGGCCCCTATCTCCCCTTGTGTGCCATCTGCTGGCCTCCTCATTCCCCCAGCGACTTAGGCACTTGAAACGTGGATTTGCTTGTAGCATCCAGAGTGTACCAGCTTCTCTGTTTCCGAGGGCTGTGTAGGGGCTCTTCTCCTTGCCTGGAATAGACATCTGTTTCCTCCCTGGTATCATCAAGTGTCACTTACAGAAGGGTTCCTCTTAGAAATGCAATCCTGGAAAAAACTCTGCTCCTCCACTCCCACTGTGCCTTCTGGCATTCATTGTATTCTGCTGTAATTGCTGATTTATCTAGAGGTCTTTCTGGACATTGGGCTCCTTGAGCGCATGACTGTCTTTTCATTTGTGCCCAGCACCTAACCCAGTATCTGTCACAGAGAGTGTGCGAATGAAAGGAGCCATCAGCTGTAGGACAAATATGTGGCCTTTTCATTTTTAGATGCTCTTAAACATACTACAGACTGGATAAAAGAATCTCTCGATGAAGAATTACTTTCTCTTTCTGAGACTGCATTAACTCCTGGAGCTGAAAATACTACCAAACCAAGCGTGAGCCCCACATCGGTGCTCAACAACAGTTACTTGAAACTATTACAGTGGGATTGTCAGAAAAAAGTATTTCCAGAGGTGAGTGATTTCTTTTCTTCCCTCAAGTTTTCCAATATTTTAATTATTAAGTTTTAACCATGAATCAGCTGATCTGTCTGTGTTGCCTATGGTTTAATGACTGTACTAAAATTAGATAAAAATGGGAATTTGGATGTAACATTGCTTATTTTACATTTTTATGGTATTGAGCTTCCCTTTCTATTTTTGCATTTTAAATAAATCTGCTAGACGCTTGGGACAGATGAAGTACGTCTTCAGGAACTGGTGGAGAAGCTGAATCAACTGAAAACGATTGCCTGCCTGTCCCTAATTACCAACAACATGATGGGTGCTATTATAGAAGGCCAACCTGAGCTTGCAGACAGGTTAAAGAGGATTTCAGCTGTTCTCCTTGAAGACATGAACAAAAAGTGAGTTCACAATGTTTCTCTGTTCCTGATATGAAGGCTTGGCTTGTGTTCCAGAGCATGAATAACCTTGGACATCTAGATGTGATAGTCAGGACTGTGCTTTAGAGAAACTTGTCTTACATCTTTTTCTAGAATTTCTTTTAATATCTCTGAAGGCTTAAATGTCCTTTCCTAGGAAAGGAGAGGCCTTTTCCATGACAAGTGCCAGGATGAATATAGTATTTCCACTTAGGATGGGTGTGTGCAAGAGTGCTTCTTTGTCAATACTGTGGAACAAACAAAAAACAAATCCACTAACCTTAGTGTTCAGAATGCCCTATCAAGGAGGCTTTCCAGGTTGTTTTGACCCCATCATTTTTCTATAGTGACGTGTTCACCAGCTTTACTAATCCAGCCTGCTACGATGTCTTCAAGAGGGTGATATCTCTGTCCTTCAGACATGTTACATAAGTCCAGTGAAGATTTAGGTTTTGCTAAATTCACTTCCCAGTATCAAACCTTATCACATACTAGGATCTCCTTAGATTCTGCATCTGGGTCATCCTTTTGGGAATCCTGCCCAAGCCAGAAGAGCCCTAATGTTATCAATAAGCAGATCTTGCCATGAGGAGACAACTCCTGCTGCTGGCTCCCCTTGCAGGTGCTGGCAGGGACTGTGCTCTTTGCTCCTCTCATTGAAGGAAGATGTTCTTATCCTCCCACATGCCTGCCCATTACTCAGAAAACACATACTTTTCAAAAAAAGAAAATCTTAGACTCTTAAAAATTATTAAGTGTTGGAGGCGGCCACCCCACATAGTGAGTAGAAGGGCCTTGACCCGAGTTCCTAAGGCATGTGAAAACACATGCGTCTCAAAGAAAAACCTCTAAGTGACAGGACTTGGTGTTGAGAGTCTGGAAAGTGACCCGCGTAGAGTCATGCTTTTACATTTCTACAGTCTGAAAATAACAAAATGGAGAGACCCTGTACAGTGAACAAAAGGGCCTTGACCTGAGTTCTTAAGGCATGTGAAAACACATGCGTCTTGGAGGAAAACCTCTGGGTGACAGGACTTGGTATTAAGAGCCTGGAAATAAACTGCATACATTTCCACAGTTTAAAAACAACAAAATAATAAACAAACTTCCCAGGCTCTGGCTAGAAGACAATAAAATTGTGTGTATAAAAACTAACCACCTGGTACCTTACTGTCTAAAGTAAATAAATAATAATAAAAAAATAGACTAATCATTCATACATGTTATTATTATATGGTATACTTTGATGTTACACCTGTTACAATTAAAATAGTATATAATGAACACTAAGGCAATGAAAACGTACTACATACTAGACATGACAGTCCCCCATGTCTAATTTCCCTCACTGTCGCGTCCCAGGTTCGGACTCACTAAAAGTCCACATTAAGAGTCAAAAGGAGCCTCAGTGGTTACAGAATCCAAAGTTCTCACTTTAAATTGATGCTCAAGAGAGAACTGGAGTTTGCTTCAGTTGGCACAGTGAGCAGAGAGCCCTGTGCTATCAGGGGGCCCAGGACCTAAAATGAAAAGGATCCTTCTCTGGTTATGCAGTTAATCTTACCTTAGTGTTTCTCTACACTTGATAACCATTCCTCTCCAGACACATTTATTTATTAAGCCTTTAATGACTGCCCCCCCATGCTGCTTATGTGTTAATATAAAGCATATGTTGATAAGGTTACTAAGAGTACAGGCTTTGGGGTCAGACAAGCCAGGGTTTCAGTCCCGCATCTATTGACTTGTTATGTATCCTTCAACAAGTTCCTGAATCACCCTGAGACTCACTGCCTCACTGTAAGAGAGAGAATAGTAATTGTACTTACCTTGGAGAGCTGAGAACTTAAGATGATTCATGTGAAGCACATAGTATAGGTGTCTGACACACACACACTGCTTGATAAATGTCAGCTTCCAGTCACTACTTAGTTGTTAAATCATTCTCTTTATTGTTGTTCTGCCTTTCTGGCTATTTAATTGTTTTGTTTAGTCCCCTCCCCAACTTGTGTTAAGAAATGAATAGTCAATTCTCAATTATCCTCATTATGGAGAGAGTAATAGCATTCCATAATATTAAAAAGAAGAAACTATTCCAAATAGTCAGTGGATCCAGATGTTATTTATACTTGTTTTGTGATGCATCTCCAAAACTAACAGTTTTGACTTATTTATTGTGAAAGGGAAGCCATGGATTTTGCTAAAATTAATTTTTCCTTTAGCTCAAGAACTCACTGATTAGAAGAGGAGAAAGCTAGGGCAGTACATTGTAGTGGGCAAAGAGTCAGAAAATAAAAACTTTGCCATGAAAAGTCTACCTTTGGCTTGTAGGACCCAAGATACAGGTTCAGTGTGGATTTTTAACACATTTCACTCAAGACAGAACACTAAGGACTTGTTTCCTATTGTTGTTAATGATTATAATAATGAAAAACGGTTTTCTCTTTTTCTTCTTCTCATTAAGCATCGACTAAATGCTTAACAATCTGCTAAGAAATGGCGTAATCACATAGCAGGTTAGTGGTAGAGTTAGGATTTGAACTCAGGTCTGCACAGCAGTGCAGCTTAGGCTTCAGCCATTACCCATACTGCCTCCACCATCAGGCTGCTCTCTCATCCTCTAACACCCACTTTGTGCAGACTTTTCTTGAAGTACTTTTCAGGAGGGTGAGATGCAATTTTCAATCATCATTCCCCAAAGTGTGACCCCAACAATGCCTTTCCCCATTATCTTTTTTCTTACCTATTAAATAATCTACCACTTTACAGTTTTCTAGACTCTATTTTGGGGATTATCGATCAGTTTTCTGAAACTAACAATGGGTAAGAGCTGCTTATCTTTGGTCACGATGGGTCAAAAGTTTTAGGTAATTTACCTTCGTGGTATTGACCTCTAATATCATTGGTTCTTGTTTTTGACTAGTGATATAGATTTACTGCTCAGGCATGGATAGGAATCAATTCTTCCTCATTTACAAGCATACATTAAAAAAACAAACAAACTATGCTATTCAGACCAAAAGGACTTTTTTTAACAAGTAAATAAGGATTATCTTTCCCTTTCTGCTAGCCCTGCTATCAGAAAGTGGGTTTACAGCCTGTTTTTGGACCACACTTTTCTATGTTTTCCTATTCAAACACTATCTGTAAAATGGTTTTAAAAATTTAAACATATGCTACTTATGGGTTGATGCTTGGGAGTCATTCTAATAGCAGAACTTACCATTTGTATAAAGATACAACTTATCATTGCATAAAGAAAATTGGTAGACATTTGAAATTGGTATATTTTTTGGAAAACAACCAAAAACTAATGAAAAAAACCCAAACTATCCCTGATGGGCTTTTGTTTTATGTTTTGTAGGACCTTTAACTTGAAGGAAGCCTTGAATTCTATCGGTGTTCAGATTTGTGTTGAGGTTAATAAGACTTTGACGGAGAGAGGTTTACCCACTTTAAATGCTGAGATTCAAGCTAATCTTCTAGGTCAGTTTTCAAGTATCGAAGAGGAGGGCAATCCTATCCGGTCTTTGATTGGTGAGTCCTCATGTTTTTATTGGTTTCTGCTTCAATTCCAATATGTTTTAATTTTCCACTATTACTAATGTCAAGTGTCAGTAAAATTTTAGACTTAAGATTTCCTGCTTTTGAAGCATCAATATTAAAAATACAAGGAAGTATTAATGTTTTCAAAGGTTTGGGAGTTACTGCTCCTTCTGTGAGGATATGCAGTGAAGTAGGGGGATGTTTCAGGGTCTTCCAGCTTACTATCCAACTCGAAGATTTTTTTATGCAGAAAACAGCATAATGCTGGCTAGGAATGATAAAGCCTAGATGAACACAACAGCCCATACCAGCTGGCAGTGTGTTCACAGAAAGTAGGTATTGATTCTGCTGTGAGCAAGCCCTACGTGAGCTGAGGCCTGTTCCTTAGTCCCACTTCAGCAGAGAACAGAGGCTCTGGGACTGAGAACCATGATGGGTGGGCCTTTTTTATACTCTACTGCTAAGAAAGTGAATATCTTGGTGTCAAGTTGTATTGCAGAGTTGGGAAAATAGAATATATATCAGGGCTTTTTCTGCTACCTATGACAGAGAATTTAAATTTCTAAAGTAGCTTAAGCAAAAGGGAATGTATTTTTTCACATGGCTGAAAAGAGCGGGCTGGGAATGGCTGCAGTACAGCTTAATGAGAGCTCAAACTGTCATGGCTGTGGTGGCCCCACCTTTGTCCCTCTGCCTGCTGCAGGCTGGCTGTCTTCCCATCAGACCAGGATGGCTTCAGCCTGCGTCTCTCCATGTTTCAGCCAATTGAAAAACAAGCAGTCAGCTTCCCCTGTTGGCTTAATGAATGACCCCAAAATTTGAGTGTCATTGGTGCTGGTTGGCCCAACAGTAGGTCCAATCCATTCTAGAATCTGTCATTTAACCAGAGAGAGAGTAACTTCAGCCTGGGAATTATGTTCAGTTCCTGAAGCCAGGGTGAATCAGCCTTATCTGTAATTCCTGGTCTGAGAGTAGGGAAAAACGGGTTTCCCCCAAACAAAACCATGGCTGTGGGAAGGAGATTGGGGAGTGGGACACAAAGCCAGTGTCTCCTGCAGAGACTTCCTACAGAGGGTGAGGAATAATGTCTAGAAGGAGGAAAAGCGTGCAGACTACAGTTAGAATTCTAATGAAAAATAATCAGAATAGACTAACATTCTGAAACTAACCTGCAAGTTTTCAGAGATATACTGACTTCCCTCAGAATACAAATACTTATTATTTGAGGCTCTCAAATGGTTCTCTCATCGTTGTCCCAGAGGACCTGGAATGTAGAGATCTAGGCCACACAGGCCACCTAATAGCTCAGAACTTCAGCCCCACCCCCAGAAAGGAGCCCTGTGGCCTCCTGCAGGCCGCTGCTGAGAGGTGCCCGTTGCTAACAGTAACCAACAGCATAACCACAGCCCAGTGGCTGAGACCATCCCTGCTGACAAGCATCTGCCCTGCCTGCCTGCAGTGTTTTCATAGGGGAGGGGCAGACTGCCTGCAGTCCCTACCACACTGCTAGACCTCCCCAGCATGCAGGCCTCCTAGGACCGATGGTATTTGCTCACTGCGTTATCCCCAGGTACCATATCAGACCATGGATGACGTTTAATAAACCTGTGGCGGGGAGAACATTGGAAAGTTAGAGCAGCTGGGTAACTCTCCCTTATCTATCCAGCTGCAGAATAGAGAGTCCTATCAAGCCTGTTTGACTTTGGAGCTCAGTTTCTTTTTTTAAATTCCAAACAATGTGGACAAAACCATATCTAAGATAATTATATTGAGACATTGGCTTCCTATCTGTTGTCTACAGTTATTATTTATTTTATTTTATTTAATTTTTTATTTTTATTTATTTATTTATTTATTTTTTGGTGGGACCCTCGTCGGTGGCCGGGGAACAAACCGGCGGTGCTGCAGAGGCTGCGGGCAGCCTCGCAGCCAAGCGCTCAACCGCTGCGCCACCAGGGGAGGCCCTATTATTTATTTTTAATGCACTAGCATCACTTTGTCTCCCAATCTCTGTTCATGCAGTCCTCCCCCATGTTCCCTTCCTGAAATGTTAGGTATTTTTCCTCCATATGCTTACATCTTTGGGAATCTGAACTATTCCTTCATGTGGATGGCCTTCAGCTCTACATATTCAGATCTGGCATTTCTCCCAGATGTTATGCAGCTCTTTCTAATAGTTTGCTATTGCTGCAGTAATGCTGTGTAACAAATAGCCCCCCAGTCCCAGGAGCTTTACAACAACAAATTCATTTTTTTTCTCTCATTCTTGACTCTGATCAGCTAGGGCAGCTTTGCCTCTTTAGAGTGTGAATTGGGCTCAAGGTCACTGCTTGTCTTCATCCTGGGGCCTAGGTTGGCTGAGTTCAGATGCTGAATTACTCAGATCTGCACAGCAGCCAGAGCTGGAGCACTGCTGCTTGTTGGCAGAGTGGCCAGAGTATCTGGACGTCCCCTGTGCCTTTGGTTTAGCTAAGGGGTGTACCTGCAATATCAGGAGGATATTCCTGGGGGCCAGGAAATGCCCCACTCGGATTTTTTCCACCCAGCTCTCCCCAGTTCAGCTCTCCTGTCCTTTTTGCAAATTGAAAGCATTTTAAAACCTCCTTTAAAGTACTGTTGCCTAGCAACTCAAATGACTCACTTAGAGCGTCTCTCCTGCTATTCTGAAAGCCATGGCACGCCTTCAGCTGGGACTTGGCTTGGCTGCTCCTATCTGGACAAATACTTCTGTCACTTAAGTCTGGGCCTATGAACTGACTTGTCCACAGAGGAGACAGAACCACTTGTCAGCATAATAACAGTTTGAAAAGAGTTCCATTCTTTACACAGTCTTGCAGGAAAGTGGACCATATCTGTGGTGAAAATAGACCTGGGCTCCCAAGAGTTAGGCAGCCAATCTAAAGGAAAGTTCAGTATGCAGTTGATGCTTAACTTCTGCCTGCAGAGAAGTTAGAATAAACTGAGCACTTAGATCCTTAGGACAGAAAGGCGGACCAGCTTTAGCCCTGGTTTTCCATCCCCATTCACAGTACCCAGTTTCCTTCTTGTGATCTGTTTCCAAACTAAACTGCTAAAACTACAAACATTAAGTATTGAGATTTTGTAAAAGATCCTCTGTCCCACCGCAAAAGTGCTCCATATTGTTTTTAATCAGTTAGCTATTGCTACATTACAAGTCATCATCAAACTCCGTAGTGAAAAGATAGATAAACATCTAGTATTGCTTACAAGTCTGTGGGGGTAGTTAGCTAGTTCTAGTCTGGCTGGATTCAGTCTTATCGTTGTTGTCAGCTGTGTGTTGGGGTGCAGGAGAAAAGTCCCCAACCTCTCTGGGTTCTTCTTGGGCTGGACAAGCAAACAAATTAACATGAGATATATTAGTAATGGAGAAAACCCCAAATTTAATTATCTACATATGGAGAATTTACATGACTGCAACTTCTAAAGTAAATGGGACAAACCTAGGGTTCATATCTTGAGTTAAGGAACAGGACAGGAGCTTGAGGCATCAAGAAGAGAGGAGGCCCTGCCTTAAAATAGGTTTCTCCAATAACAAGGTTATTTCTGGAGATGTCCCTCAATCTAGGTAACCTATATTCTTTAAGTGTATGGTAAGTTTCTACTGAGACCTATAGGGCCTCTGTTGACCTTAGTTTCATAGGCCAAGGCAACACCTGTTAGAAAAAGCCTGCTATTTCTATTTAAACATTTTTGGAGAGGTCCATCCTACATAGCTTGCGAAGGTGGCTCTGCTGATCTTGACTGGATTCTCTCAACTGTTTGGGAGTTGGTCAGTTATAGGTTGGTCTAGCGTGTAATCAGATGTAATCCCTGGTCTTCCCTCCATGTGACTTCTCGTCAGGTCCAGGCTAGTTCACGTGGGGGTTGTGGACGGAGATAGTAGATGCAAACCGCATCCCTTGAGATGGTGGCTCGGAAGTAGCATGCCAACACTTCTACTTAATTCTGTGCTGGCCAAGGCAGGTGGTGAGGCCAGCCCTGATTCAAAGCACAGGAAAACAGACTCTAGCCTTTGATGGGAAGAAGTGCAAAACTGTCTTGTAAAGGGCATGGATAGAGGGAGGGCTAATAATTGGGAACATTATTGCATTTCACTTACTGCAGTTTCTGTTCTCATTTTTTAAAATGATGTGCTTTCATAATGGGACAATTAAAGGTGTCTTCTTTTCTCCCCAGATAAACGCATCCAGCTATACATGAAGAGCGTACTTTGTCTTCCAAGCCCTCAAAAATGCATGCCTCCCATGCCTGGAGGCCTTGCTGTCATTCAGAAGGAGCTAGAAGTGCTAGGCTGTCAATATGCAAACATTGTGAATCTCAACAAACAAGTATATGGACCATTTTATGCAAATATACTTCGAAAGCTGCTGTTCAGTGAGGAAGCCTTGGAGAAGGCAGACACTTCATCTTCTACTAACTAAAGAGGAACTGACATTGACCAAGAGATTGGAAATCTGGCGCTTCAAGACCGTCTGTTCCATCGATGGCATTTTGATATGGCAGCCTCAGTCCTGTCGGTGGTGCAGCCCAAGTCTGTGTGATCCAGTAGCATTAGCATTACACAATCTATGCACTCCTATGAATCCTATTTCTGCGTTGTTTTCAAGGTCAAAAAAAGACATTTAATGAACAGAAAGCAATTTGTAGTTAATTATATTACCTACTTAATACTTACAAATGTTTTCTTAAGGAGTTGTATTTCCTCACTTGTTCCTTTTGAATCTAATGATCTTTGGTTTTGATGCAGCTTCGTAAAGGGTTGAAAGCTGTGAGATGAAGGGGATGGCTGTTCTGAATTAAATGGTGTGAAGTAAGCATAATTTTGTTTGAAATGTACGATTACATTTTATTAAGGTGTGGCTGACACATTGTAAGTCCTCATTCAGAAATGTACTCAATCACATTTTATAATACCAATGGTCAGTATTTGTTTAGAGTTTTTAAATGTATTTTTAAGGTACATTTTAAAACTATCTACAAAGTTTGGATAAAACCTCCCTGTTCATTTAGTGAAATCAGAAACAATCCCTTCTAGAATTTTATTCCAGAGACTGATTTCTTCTTGTACCTTAACCTGCTCCCCAAGAGAAACAATTTTTGCACACATCTCTGAGTGAATGTCCTTGCATTTCTCAGGCCATTAATAAGATTTTTAAGAGATTTTTGATATTTTATGTAAACAAGGCAGGACTGGTTTGAATTGGTTTACTTGTAAGAAGGGAAGTTAACAATAACTTGAGGACTCCAGGAGATCCCTATTCGCAGTGAAGTTCACCTCTGAAAAAGAGACAAACTCTTTCATCTTTGAGCATATAATTTAACTAGCAAATGCTGATTAAATTCTTACCCTGCCGTGACCAAGTTGCTTTTCTGAATGTCCTTATTATTTGTCATTCTTGAGCATTAAATCACGCTTTGCCAAGCTGGTGCTGGTTGTCATGGAAGTTGAGAGAAAACTGCTTCACCTGGAATTGTATGTCTTCTGAAGTGTTCAGGGAAGCACTACAATTGGGGTGGACTCAGTCTAGAAAATGCTTTATGTAAACAATAATTTCCGTTGTTTTCTAAGGACTCATTGAACTTTAGTAGTTTGGTGGGGAGGAGTGGTTGGAAAAGGAGTACTTCTTCCTTCCACCTCTTTTTCTTGCCAAGCCCTCCACCATTACGGTGCTACTCAATTATTTGATAAAGTGCTAGGAAATTATTATACAAATAAAATATCTGCAACCTTCACATTTTGGAGGATTTGCCAAAATTTAGGAAACTTTGAAAGTCAGTTTTTTTTCCACAGTCACTAATAATACCTAAATCATTCTGTCTGTCCGTTCTAAGCAGCTGTGTGTAAGCGAAATTGAACGAAGAAGCACTGGGTCTTCCCATTTTTTTCCTCTTCCTGTATTTCTAGCCTTTGCATGCTTTCCTGTACTTAGAAATCATAAGGTACTGAAGATTTTTTTTTTCATCTTCTCTTTAGTGAAGTCATTTCCAGCTACCTTCACTTTGGGGGCCACAGGTGTCAGAGAAGGGCCGAAGTAGAAAAGTAACGTGTAGTATGGCTTCTTCTTGCTTTCTGAGTGAACTGGATGTTTAACAGGAAGACAAGGTGGTGGTGGTTTCCCATTATTAGCTTGGAATCGGGTTGGTGTACGTACATAATTGATTATACGGAGTAGCCAGCAGGAAAACAATGTATAAACTTTTTATTTTTAATGAAGGGCATTCTGCTTTTTTTTTTTTTTTTTTTGAAATGGCAAAGTAAATCTCAATGTCTCAAGTCTGGATTTAGGCAACTACATTTATTAAGATTTTAAATTCATATCCCTTAGCATGTTTATTTCATTTTCTCTAAATGTTTACTTCTACTTTTGAGGTTTTAACATGGTCTTGTTTTGTAATGTCAATTTTAATATCGTAAATACATTTGCATTTTCTGCTGAAACATGTTTTGTCTATACTGGTGAAATTTTAAAACTTTAAAAATCATTCCGAGATAGCCAGTGTCTCTGTTTTCTAAACCACTTTTGGGTAGCTTGGGGCCAAAGTGTTATACAGTCTTAACTGTACTTGTTCTAGAATGATTCTTCTGTGGATCATCAGAGCCTGACAGACATCAGGTCCTGTTCATTCAGTCAACAAACACTTACCTGAGCATCTACTATGTGCCAAGTACCCTAGGTCATGTGATGCTCACATGACTGGATGCTGTCTTCAAGAAGTTTATAACCTGGTAAGGAGGACAAACTTATAAACAATGACAGTGTAATGGAATAAAACAAGTACATATTTTCCCCATTATCTGAAAGCAGGATGTTTCTATTTCCTATGACTTTGGTAGAGGGTTTTTTGGGCAGGGTTGGAGGTGGGTGGTGTCTGGGAATTTTCAACATTTTTCTCATATAAATTAATGGCAATACCCAGTCCCAAAAGATATTTAACCTACCAGATCATACCAAATAGGAAAGCTCTACTTTCAGATAGGAGAAACCTGCACAGATACGCTAAAGGAAAAAAAAAAGTAAACATTTTATGAAGGCCACTCGAATTAAAATGTGAAGGATACACAGGAACTCACCAAGAGGCCAAGTGCACAATGAAACTGAGTGGTGTGTGACCCCAGGGATCAGTAGACACTGGTTACAAAAGTGAAAGAGATGGGAGGTAAAACAAAAAGGTTCTGGAATGTTTTGCTAAAAAGCTTTTTTTTTTTTCCTGAAAGGGTCATGAATCTGCAAGATGGGAGAAAGATGTGAACAGATTATAGTTTGGAAACATTGCCTGGACAGACAGCACCTGCTGTTGGTGCTAGACTAGTCCTCAATGTGGCGTGTGTTTCCACGCATTCACACATGAACACACAGGTATGGGTTAAGCAGAAAGGGACTTTATTGGATAGATATTAAATACTCCCAGAATATATTTAATCTGGGGAATCGGCTTGGAGAATGGATAGGAACCAGGGGAGAGCAAGCTGCCTAATGATGGCCAGGCTGGATTCAGTGCTATGGCTTCAAACAGTTCTCAGCAACTTGCTGCTTTGCTCACTTGCTCAAGAGTTAAAGCCCCAGATAATACACTCAGTTGGAAGGATCGACATCAAGAATCCAGGTTCTACTTCATGATGGAACAAGGAGAAGCTTACACTCCACGGTCCTACCAAGATCACCCAGCAAGGGGTTTCTCCCAAACTGAAAGGATAAGTTGAGGAGCAGAAGGGGTTAAATAACATGCACTTACAATGTGAATTCATGAGGTCTTCGAAATTCAAATGTGAAAATGCCCATCATTGCCTCTGAGAATGAGGATAAAAGATGATTCAAGGAAGAGCATAGTTGGTGAAATCAAACTTCATTGGTATATACGATAAACTGCTGAACAGAGAACCCTTGAGTCTCCATGGCCTTGTATAACCTTAACTCTCAAATTACAATTCAAAGTAGGGGGTGGCTTGGGGGGGTGTGGTTACATCATTTATCCATTCAGGGACCCAACTTCCATCTGTCATGTGAGTTAGTTACCCCCTAGATCTTCAGAGTCTTCTCCATCCACTCAGAAGGTAGGAAAATGGTCCATTGGCCAAAACTCAACCGTGGCTTCATCTGTCTGCAAGGGAGGCAGGAAAATGTGCCCAGGAGAACGAGGCTGCTGTGGACATTGGTAAGCATTAGCAGTCTCCCTTGAATAAGCACCCCGAACCTTTTATGAAAACAGGCTTAAAATTGTGTGCCTGTTCTGGTCATTCAGTAGAAGCTCCCCAAAGCATGGGTTGAGAGTATTTTGGAGCCAGATCCAGGATAAACAGTAAAGAATTCTGTGACTGATTGGGAAAGTATGTCTCGGACACGCGGAGGGCCACCTTGTACATTTTTACTTCTATACTTGAACCTCCTCGAAACTAAAGTTCAGCCTGTTCTACCTCTGAGCAAGTTAAGTTGCAAAAATTTTCCACTTGTCTAGTAAAAGTAACATTGGACTGAGAGTTCACCCCTACTACTTAGTAGTTATGGGAACCCACATCCATCTTTTAATCACCCTGCACCTTCATTTCCTTCTACATCTGCTTACCCTACTTTCTGTCTGCCTCACCAGTATAACGTGAGACTCAAATGAGATAATGTATTTGAAATTGTCTGCAAATTCCAAAGCATGATGTAGCCAGAATACATCCTAATAACTAATTTATTAGTCCTGAATCTCTTTCAAGCTCCAAGAGTTTTTATTATTGAGAGATGTGGTGATCAAGTACTTAAAAACACATGAACAAAAATTGTCATATCTCATCAGAACCATGGTTCGTTAAGCCTGGTATTGTCATTGACAGAGAAATGCAAGGGTATGTGGAAGGCTGCAGCTGCTGTCCCTTGCTGTCAACCTCAAAGGTCAGTGACAAAATGCAGCATGTTCTAATTTCATTTAGTGTTCAATTGTGACTTTACCCCCCCACCCCATGGTTTTACCTTTTAGAAAGCGTATTTGCATGATCAACTTGTACCCTTTTGTTGTTTATTTTTGAAATGAAGTTTATCTTTCCATGTCTAAGCTTACTATGTTACCTCTTTCAGATTTCAAGAGAAAGGCATGATGGAGGCATTGATGGTAAGGTTTATGAAGAATGGAAACCCAGGAAACTGTCCAGAGTTGCACTTGCAGACTTGGTGGGGAAACTGAATACACTTCTTTTCTTTCAGAGTATAATGAAATGATAGTAACAAGAAGTAATGGCCACTGAGCACTCACTATATGGAGAGAACCACAGTATGCACTCACATAAATCCTGTCTTATGGTAACCCATGTTTTACAAAAACTTTTCATGGTTTTTTAAAAAAATCTATTCAACAAATGAAAAATTTTCCATATAATCATAAACTATAGTTAGGATGTTAGATTCACTTACATTCTCTTCTATGTTTTGTTAACATTTAAATATATAGTCTATATAAGATCTATTCGGGTATATTTTTCCCCAAATGGTTAATCAGTGGTTCCAATATAATTTTTTGAGTAAGTTCTTTTTTCCGATTTAAAATGTCATCTTTTGGAGGGTGGGAGGCGGGAGGGGAGGGATTGGGATCAGAATGGGGGGGGTTGCAATTGTATGGGGAATATAAAAATAAAATTTATTATTTTAAAAAAAACAAACAAACAAAAAAAAAGAAACCATATACCTATATCCAAGGTTTCTTTTAATTATCTTTTAATATTATTTTAACATTATGTGTTCTAACTACAGAAAATATTTAGAAGTAACCAATACAGTGGCAATGTACATTTCTGGTGTCTACATTGTACCTCTTAAATAAAATTTTTCACTAAAAAAAAAAAATAATAAAATGTCATCTTTTCATACTAAATTTCTGATAGTTCTGATCTTCAGCCTAGTTCTTTGAGGCTGTAACCTGATCTTAATTATCGTCCTGTGATGCTCTCGTCTCTAGTGAATTAATTCCTCCTAACTTTATGGTCATTTGAATTGTATCAATAGAATATCCCAGTACACTCATGAACCATCATTTTTTAATCAGGCCTCTACTGCCAGGTACCTAGCAAATTTCTTATTTTTTCACACAATGTACCATTTCAGACTGAAATAATTTTCAGTCGTTGTGGCTCAACTGCGTTAGTTACCCTTTTTCTTCGAATTATTTTTACAATTGCAACCACTTTGCTTTGGGGGCTCCATCATGGGACAATCAGCCATGAAGCTGGGGGCTGGGGTTTAGGACCACCCAGGCGCGACCGCCAAGCGCCACCAGGAGGCGCAGTTTCCCGAGTCCGTCTCAGTCACATCCGGGTTCCACCGCAGGACAGGAGCAGGCGGAACCTTTCTATCGCGGTTCCCGCTAGCCTGCGCAGTGGGGACCATTTAGGCCTCTGCGCACCGCTCTCCACGAGTGCAGCAGTTTGCTTGGGCAGCGAAGGCCCGCGTGGAGGTGCCGTTTGCTTCTTCCTTCGTCGTAAAGCAGCATGGACGTGCTTGCAGAGGAGTTTGGGAACCTGACTCCGGAGCAGCTGGCTGCACCGATTCCGACGGTAGAGGTGAGGCGCGGGCACGCGGGGAGCGGAAGGGGTCGGAACGCGTGCCGAGGAGGCGTTGCCCTGGGCGCTCTCGTCGCGGCGTGGGGGCTCCGCGCATGCTCAGGACTCCGCGCATGCTCAGTCCCCGCGTGCGCGTCCTGCCCGGAGGCCCGAGCACGTCGAGGGGCGGAGCTCGGGGGAGCTGTCCGCAGTCACGTGGGCGGCGCAGCGCCGCGGACGGCGCTCGGCGTGGGCACTTCCGGTGTCCTGGCGGGGCTGGGGCGGTTGGGGCCTCGCGTCACCTGGGGTGGGGTTGGGGTCCCGCGCGTCTTCGCGAGCGTGTGGAGGACCCCGAGGCCCAGGGAGCGCCCCCCACTTTCGTGAAGTTCCACTTCCGGCTGTGGTGCTCCAGCCCAGTTGCCAGAATCCTAGGCCAGTAGTCGTTCCTTTAAAGAAGGAATTCTCGTTTGGGCTTGCAAAGCTGTTTTTATTATTATTATTATTATTATTTTATCTTTTTTTATCAATACATTTTATTATTTTTTATTTTTTTCAAACAATCTTTGCTTCCCCTCACCCCCTCAGATTGAGTCCCCATAGGATTTCCTTCCCCAAGGCACCCCTGCTCCCTCCCCACAGCCCCCTGTGCGCCGCCCTCCCTCTCTCTGATCCCTTGCAGGGGTGTTTTTAAACGTTTTGAAATTTTATTGAAAATTTGCCTCGATGTTTGCTTTCATCAGGGGCTCGGAAGTTCAAGGTAACTGCCCTGGAAATGCAGTTCAGCTTTTGACGAAATTCTGTTTTCTGACAAGCTGTCTGGGCCCCAGGATCCCCCACACTGGCGTCGAAGGGGGAACTGTAGAAGGGGGAACTGTAGAAATGACACCCGGCAGGATAGGCAGGGAAGAGATTTCAGATAGAGAGGTCAGGAGGCCTGGAATAGTTTAGACAGTGTGATGTTTTTGAGGAGCTGAAATAAACCCCCAGTGCTAGAGTGAAGGAAAATTGAGGAGGTAAGAAAAGAGGAAGAATGTGTAAGGGTCCTGATTTTGAGAGGTTTTGGTAGACATCCGAAGGAGCTTGGACTTTCTTCTGAGAGGAATGAGGCGCTGCTGAAGGAGCTAAGCAGAACGGCGGGATTGGCCCATCAGTTGGACTGTAAGAACTTTGTAGAATCATTGCAGCTTAATGAAGTGGGATTATAATCAGTCCATCAGATCAACCTACCACTGCATGCAATAACTATGAAATATAATCAGGCAAAACTGGATTTTAATTCTTGAATTAATATGAAGAGCCAATACTTAATTTGTGCCAGTCTCTGTTTAAGCATAATGTGCATGACATTATTTAATTCTCCAAAATAAATGCTATCTTCACCTCACCTTTCCAGTGAGGAATTTTGAGACCCAGAGAGCTTAAGTAGCAAACCAAGGATCAGGAGGGCTTGATAAATGGCCTATCTGGAATTTGGCTGCTGGCTGCCTAACTCCAGAGTCCTCATCCCTAACTGCTAATTGAACTGTGTCTTAAGAGAGTTGAAGGAATAAGCTGAAAGGATTTGTATGTCCTGCCTGAATTTTCAGGGTGGTGAAGGGGCCAGTATCACAGTCTTCTGATTCAGGAATCCAGCCCACTATCCCATCTTAGGATCCTGCCCTCTAAATATTCTCAAATCTGAAACTTCATGCAAACCACAGTCATCTGTTGGTCGTCTCTCAGTGTTGGAATGTTCTTGGTCTTAATGGAACTCATCTCCATCCACATTCTTTAGACTATCTCATTATTTACATGACTGTAATTACCATCCTCCCCCTAATCTATATCTCCAGGCCTCAAACTACCCTCTTTCCATTTTCCAGACTCATTTGTGGTCTATTTGACAGCTCCACCTGAGCATTAAATGGGCATCTCAAATGTAAATGTGGCCCCAGCCAAACTCCCTCCACACCAAGGAGACCAGTATCGTGTGCTGTCCTCCAGCCTTGAGATGAGCTCTGACCAACACTAGTTGAGAAAGAATGGGTGAAAAAGGACTCCTTTTGGGTCAAGGAATGTGTTTCTCCATGACTCTGAAACTTAGTTTTCCTTTCTCAAACTGGCAACCCCAGTTTACTTAGCAAGTGTCATGAGAACAAAATACACTATGAAAAGTGCTTAGAACCTTGAGTCATCAAGGAAATTCAAATGTTCTGTTGAAGAAGTCAGTTTAAAAACATAATGCACATAAACATCTACACATACATGTTTACCAGAAAAGTGGTTGTAGTTTAAAAATTTTTGTTTTGACTTAACTTTTTATAAAATAAGTGATTATTGGTACATTAAAATAACCTTTAAAAATATTGTGGTTGCTGGGTCTCCCCTGGTGGCACAGCAGTTGAGCACTGGGCTGAGAGGCTGCCTGCAGCCTCTGCAGTGCCGGTTCATTCCCTGGCCGCGGGCGAGGGTCCCACAAAAAAAAAAAAAAAATTGTGGTTGCCAGCCCAGAGTCCTGATACACCTGTTGTTTTGATTCACAGGAAAAATGGAGGCTGCTTCCAGCATTTTTAAAGGTAATTGTTTAACGTTTAATAATATTTGGTTATTTTTTTCAAATATGTCCAAAAAATGCATCCTTTTTAAAAAAGATTAAATGTTTATCACCAACTAAGATTTTTAAATATTGTATTTTGCTAGGGTTTGGGAGGGAGTGGTAGTCCAGTTTTAGAGACAGGAAATAATAGGCAGAGTAGCAACGTGCTGTTGGCAAGAGTGATGGCAGGTGGTCAGAGAAGGCCCAAGTGAGGTGAGATGGAAGACATGTCTTTGAGGAAAGGATGTACCTGAGCTGAAAGGTAGGCTGCAGGGAGCATGACTGGTATAGGTGCTTAAAAGGAGCCTATCCGGGGTCTGTGGGAAGTTGCAGCCGGTCTGTTTGGCTGGAATGGATATTTGGTAGTGAGAGGAACTGCTGAATAGAAGCTTCAAGTCTGCTTTAAAGAGCTTACGCTCATTAGAGGGGCACCACAAGAGATCGCTTGACACTCACCAGGAAGGGTGTAACTAAAAAGAGAGATAAGGATGAGTGTTGTTGAGGAAGTGGGAATAGAACGGCCTGGCACTTCCACGAACAGAGAGACAGAGACTCACCAGGGGATGGTGAGTCCCACCATGGGAACCGCTCCTCAGTGTCCACTCAAGAGAAGTGAACACATGTCCACACACAAACGTGTGCACAAGTGTTCATGACAGTGTTACTCATGATAGCTAAAAAATGAAAACAACCTAAGTGAATATCAGCTGCTCGATGGATAGATAAAATGGGCTAGGGCCATCAAATACAATAAAGAGAAACCAGCTTCCTCCATGTGTATCACAGCATGGACGAATCTAGCAAGTGTTACTCTACGTGGAGGAATAGAGACTTGAAAAGTGGCAGGGTTTTATCTGACTGACGTCTCCGTCATGGACCAAGGAAAGAGCTCTGGGAGGTGATGCTGGGCAGCTTAGGCCAGATTTCTGATCAGAATTAAAAAAATAAAATAAAATAAGAATTAAAGCCATAAGGATATTACAAAAGCTCCAGAAGAATGTTTAAGTAGAGCAGGGAACTCAGTCCAAGGGGTGGAAACTGCGGGAAGGCAGAACTCAGGTGAATTTTAGGCAACAACCAGGACTTTCAAAATGGGACAGTTGCTTTGCAGCTAGTGAGATCCCTAATAAGGATGGTAATTTCAGCAGACTCTGGTTGTCTGTCTCTTAGGAATGCTTTAGAAGGGCTGAACTAATTGTGTTCAAGTTGAATGTAAGCACACTGAACACGCACCATTCTTGTTCATCCTAAGGTTGGGAGTCTGTTTGTTCCAGCATCTTCCATTGCAGCACACGGTGCTGTCCTGGGTTAGGGGTTCTGACTTCTGAGACAAGAGGGCAGTCACTGCCAGCCAGTATCTGACTGTCGGTTTCCTGCTTTCAATTTCAAATGCAGTTATTTTCAGTTTTCTTAATAGAGATCCTTATTGTTTTCCCCTTTTGAACAACTAGAGTTTAGATTTGTGTTAACCCTGAAAGTGCTAAGACAGGAGAAAGACACAAAAAGAAAATGGACATAGTTTGAGAGTGGAGGTGATGCTCAATGCCTGTGTTTCTGGAAGTTTTTTGGAATTCAGAATATGCCGAGAAATCTTGCCTTATTTATTAGCATTTGGGGAACCACAAGGTATATTTAACTGCTTACATCTTGAATTCCGAAGATCAAGTTGCATCTCAAGGAGACTGGGAAGGGGTACTTATTCTATGGATGAGAAATGGAATAGGGACACCTGAATGCAAAGTTTTACTGAGTAAAATTCATGGATATTTGCCTCACTTTGGTTTTGAGAAAAATTTAACCATCACCTTAGAGTCTGTGACATCCTGCTGTTTTGTCGTTCAGCCCTTTGTACTTTGTATTTGTTTAGGTGAAGGGCCTGGTGAAGCAGCACATAGACTCGTTTAACTATTTCATCAACGTGGAGGTAAGATCACACCTTAGAAGCAGACACAGGTAAGCCTTCATGGGAAGCTGGGGTTTTTCCTGATGCTGTTCTTCTTTCCTCTGCAGATAAAGAAGATAATGAAAGCTAACGAGAAGGTCACGAGTGACGCTGACCCCATGTGGTACTTGAAGTAAGGAGCCTCAGTTTGGTCTTTTCACGATGTCTCTTGCTTGGCTTTTGAAGTGACTATAGTTGCTCTCAAAATGCTCTTGAAAGAATTCTCTTTCAGTCTGTTTAATAAGATAATTACCAAGTGCTTGATTTTTGATTGGTAACCTAATTTTAACAAATAGTTAATGATTGAGAAGTTACTGAAACTAGCAGGCTTTAAATATTTCCCAACCTATTTCTTTTGAAATAATTGTAGACTTAGAGAAAACTTACACAAGTGGTACAGAAAGTTCCCATATCATCCTTCTGCTCATATCAACATCTTCTAGATGCTCCAGAGCACAGGTAGCAAAAGCAGGGCATTAGCCTTGATGCAGAACTGTTAGCTGTTCTGAGTCATGCTGAAAATTTTCCCACTCAAGGCATTTTTTTTGGGTCAGGATCCAGGGCAGGGTCCCTCAAAACAGTGGGCTGTCTGTCTTCTGAGTTTCCTTCTGCGTATGACAATTGCACCGGCTTTCTTGGTCATTCCAGACCTTGACACTTTTGAAGAATTCTGGCCAGTTGTTTTGTAGGTGGTCCTTCAATTTGGGTTTGTCCGATGTTTGCTTGTGGCTAGATTGGGTTATGCGCTTTTGTCAAAACCAGCACAGACCCCATATTCTGTTCCTTTCTCACGCATTATATCCAAGGGTGTAGATGCTGACATAGTTTATTCCTGGTGAATTTAACTTGGTTCACTTGATTAAAGGAGTGTCTTCCAAGTTTCTCCCCCAGATACTTTTATAATTAGTAAGTATCTCTGGGTATATCATTTGAGACTCTGGACATCCTATTTCTCATCATATTTTACCCAATGCTGTGTCACTTGCCACCAAAGTGAAAATTCTCTAAAGATTTTAGTGAAAACAAGTACCAGTGCAGGTCTTTCATGAAGACAAAATGGCATAGGTGAACTTTTGAAAAGTGAGGGATACCTGTGTATTTCCTTCCAGTGTATCGCCTTTGTTCTCATATGAATGATAAATGCTATAGATACTCTTTCAGACCTTGCTTTTTTTGGCAAGTATCATTTTCTAGAGGCTGGATTTCCAGTATTTTTGTAGAGATCGGCAGAATTTTTTAAAGAGATACTTTGGATGTTTTCCCTTCTTTATAGAGCTATATGTACTATTCATGAAGATTACGAATTATTTTTAATTTGTCCTCTTTAGTAACATGAGTATTTCTCGAAACATAATCTTTGGAAATGGGAGGAAAAGGGCCTGTTTGTCTGTATGGTCTTTGAAGATGTATAATTGGTGATGAAATAATTGCTTTCCAGATATCTTAATATTTACGTCGGGCTTCCTGATGTTGAAGAAAGCTTCAATGTAACTAGACCAGTGTCGCCTCATGAGGTAATTGTAAACCTTATTATTATTTTTATCTTTATTGAGGTAACATTGGCTTACAACACTATATATGATTTAGGGGTCTAGGTTCGCACCTCCTCAGATGTACATAACCACATCCATCACCAAAGCACCCATAGTCCTTTACCCTAGACCACTGGGCCCCGCCCCCTTTGTTCCCACCCCCAGTACCCCCTCTAGTAGCTGTAATTCTGCAGTCATATTTCTGGGTTTAGTTTTGTGAGTTCCTTCATTTTATTTCTCTACATTCCACATCTGAGTGAAATCATCTTTATTTCTTCTTCTGACTTATTTCACTTATATAACCCCCTCATATAAACCTTATTTTAATTAATTTGTTTGCTTTAACTGAGAAGTCTGTGCCCTAACATGTGCTCTTAAAACTTGATTTAAAAACAGGAAAAAAAATTACAAGACAAAGATAACTAATATATATATATAAACGAGTACTTGTCTAATACTATACTGTATTAGGAAACAGTTCTGTACTGTTTAGATTTATCATTTAGTCCCAGTTAACTTGCATTGTTCTATAACCATGTCCTTTTTTTTTGTCCTGTTTCTGAGCATTTTAATGGTCCCCCAACCTTGCCAGCCACTTGTGCCTTGCAAGGGTTACTTGCTTGCGTTTCTTGAGGGTCAGCAGGATTATGTTAGTTGGGGGAGACTAGGGACGAGTTGCTCACAGTCTAGTAGAAAAGGTGGCTGGAAAGAATCATTGTACCCCTTCTGGGCTGCCAGGGCAGGGGTGCTGCGGCTGTGCTAGGTTAGTAGCTGGCAGTCTTCCCCTCGGGGAGGGGAGGCTTCGTCTCAGCACCGGGCAGCACACGGAACAGCTCGGCTCCTGTGGTGAGGTCAGATATCACGGAGAGCCATATTCCTCCTAGGGGTGCAGCTCTTTGAAGCTGTGAAGATATTTTGTTTTTCAGAGAAGAGGATGAGTGATTCTGTCTGATTCTATTTCAGTGCCGTCTGCGGGACATGACGTACTCTGCCCCCATCACGGTGGACATCGAGTACACCCGGGGCAGCCAGCGGATCATCCGCAACGCCTTGCCCATTGGCAGGTGAGAAGCGAGGGCACGTTAGGGCCACTCGCCTGCGCTCTAGCCCCCAGGAGACCTCGAGCAAGCACTTAGGTTCCCTTTGCCCTGTTTCTTCATCTGAAAAAGGTGGGCAGAGGTGCTCCTTCCTCCAATCTTGTCTCTGGGTGCAGTGAGTCAGCGTGTGTATTGCGCTGTCCAGCACAGCGCTGTGGTGGTGGTTATTTTTAAAATGTGAAATCTTTCCTAAAAATTAAGGAACATGCTTCCATTTCCTTCTGTAACTCCAGGGTGCTAGAGACGCATTAGGAAAAGGAACATTTCAGTGATTGTCCAGGCCTGATCTTCTTGGTGGTTTCGTGTATATTTAAAATTTGAGTTTTGTTGGAAGTGTGACTCTCCCCATGTACCAGCATTTAAGGGAGAAATTACTTATTTGACAAGAATAAGCTTGGGAACAGTTTTTGCTGGCATTTTTTGCAGCCTACTTTGCCTACTTAGAGAAATATTTTGACCCTCCTGTAGAAGTGGACAAACCCACAATATTGTGAGTTTAATAATGGACTTGAAACCTAGTCCAGATTGTTTTCCCCCCTTCAGAAGTGCTAAGAGTTTAATAAACATCCACTTGTTCAACAAATATGCACCAACTGCCTGTTGCATATCATGTCTTGTGCTGAGTGTTCAGGTAAGTAGTAGATACTTCAGATACAGCTCCAGCTAGCTGCATGTATTTGCGCTGTCAAGGAACGCAGGCTCAGGTGTCATTTGGTATTTTTGACCTCGTTTGGTAAGTGCTGTGATAGAGCAGGCCAGAGCCCTGTGGAAGCACATAAGTTTAGCAAATCCTTCCCTAGTACTTCTAAAGGAGGGAGCTGTTTGCAATGTTTTTTCATTCTTTATGTAGGGAAATGAATAACAATATTAAAATGTTGGTCTTTGTTTTAGCAGGACTGTTTGAGCAGTGTTGAGACAGTTCTCTTGCTTATAAAGGGACTGTCATCATGTTGAGTTAAATCTTGGGTCTTTGCTAAATTATCCAGGTTAAATGTTATGAAGGAAAGACAGAAGAGATAGGAACAAAACGTATACAGTTGGTAAGATTTAGGGTTTAGATACTGAGTTAAAGAAGGGGTAGGGAGAAAGGCATGTAACTAGTATTTGTTGAATGCCTACTAAGTGCCAGATACTGTGATTGGTGATTTCTTGGGCCTCCATTCATAAAAATGACCTCTTATTTTAATTTTTTGGTTCCTGTGGTAATTTCAATATTCTTATGTCTTAGTCAGTGTCTTGATTTCTCTTTATATGAATCTTTTGTTTCTTTTTTCACCTATGAGAAACTCAGCAATGTCAAATCTGCTGCTCCTCATCCTAGTCCTAAGTTTTTAAAGTGATGCTCTCATTTTTCATTTCTAAAAGTTTTGCTTTTTTTTTTTTTTCCAAAACTGCCTGATTAATCTTTTGAGTCTCCTGGTCCTCGCGCTTTGATTCATTGTGCTGTTTTCATTTAATTCAGGAGAGTCTCTTTGTTTACTGTGAATGAAGAATTGCTGCCATTTCTGAGGTACTAAAACCCATCTGCAGTCTAAGGAAAGGAACACTCGGGTCCTGTGCAGGGCAGGTACCTGAGGACCTCTCGCTCACCTGGCCCCGGAGGCTTCTGGCAGGTGGAACAGGACAGCGCCCCTCAGTGAAACGTAGCGTTAGCGGCACAGTTAGTATTCTTTTCACCATTTTGGGCCAGTGATAATTTGTATGTGCTTTTTTCTTTTGCTTTATTTTACATAGAATGCCCATAATGCTTCGCAGTTCGAACTGTGTTCTTACAGGGAAAACGCCAGCAGAATTTGCCAAACTGAATGAATGTCCGTTGGATCCAGGTATGTATTGTTTCTTGGATTACTCCCTCTGCCATTTTTCCCTTTTCGGTTTTTGTTTTGTCTTTGCTGCTGTTTTCGCATTTTTCCTCAAAAACAACATCAGCCTTTCTGCTAGCTTAATGCTTTGTTCTAAACATTTGAAATTTGGTCCCAACTTTATTCTATTAGTCTGTATTTCTAAACGATACGGTTTCCTCTTTTATCGCAGTTTTAAAACTTTAATATTGTAAGTTCTGGTTTATTACCATGAACTTGTCAGTCTTTTCTTTGTAACTTTGCTCAGTGATTTCTTTTGGGGTATTTAAAAAGTCAAGAATAATCCAACAAAGGTTCTTGTCTAACTGCTCTGAAAAGACTCAACTTACTTCGGGCAGTAAAGGGGCAAAAAAAGAAAAACTTTTGCTTAACTTTTAAAAATTATGTTTTTGTACTTATTTTTTTGGCATTTTCTTTTATAGAGTTTCAATCTTAACACTTAACAGAAAGTTTCTTATACTTTCCTTCATTCATATTTCACATTGATTTAATTTAAAGTTGCTTTAATCTAATTCCTTTAAAGTTGCATTGATGTAGAGTTCCAAAAGATTTTGGAAAAGATTAACAAAGAACATTACTTTGTCAGGCTTGAACAAAATGTTTCATAAGTCAAATATGGTGCCTTGTTTTAGCTTATATTCTGAAGGTAAAATGAAGTCTCATTTAATCCTATTCTGACTTGTATGCAAAAAAGGATGATAATGTTCTATGAATTTTATTTAGTATAGATTATTATTTTCAAAACCTAATCCTAGACTGTTACTGTCACTGATTTGTTAAAAAATTTAGAACAAATTTTACTTTATACTGAAGTTTGTTGGTCACTTCTGTGCTTAAGAAATCTGAAGACTAATTTATTGAACAGGTTTTTTGCATTCCCCTCTCCTGTGTGTCAGGTATGTACATGCCCTGTCCTGAAGAAGTTTATTATCTTGTGGCCCATTTGTAGAAATTCATGTGATCACTCTGTCATTGGTTCATAAAACAGTTCATAAAACTCTTCATAAACCAGTATTGGAAAACCCCTCTAAATGAATTGACGGCCAGCACCATGTAGCAGGGGAGACCTGGTCTCTGATTCAGGAGATCACAACCAAACCCCACTGCGTAAAGAATAGATGGTGAAGCATTTCTTGTTTCCTCTGGGCAGGTGGCTACTTCATTGTTAAAGGAGTAGAAAAAGTTATTCTTATCCAAGAGCAGCTGTCTAAGAACAGAATCATTGTGGAAGCTGACAGAAAAGGGGCAGTTGGTGCTTCAGTTACCAGGTATGGAAATCAGAGCTGGGGTTGCTAAGAAGTACTGATAATTCCATAAATATCAAATGGTACGCATGTTGCCAATGATCTCTTTCTGATAACATGCAATATAATTAAGCCACTACTGTTCACTTTAAGTCTTCAAGAAGAGAGTATTAATGTAAAATTTTCAGTGATAAGTGTGACACATTATTTGAAAATCTACTAGTTATTATTTTTTTTCCCCATAAAAGGTTTTAATTCATTAATCCTCTCGTGGACATCCATACACTCCCCACAGATAAGGTCACTGCAGAATCTTTAATCTTTAGTCCTTCCTTTCCCAGCACCGCACTGGCCTCTGGCCCCCGGACTTTCTTCATTCTATGCTTGCATTTCACTGTTTTCTGAAGGTCTTTTCCTTCTCCTGCAGGCCGTGTCTAGCAAGTCTATGTCTGGTTCCTTCAGCTTTGCGTATCCTAGGGGTCGTAGTTCATGCCAAAGCTGGTTGTCTTGTCTCCACCAAAATGCGTTCTGAGTTCAGATGCAAAGAAGACGGCGGGGTGGTCTTGCATATTTGAGCAGTTCCTCTGACTTTCTGTCTTAGGTTCTGGTGCCTTCCTGGGTGAAGGACATCGGTGACCACTTGTTCCACTGAAGCAGTGGGTTGGTTGTAAACTTCCTGGGCCTGGATAGTTACTATGTAGTTCATGTTGTAAGTGGATCTTCAGCTAGTTAGGAAAGAAAAGAACCTGTAGTTGTTTTATTTAAGTTGAATTTTATGTTAATTTAGAAAATTAAAGGAACTTTAAAAAGTGATATTTAAAATGTGCAGTTTTTCATGTTCCATTTCAGTCATTGACCATTTTACAGATATGCCTGTATAATATAGTCAAAGACTATTTTGCACTTAGTATTTAATGAATTACGTAGCTAATTTAACATCTCATTGTTGGTGCTCTAGGCTAGCCTCTCTTCCAGTGTACTCATTTTCCTGTAGCTCCATCCCTTTTATTATTCCCATAATGCCTTTTCTCTGGCTTATTATCAGATGCAATTTGAAATTTAGACGTTAACGAGTTCTGAGAATAAGAAATCTGTGGCATAGTTAAGATGTCGATAAGCAATAAAGTTTCTCTTCTGATAATGAATAGCTTGACTCAAGTTTCTGGCATTTTCCTTCTGATGGAGAGGCAGCTAGCACACGTGGCTTTTTCCTGGGCAGTTAGTTGGAGCCAGGCAGTGTACTAGGAGCTCTCCATGTATTATTTAATTCTTACCGATATTCTCTCCAATTCACAGCTGAATGAACTGAGTGAGTTGTGGACTCAGTTCACATCAATTAGAAGAGGTGGTCATTTAAAGCCACATTTAAACTCAGGTCTTCCCATCAGACTCAACTTTTAGAGCCAGGGCAACTGGCTTCAAAGTGAGCATTAGTACCTAGGCGATTAGAGCTGAGGTGAGAGAGTCACAGTGCTTAGCCCAGGGCAGGTGATCAGATCGCATTAATTTTGTGGCTTATTAAAGCCAGGAAATGTCTGTAAATTCGTTAAGAATTTATTCCAGCTAATAGAGATGCTAATAGAAGGAGATTCCTTAGTTTTTTTGGCCTCGCTAGGTACCGAGACTGTACGTACATTTTACTGGATTATTAGTTGAAAAACTCAGAGTAGAAATTCATTTCTTCATGTTTTTGTCATTATGGCATAGGCTTGTTTTGAGGTTTTTTTCTCAAATGTGTAAAACTGATCATGAATATGCAGTTCAGATGGGATCAGAGTGAAATGGGTTAAGGTGCATGGGTGATTGTCACTCATTCTCATACAAAGCTAAAGCTAAAGAATCGCAAAGCTAAAAACTCCCTCTAAGCTCAAAGTGCTTTTACTTGGTTGGGGGCAGGGAGTGGCGGTCGGTAGGAGAAAGTTGTGAATCTTTTAAAAAAAAGCACATATTAGGATCTTACTGGTGGTCATTGGTCACTTGCACCTTAGTGATGATGGATAACTGAGCGAGGATGCAGTTTAACTGACTCGTGTCTTCCGGTAGCTCTACTCATGAGAAAAAGAGCAGAACCAACATGGCCGTGAAACAAGGACGATTCTACTTGAGGCACAACACTTTGTCAGAGGATATACCCATTGTCATCATATTTAAGGTAAGTCTGCAGGTGTTTGCTGGAAATTACAAGGAATTCTTCCTCTGGTTTATTTTTTTTATATAATTTGAACTGTGGAACATAAGGAGTGCTAAGAATAGAAAGATTTGTTGCATAGATAAGCTACCAGTTACATATTTTAAATTGAAAACTAGTAAGATTAGGCTTCAAATATTTTAAAAAATTGAATCTATTTTCTTTTTTTTTTTTTTTATAGAGGCATGCTTTTACTTATTTATTTATTTCTTTGTTTGTTTGTTTGTTTTTGTTTATACATGCACGGGGTACAGTCAGAAGCGCGGGAGGGTGAGAGAATTCACCAGAGCCAGAGCAGGGAGCAGAACAGGCAGAAGGACCGAAGTACACTGCTGAGGGGAGCAGCGGGCGGCAGGAGAGGTCTGCGCGCCATGTGGGACCCTCCTCCGGTGGCCGGGGAGCAACCGGGGGATCGAACCGGCGCCGCAGACGCTGCGGGCAGCTTCGCAACCCAGCGCTCAACCGCTGCGCCACCGGGGAGGCCCCTGAATCTATTTTCTTAATATATATATTATAAAATTCCAAATGTGTAAAGGGGGATATAGACATGCACTTATAATTTTTAAGCACAGAAGTAAATTTGTCTTTTCTTGTAGGCAGTGCCCAGTGCAGTGTTTTTAGTGGATTAGGAGTATTTTATCTAATGATGTGGGGTTACATTTCCAGCAGAGGGCAGTATGTTTCCATGCATCAAAGGGGCTTTTCAGTTTTCCATACTTGAAGATGCTCATGATTGTTTTCCTTAGGCCAGACATTATAAATTAATTATAATGCGTATTGTCTTATGTCATTCCTAAAAAATGCATAATTAGTCATGTGTATGCATTATAATCTAAAAATTTTTAAATGCTTTTTCTCTGACTAGCTGACAAAAGTGTGATAATAGTTTCTTCTGTGAAATTTAATAATTAATGTTGTAAAGGTGTACATGTATAGCTGACTCATGTCCTTTTTAGAATGGGACTCTAATTAATATGTACATATAACCAGTATTTGAGATTTCAAACCTCTTTCTGATTATAATAGCAGCCTCTTTGCCTTGTGAACAATTAGAAAAGTACTGAAAAATGTAACTGCATGTTTGGATTTTTTTAGGCTGTCTTTCTTTTACTTTTTTAAAACATACATAGGTTCTATTTTTTTTTCTTATTCAGTAATGAATTGTGACTAGCTCCCCATGTCTGCAAATGAGTCACATCATTACTTTTGGTGGATATTGTCTGTGTTAGGGCCACACAACACAAAGAAGCTACATGGGTGTGGTATAGTTTTTTTTAATCACTATAACCAGTTTGCAGTTGGATGGACACTTACTTAGGTGTCCCTGGTCCCCCACGTGTCCACTCTCGTAATCCACCCTGGCTGTCCACACATGTTGTTGATTATTTTGTGAGATTTAATTCCAGGAATGGAATTGTATTTTTTTAAGATTTATTTTATTTATTTATGCATATAAGAGCTGGGGTGTAGGCTAGAGGTGCAGGGGGTGAGAGGATTCACCAGAGATAGAGCAGGGAGCAAAACAGGTGGATGGACTGAAATATACTGCTGAGGGGAGCAGCAGGTAAGACAGGAGTGGTCTACTGCGCCATGTGGGTCACATCCCTGCTGGGGATCGAACTCGTGCTACAGTGGCTTCCAATAGCTTAATAGTGCTGAGACTTAATCCCTTGGGCCACCAGGGAGGCCCAGAATTGTATCTTTTTTAAAAAACTTGGTTCATGCTTTTTCCTTCCCCACCAAGTTTTTCCTCCCCAAAACATCATAGCCTATAGTCTATGTGGATTAAAATAAATATTTAAAAAAATTTTCAGTTGCAGTCAATATATATTGCTCACACATAGCCTTTTGTTTGGTTGTTTTGGATCTCGTATTCTAGGGATGTATTAATAAATGGGTGGGAACTTGTTTGATAACCACCACTTGGACTTTTCCATTGAGAGGCAGTATAGACTATCAAATATCTTAGGTCTAGGTTGAGATCCATTTTCTCCACTTATTAGCTATGTAACCTTGTGCAGATTTCATCTTCAATAACTCATCTCTAAAGTGAAAATGTAATCTAAGAGGGCTGTTTGTGAGTGCAAATGAGACCATGGATTTTTTTTGAAAAGTAGTCCAGCTGGAAAAAGGATGCTGTTTCTCTTTTCTTAGTTCTCCTTACCCGATTAAAGTCAAAAGCCCGGGAACGAGAACTGGGTTACCAGAAAAGTCACATCATTTCTCTTTTTGTGTTGTGTGGCCCAAACACAGACCTTGACAGTCATTAGGACTTGATGGTTGTTGCTTGTAACCAACAATTGGCTAAAAGTGACAGAAACAGCAGGGTTTCCAGATTCCATGCTGAGTCTGAATATGATGGATAAAGCTTTTAAGACCTAGATCAGCCTTATTTATGGACTTGAATCACTACAAAGGTTCTCCTGCCCATGAATCTTCCTCGCCCTACACTAGTCCCAAGCATTCAGCAGTTGCACTATGAGGGCATCTGTAGTCTGAACGTTTTTTACAGAAAAGAGGATCAGGTTTCAAGGGTGCTGGGCATTGTTTCTTAGAAACCTACATATTTTTGATCTTTAAGGGAAAAAAGTAACGACGTTAAAGAGGACCATCACGGTTCTTTTAAAATCTTCCTGGACTGCTTTTAGTCATAATAGGTTGATTTCCGTGTACTTAGAAGAAAGAGTAGAGATTTCTGAATATTTTAGGAACGTAACTCCTGTCCCTGCTTCACATAATGTACATCACCATCTCATCATTCACATCTCTATCATTTTCTTCTGCTCATTAGTATTCCTCTTTCTGCCTTTAAAAGTCAAACTTCTTTTCACACTTTGTTGCTATCCAAGAAGACACCAGGCCCCCTTTTAAAGAGCACCTCCCCTTATTTTTTCTCTGCCTTAGTGCTGAGTGCCAGACTGTGGGTGACCTCTGCTGAAGGTATTATTTCTGCTTTTTCCTACAGTTACTATAGGGTACTCACCTTAGTTAGGTGAAATGATTTCCCATTTGTGGAGTACAAAGAGTTGCACATAAAGCTAGTTTTCCGATGTCTAAATTATGTCTGTAAAGCAAAAATGGTTGGGCATGTTGCTGTCGTTTCCATAGCAATATGTCATTTATTTGTAGCTGTGACTTCCGAAGGCTAAATGATCATAAAGTCTGTTCGGTCTTGGGAGCTGGAGACTTGCAGTGATAACTGATTGAGTTAACACCTAGGATTTTGGTGACCTGGTAGAGGAAGAGGTTAGTCCTTTCAGAGCAAAGCTTTGCCACTGGTTGTCTTCCTGCACACGGGTGTCATTTACCACGTGTTTGGCATATCTTTGCTTCATACCTCAGAAATAGATGGAGGGCTAAGCAGTCTATTTAAATCTATATTAGGCCACCTGAAAATTTTATGTGGTTATAAAGTTTGTTGCTTAGATTCAGCATCAGGAGAACTTGAAATGGCAATCCACATGTCCAATGAGGAAGGGTTATTTCATTATTACTAAAACACCAAAATAGGCAATCAAGTGTAAAGTCTTCGCTACTTGGAGATCCCTGAATTGCAGAGTAATTATTGGAATAATCTTGGGACAGATCCTGAAAGTTACTGCCATTTCACTTCTAAGATTCTGTTTCTGTGTCAGTGAGACCTTTTCCTGATGGATTTGGTATCTGCCCCATATACATCTCTTTTAGTATTTGGGCTTTCCCCTGAGAAGGAAGTACATTGGTTGCGAAATTTTGTATCAAGGATTTTGGAGAATGATTATTGGAGTCTGCTGCAAATCAGTTGCATTTACATACACACACACACAGAGCAGCTCCATAACTTTATTTTGTTATAACATTGATGAGAAAATAAATCCTGCCTGATATTGAGAAAAACCATGTTATTCAAAGACCTGGTTTTGTTTTTTGTTTCACTTCAAAGTCAGTTTCTAAGAACCAGTCGATGTCAAGTGACGACTTACTAAGTTTCCATTGAAACCGATTATATAACATTTTTTGAGCTTGATAGTAAAAGTTAGCCTATAACTAATTCACTTTTCACAGAGAAATATTCTCTTCAGATATTTGACTGACTACTTACAAACCCAGGAGAAGGTGCTGGTGGATCTACATGTATGCTGAGTAGCTGCAACCCAATTGATAACCTAAAATTTTCATTTATTTAAAAACTAGAAGTGATAATCGTTTAGGATTGCTCTCCTTTTCCCCATGAAAGTTTTTTTTTTTTTTTTAAGTTTTTTTTTTTAATTTATGCATACAAGAACTAGGGTGTAGGCCAGAGGTGCGGGGAGTGAGAGGATTCACCAGAGACAGGGTTTCCCATGAAAGTTTTTTTTTTAAAAGATGCTGATACTTTTTTTAAGACTTTTTTTTAAGATTTATTTTTATTTATTTATACAAGCACTGGGTACAGTCAGAAGCGCAGGAGAGTGAGAGAATTCACCAGAGCTAGAGCGGAGAGCAGAACAGGCAGAAGGACCGAAGTACACTGCTGAGGGGAGCAGTGGGAGGCAGGAGAGGTCTGCGCGCCATGTGGGACCCTCCTCTGGTGGTGGGGAGCGGCCGGGGATTGAACTGGCGCTGCAGAGGCTGCGGGCAGCTTCGCAATCCAGCGCTCAACCGCTGCGCCACCGGGGAGGCCCGAAGGTTTTAATGAATGTTTAATTATGGAGTTGGTATTTAGTGTCTGCTTGAATAAATGCATCATATCATATTAGGTATAAAAAATACAACAAAAAGAGATTTGTGTCCTAAGAACTTCTTTATTTGTTCACTAAAAAAAAAAAATTTTTTTTTGAAAAAGTTATACACTTAAAATTTTTTTAAGAAATTTAAATTTTTTAAAAATTTAAATAGTGAATTTAATCCCAAAAGTTGGTGTCCTGGTTATTTGTGCTGTGTACAGTTTGTAGCACAGTTTTTGTTGGTCAGGGATTTGGGGAGTCACTTGGCTGGGGGGATTCTGGCTCAGGGTGTTTCAAGAGTGAAGATGTCATCCGGGGCCAGAGTCGTCTGAAGCTGCCTCAAGCTGGCAGGCTGCTTCCGTGAAGGCTCCCCAGGCAGTTGGCTGTGGGTGGGAGGCCACAGCTCCTCACCGCCAGGCTTCCCACTGACTGCTTGGTGTCTCATGACATGGCCTGGCTTCCATGGGGGAGGACACTCCGCAGACAGGAGACAGCGGTGCCTCTTATGAGCAAACCAGCAAAGTCATGCATTGTTGCTTCCATTTTCCTTTCTGGAGAAGTGAGTCATAAGTTTAACATACACTCAAGAGCAGGAGAATCCATCATCAAGAATGGGTGAACATTTTTAAAACCACCCCAGTTGGCTTTAAAGAGAAATTGCCTATGTTTGGTCCACCCACCCCAGGTTCAAAAGTTGCAGTAAGTTTACAGCGATTCCTGAAGTATCCAGGCCAAAGTTACAGAATATAGACTGCTAACATTCACTTGTAGAATTTTGAACTGGAATGGACCCGGTTTTGTTACGGAAGTGCAAGAGGTGACATGAGGAGTGTGAGTTCTGTGTCTGAAGTGGGCGTTGTGTCAGGGTGGATGTGAGCTCGTGGTGTGGGCAGATCCTTTCTGTTGTAGTCAGGGTCTTGGTCCTGATTTCCTGCACTGGACTTGGGATCTGATTTTTCCCTTTCTTGCTCTAGCATGTGGAGGAGGACTAAGAAACAGCCTCAAAACCAATCTCGACCGTTCTAGTATCCTTGGTTCTGTTTTCTCTGCAAAGCTAACGGAAGAATGTTAATGCAAACATAACTTTTCCCTTCATTCCTAAGAAGCAGATTATTTCTCTGCCAGGAGAGGTTTAGTGAGATTACGCTCTATTTCTTGATATGGCAGAATGCCAGGCAAATGTGTGAAGGAGTGAACCTTAGACCATATGGAATCTACAAAGACCTGTGTTGCCGACTGTCACCTTGAAACACTTAAGATAAGTGGGTTTCTTAGAGCCGTTAAGTGTGTTAGTGGTTCTTTAAAACAATTCTCTTTTAAAATCTGCCTAATGCGCATAGCCTGATATCTCTAGGAAAGTGAAGTAAAACATCCTTTAGGAAAAATTCCTTCAACTCAAATGTGAATGATGTGAGAATACTCAGAAAAATTAATCTTAAGACCAGTCTCATTGGGGTTCTGTTTATTTTCAGCAATGGGTATTTTCTGATTTGCTCCTTTTTTGACTTATTTTTTTTCAGTTTGTCTTTGCAATGCTGACCCATGTCTCCCATTCTCCCTCTCTGCCTCCTTTTTTTTTTTATTTCCATGATGAAACTCATAGGATATTTAAACATTTTCAAAGATAGTACACATGCGAAAAGTGCCTGAGAATGTTTGTTTTCTTCTTCCTAATCAAAATTTCTGTTTCAGGTTCTTCAGCTCGGGCTGTGGCTGCCAGTGCCAGATGGCACTGTTTCTGAGAAAAGAGCTAGCTTTTGCTTAGAAGTAATACCCACAAACAATGCCAAATTAGCATAAGCAAATGTCAGTGAGTTAACACAAAGCCAACACTCTTTCTATCTTTTCTTTCCTTCCTAGGCCATGGGTGTTGAGAGTGACCAGGAAATTGTGCAGATGATTGGAACAGAGGAGCACGTGATGGCAGCGTTTGGGCCCAGTTTGGAGGAGTGCCAGAAAGCTCAGATTTTCACACAGATGCAGGTGTGTCTTTTCATGTTGTCCTTTGCTATGAAAGGGAATCAGAGATTTAATGCTGCTCATTGATAAAGCCTCAGATGCAATAACTTTTTGGCCTGCAGACTTGGGAGGGGCATTGGGGAGGTGAAAAGAGTGGTAGTGAAGCTTCTCTGACTCAGTTTTTTTAGGGACTGGAGAAAGGAGTCTGCCTGGACAATTGATCAGCCTGTGTATCTAACTTAGAAGGGTGATGTGTGGCCAAGAGGCTTTTGTTCTAATTTTATAGCAAATATAGGTTTTTGGTTTTTTTTCCATATTTGCCTGAGTAATAGCTATTTTTTCAACTAGTGACTCTGAGGTAGAAGATTTTAATTTCATGCCATTCTCTTTAATATCCCTTTTTAGTTCCTACTTCCAGTTGCTTTCAGCATCCAATTGTATATGGTCTCTGTCCCTTTTCCTTTATTTCCAGTGTTACTTCAGCAAGGGAGGCCCCTCTACCCCTACAGAGCCTTCACAGATCTGCATAAACTCTCATGTTAAAACCTGAGAAACTTAGGACTAGACTCCAAGATGAAGATAAGAGCTGTGTGTGTGTATATGTGCCAAACATAATACAATTAATTGCTCTTCCCTTCCCACATGGTAGTGAGCTCCAGCAGCCATACTTGGGGTTTTTAGTCCCACATTTGTAAAGTGCTTTGCTGAGTATAAATTGATGGTGATGTCCTCATAGCCATCCTGGGAGGTAGGAATTTCCTTGCTTATCCATATGTACTTGGTCTCTTCTTTGAGTTTCTTAGAACAAGGTATGAATTCCAGGCTGCTTTTTTTCTTGTCACCCAGGATGTTTGCACAAATACATTTTCCCACTTAGATCTGATTGTATGTCTTCTGAGAGTCAAACAGATCTGAATATTTTCATAGACTAAACCACATGCTTAGGGAGGTAAGTTGTCACAGGCAAATATATATAACCCCCAAAACACAAATCAGTAGGGATTCTTCTTATCACCCCCTTCCTCTTTTACTGCAGTTAACCAATAATCACCTCTAGCTTAGGGAAAATTTGTTTGAATTTGAGAGATTCTGTTTTTGGTCTTTATTGAAAGTGTAATGGTTTCAGTGAACGTGAATTCTTGTTACAAACTGAAGTAATGTTGTCCAAGGGTTCCAAGGACATGAAGAGAAAACGTTAAGGAATAAATACCCAGGAATTCTCAATTTGAGGTGATATACCCCATCCTGCAAAGCTGTGTAATGCCTAGAGAGAGCAGCTTACCTCAATGACACCCCTGAGATCCATTATTCACTTTATTATATACTTCATCATGGGTCACATAACTCTGGCCTTGTAGAGCTGTTTGAACAAGGCTAATCCATGGGTCAGAAAAATCATTCGTTTCTCTTAATTAGGTACAGGCTGAAAGTTTCTGCTAATGGAATTAGAGGAGTTCAGTGAAAAGATGGAAATATACAGTTAGTTAACATAGAAAAGACAAGTGTTCCTAACATGAGAAAAATAAACAAAGTATAAGATTAAGGCATTGATTAATATTTGCAACTAATAAATGGTGCAGGGGGATAAGTAATCCTCCGTGATTATTTTATATTCTTCTAAATGCAAATATGGCAGGCAGATACACTTCATCTTATATAATAGAATTTTCAAAGACATGATACATTAGTGGATTGATAAAATCTGCATTTCATTTTGTTTTTAATGCCTGCCTATTTAGTCTTTCCAGCATCTCTTCTGCTCATGAAGCCTTTTTGCGTATATTGGTCATGAACGTTTTATATCATCATTGCCAGTGGCACTGGTATATAGGGAAGAAATTATTATCTTTTTGGGAGGTTAGATACATCAGGGGTATTGTCTTGGCCTATTTATGAACAGATTGGGCTCCCGTCTCAATGCTCACACCGTGAAACCCTGGGAACATTACTAGGTATTCCAGGCAAAAGGCGACTTTCTGCTTTTTCAGAAGGCATATAGGGCTCTCCTGGGTTTCTGTTTCTTCCTCAAAGAAGTGTAGGATCTCTAGCTTTTTTGCAAGGAAACCAGAAAACCAAAATTTATTGAGGACAGCTCAATTTATAGAGGACCTAACTGCCAGTCTATTTGCTGCTTACTGCTAGGTTATTGCAGCAGTATTTCCAGGGTCTCAGTTGATCTTATGCTCTAATGTCCTTTTAGCAGGGAAGATCTTAGGTTTTCCCCTAGTCTGTTTTCACCTCCATATTAATAAAATTTTTCTATTGATTTGAGGTAGAGGTCAAGGTTAATTTTTCACTTTTTGGATATTTAGTTATTTCAGCACCATTTGTTGAAAAGACGTTCCCTTCACATTGAATTGCTTTAGCACTTCTGTCACAAGTCAGTTGACCATAAAAGTGTGGGTATATTGCTGGATATTGTATTCTCTTCCATTGATTAGGTGTCTATTCTGCTTCTAGAAGTATCATATTGTCTTGATTATTGTAGTTTTATAGTTGAAATCAGATAATGAAGTTAATTACTCAACTTTTCTGTAAGATTATTTTAGCAGAATCTTCTGCATTTCTGTATAAATTTCAAAATCAGTGGATAAGCCTGACAGGATTATAATTAGCAATTATGATAAACTGAAGATAGCTTTTAGCAGTAAGTCACCTTAACATTATGAATCTTCCATTCCATGAAAATGACATAGCCCTCAACTTACCCAGGTTTTCTTTTCTCTCAGCAGTGTTGCGTAGCTTTCAGAATGGAGATCTTACATGGCATTATTATTATTATTATTTTTTTTTTGAGGGGATAAAAGTACTTCCTGAAAATGTTAACTATGGACTATGGTTCCCTCTGGTGGGTGGGGGGGTTGACAGCTGCTTTATAAAATATATTTTATGATTATTTCACTCATCTATATTTTCTAAATTTCTTAAAATGATCATGCATCAATTTTATAGTAAGAAACTTAATTATAAAATAAAAAAGGAACCAGTATAATAGACACACGTAATGTTTTGTTATTGACGTGACAAAATTTGATTTTTGACCAGGTCCAGTGCATCTTTCTCTATAACCAACCAGCATTTTTGTCTTGTTTGCTTCTAGTGTTACACATGTGGGTGGGTACTTAATACGTTCTCTCTGATGGTGTTATTTAAACATTATTATAATATGTTCTGTCTTTTATAGGCATTAAAATATATAGGGAACAAAGTAAGAAGGCAAAGGATGTGGGGTGGAGACCAAAGAAAACCAAGATAGAAGAAGCAAGAGAGCTCCTGGCTTCTACCATCCTGACCCACGTTCCTGTGAGTAACATCTTTGCTGCTGTGAATAATGGTGATTGTGGGGTCTGTGCTTGTCTATTGAAGAATTTTGCATAGAGTTTACTTAAAGTCCAGTAACTTAAAGTCTAGTTCCTTAAGAAAGAGAATCCTGGGCCTCCTCGGTGGCGCAGCGGTTGAGCGCTGGGTTGCCGAGCTGCCCGCAGCCTCTGCAGCGCAGGTTCCGTCCCGGGCTGCTCCCCGGCCACCGGAGGTGGAGGGTCCCATATGGCGCCAGACCTCTCCTGCGCGCTGCTCCCCTCAGCAGTGTCCTTCGTCCTCTGCCTGCTCTGCTCCCCGCTCTGGCTCTGGTGAGTTTCTCACCTCCGCGCTTTCTGACTATACCTGGTGCTTGTATAAATAAATAAATGGATCTTAAAAAAAAAAAAAAAAAAAAAAAAAAAGAAGAGAATCCTAAAGAGAACTGACCAGCCCTGCTGCAAATAACCCTCCATTATCAATAGTTTGTTTGGACCCAGAGAAGATTCACTATAGTATCATTAGCAGCTGTTTATTCTCTTATGCTTCCTCTCTCAGTCTTAAATGATAGCTTTTGATATTCAGAATATATTAGTGACGCTACTTGAGGCCATGATTTTGATGGACAGAAATTGTATCTTAGCTGTTTTTAAATTAAAACAAGCTTATGGTATCTGAGCCATCTAGATGGGTTGGGAAAAGTTGGTGAAATAGATATAACACAACACTTACCATGTTTACAATTACAAGTCTATGGCATTAACCACAGCTCAGTGTTGTGTGACCATGTTTAATTTACCACAGATATTTTAAAAGTAATCAGGTGACTTCGCCTCCTAGACCTGGAGTCAGGTTTGCATTTATAATGACAGTGCTCAGGTCCCGACAGATGAGATTTACTTACATTGTCATCCAGCTGGGTAACAGTCAGAAAGAGAGCTAGTGCATCCCCTGCCCTTGAACCAGCGCTTGGTGTGTACTCTTATTATGTGTCATTAAGCAGACTTAGACCATGTTGGCATGCGGGGTATGGGCAGGAGTCATCCCCTAGCTTCTTAGGGGATTTAATATATGCTTCTCTTTTTAAGTTACGCAAGACTGTTAGTCAGGCTGTCTCATTAACCAAATAGTCTGCCTTGCAATGATCTCATTCAGGAGCTAATCATAAGAGTGGAAAGCTGAGGGATATGTGGAAGTGGAGAGTGAATTTCAGATTCAAAGTCCCTATTTTAAAACATCTTCCTGGCCACATAATGCAGGTCTCTGATTCTGCTCTTTACCTGCCCTCTATTTCTATGTGTCCTTGATCTGATTCACAGAATTAGAAAATTCTTCATGTTGATGCGGGGTCTGAACTAACTAAAACTCTTGGAGGATTGGAAAAGCAGTTTTAAACTCAAAGTCACTAGGTGGAGAGAGGAAATAACATGGGCCTTGGAGCTAGAGATTAACAGTGTACATCTTGATTTCTTATTTTGTAGCTTATTTACTTTGAGCAAACCTTAATATTTGTAAGCTTCAGTTTTCCTCATCTTTATAATGAAACATACTTCCTCACAAGGCTGTGATGATTCTGTGATGCTGGAGA